TTTTCCAGAGGAATGGTCAAGTTACTCTGTTGCAAGAAAACCCTCAAAGATGCTTGTGGCGCCTTAAAAGACTAACAAATGTATTCTGGTGTTTCTGGACTACAGGCCACTTCATCAAGCACGAAGTGATGCACTTAATGAAAGCCAATGGCAGAGCCAGTGTGTTAGTCTTTCAGGTTCTTCAAGACTTTTTGTTGTTTTCCACCTTGGCACCATGGAAAAAGAGCTTCCTTTCTATGTTTTGGAAAGGTCAAATAGAGCCCTCCATCCACCTTCTTTTCTGGGCTGCTTCTGACCCCTGCCTGATTTTTACCCCATGTGTCCCCCAGCTGTTACCAGCCTATCTCTCTGCCTATATTTAACGAGCATGTTCCAAGGCAGCCCTGAGGATGCTCAGTGCAGCAGTTGTAGCCCTTCTGGATTCTGCAGGATCCGAAGTACCTTGCTGGACAGCACTCCTGGGAGGCTCCAGCACTTACCCTGCTGCCTCTTCGTGTTTGGGAGCAGGATAGTGGGACGAGTGGAAAAAGATCACTTGCACTGGGATCTCATCTAGGGTTGGCTGCAAAGCGTTCCTCCAAGACTGCGGGTTCATGTATGTGACGCATCTTTGCATGCATCTTTTATTTGTCATGTTGGTAGCACACAAACCCACCTGTGAGGTAGATTAGGATGGGAGATGCTGAGTGGCCCTGGTTGTCCAGTATGACTTACAACTGAGCATCAGGCCTTCCTGTTCCAAGCCCAGTGCCACATTTTTCTATTACCCTTACTCTGTATAATTTTTTGTTTAAGATTTGCAGGTCGCTATAGGCTTTCTTCTGTGTTTACTTTAATGGTCATCCTGTGAGTGTTTCTTCCCTTTTTGCATAGTTGCTCCCAGTCCAGGTGCCTGCCTGTCCTTTCTATTGTGTCGGTCAGAAAGGTGTAAAATCATTCATGGCCTCCATGTGTAATTACTGCTGTTACCCACAACCTCTGGAAATGTGACCACAGTCACAAACTAGTCTGGCCTTATCCGGGTGACCAGACACAGATGATCCGGATGACAAATCTTGGCATGCCCTGCCTGGAGCATTTTAGTCTCTGTGGACTGGTCATTTTAGTCCCAATTTAAAAGCACTGGCATCCATAATTGATAGGAGATAGCTACATTTTTAGAAAATGCAGAAAATTTGGAAAAGGTCCAGAGGAGGGCAACGGAAATGATCCAGGAAACGCTGCCCTATGAGGAGATACTGAGAGAACTGGGCATGTTCAGCCTTGAGAAGTGTGAGGGGTGACATGATAGCCCTCTCTAAGTACCTCAAAGGCTGTCACAAAGAAGAAGGTCAAGATCTCTTCTTGCTGATACCAGAGTGTAGGACATGGAATAATCAACTCAGGTTGTGAGAACCCAGATTCAGGCTAGAGATCAGGAAACGCTTCCTCACTGTCAGAGAAATACAACAGTGGAACCAGCTGCCTGGAGAGGTGGTGGGCTCTCCCCCACTAGAGCAGGTGTAAATTGGTGACTTGCAATTGCAAGGCTTGATGGGCTTCTTGGCCCCTTCCAACTCTACTATTCTGTGATATAAGGTTAAGAAGGGTGAATGTTGTAACCGGGGCAAGTAAGTGCTCGGCTTTCTAAGAACTAATGCAACAATACCATGAAATTGAGGCAGGGTAGGTTAGAGACATTGAAGAGCTTTTGTTCCTGTATCCCAGTACTGTCTGTCATCACTGGCCTTGACTCTTCAGGGTCTTTGGCAGAAACCTTTTGCATCATCTGCAACCTGATCATACTTGGGAATGCCAGAGATTGCAAATGCTCTGCCCCTGAGTTCCAGTCCCACCCCCTTTGCTGCAGGGCAGGAAGTTCTTGGGTGGTGTTTCCCTTAATGAATGTGCATGCAGTAACTTGGGGGATTGCATTTTATTTGTGACCAAACCTATTGCCATGCCGCTGAAAGGCAGCGATCTACCACAGAAATGCGCTCTGGAGGGAAGCTATGTGCATCCCAGGCCGCACCTGAGCTCCAAGAGTGTGTTCGTGATTGCTGAACCGGGACATGAAAAAGCCAGCTCTCCAAGATCATATCCAAGGCCAGGGCTGACCAACTTTTCTCAGGATAAAGGCTGGTTCCAGTTCAGAGAAGTTCTGAGGCATCCAAAAGCTGTTAATAATAGGCTTTGGGGGCCTGTATCCACTGGATTGGTTGTAGGAGTCTGGAATATTTTCTGGGGAAAAGGGTTTGTGATCAATTGTGCAGTGTAGCAGAGAGGTTGGAGTGCTGGGTTGGGAACTAAGTTCTAGTTCTCACTCAGCCACTGAAGCTCAGTAGGTTCCTTTGGGCAAATTACAGGCCCTCGGCTACCTCACAGGGTTGTTGTGTGGAGTGGAGGAGGAGGATGTTGTAGCCCCTCTGAGTCACTTGAAGGGAAAAAGGTGGGATAGGAACATAGTAAATAAATAAATAAATAAAAGGTGTGATGAGTCCCTGATGTCATGTCCTGACACAGTTTAGCTCCACATCCAACAGCCTTTGGGAAGGGGAACCCTGCCACTCAGGGCTGCCCTGATTAAATACCAGCTCATTCAGTGACTCGCTTAAGGTGCAAAGAACTGCACAAAAATGAAAGCAGTGCCCAAAAACAAGTCTTGGCACTAGATTACATCACAAAGGGCAGATGAAGTATGTGGCTGGGGAACTTAAATGCCAGAAGAAAGACAAATCCAAGTCACCAGTAAATGCTTGGATTTAGGATTAGAAGAGCAGAATGGGGATGATGAGCACCTAAGGAGAGGTGCTGGGAAGGGCTGGGCACCAGTACCTGGAATGGTGGATTTTGCTGCCTGTGCAGAGCTTCTTCCTTCAGGCTGAGATCTTTTCTCCACAAGGTTCTACCAGCTCACCTCCTCCTCCTGCAAAGCTCTTGAAAGCCACTCTTTTGTGGTCAAGATTTGCCTTTCTTTGGGGCTGCAAGGAGAAGGATTCCTCCTTTTCCTTTCCATATCTCCTGCAAAGACTTTACTCCTTGCTTTCTTCTCCCAAGTACTGTCACTTTCTCCACCCTAGAGTTTTCTCCAACAGCTTATCTCAGTAGTCCATCTATCTGAAACCTAGGGTTCTTCAGATGTTTTAGACTCCAGTTCCTATCAGCCCCAGCCAACCAGCATGACCAAATGGCAGTACACACCATTTGGGAGGCACCAGCTTAGGGAAGGCTGGTTTAGTAATGCTGGCATGGTTTCATCTTACTCTTTTGTCATGGAGTTCATCCCACCTGCGTTGCCTTGTGGTTATGTTGGCTTCCTTTCAAGCCCTGCATCAGCTTCAGTGTTTGAGCGAATCATTTTTAAAGCTCTCCATGTTGACACCAGACAAAGGGTGGATTCAGCCTACCCATTGCATCCTGCGGCTATATTAAAAATTGCTCATATAGCAAGTGCGGCTACGTGGAGATGGGTTGTGTGTGGTGTGGGTGGCCACACAGCAGGGAGAGTTCTTCCAAGGCTCTGCAGCCCTAACGTTTCAGTCCGTTGTCAAGGGTACTGTAAAGTTTGCCTTGTCAACGGCCTACAAATGGCTACCTGTCTACACCTGGGTAGTTCCACTGTTACCATTTCATGGAGTGGTAGGCGAGCCTTCTGCAATCCTGGTAGTCCAGCCTTCTGCAACCACTGCAGGATTAAAGAGGCCTAGGCTTATCTCTGTCATGTCTGTCTAGCCTTTCTATAAAATCCTTCAATGAGGGCATTTTTGTATCTCTCTTCTGGGCACCCATGCAGATTGCGTTGGGTTGCAATCAGGAATCTTCCGGCCAAGAGAGTGGAAGCTAACTTTCCTGTATGCTTCTCTCCTTGTCAGCCACCTAAATGACATTTTTAATGGCCTAAAAATGTTCCCTTGAGGGGTGAACGAAGTGGGCTTGAGATAGAGTGGCGCAAAGGGGCCTGCACCTGCTTTTCTGTGACCTCCCTCCTCTTCCCCCCAGTCACATCACAGCTCACTCCGCTCAGCAGGGTTCCTGACCTTCAGGAAAGCATAGAGGTGCTGCTCTGGGGGCTGACAGAGAGAGGAGAGGGTGGGGAAGCTCCATCTGTGCTTGGGGAATCTGGAGCCAACCCTCTTTGGGATTAAAGGGTGATATAGCCAAACATATGCTCTACTATAGCATGCAGGTGTGAATGCTGCATAAGGCAGGTGTTTGTAGCATCTTGGCAAGGGTTAAGGAGAATTCTCATATTCACACCTAATAAAACAACCTTGGAGAGCTGATGGCAAAGCAATGTTCTCACTGTTTGGCAGGATGTTGCAGGCAACTGGTTTTCCGTGAAGTTTTATGCACAGCAGAGTGAGGCAGCACAATGTTGCTGTTTGGTGGATGGTAGTCTGCATTCATCCTTGGATACATCCTTTTCTCAATAAGATGTGGAAGTGCATGTCTACAGGCTAGGACTACTCCACCCAGAAAGACTAAGAGATAAATAATTGTGCAGTTTCTTAGTGTGTGAGATACTGCTGGTTTTCCAGCGGAGTCTAGTTGGCTGTGTTTAAGGCTGCCCATGAGGTCTTCGTATGGGAAATGGGTTGGCGAAACATATTTCTGGGATGCTGGAATATTCTTCCTTTCTATTTTGCAGTTCCTTTCTGTTGCCATTTTCCCACCTTCTTTAATTAATAATCTAAGTGCAGAGCAACTGTCCCCAACGAAATGTTCTCCAGATGTTTTGTACTATAGCTCCTATCGTCTCTCGCCAGACTGACTGGGACTGACAGGTGTTGTAGTCCAAAATATCTGGAGGACGCCAGAAGCAGAGGTTGTGGAAGCACCGCTCTGCCAACCAGTATATTGATTCGCTGGACATCATGGTGCCGTTCACTTTTGACCCCACTGTGGCCACGGGCTGAGCAGTTCCGCAGCAACTTGCAAGTGGTCTTCTCACAAAGTTCTTGTCTTCCTTGGCCGGAGCTGGGTCAGCATCGTTCTCTTCTTCTCTCTTGTAGACTCCCACAATGAGGGGGAAGATGCTGTTCCTCACCGCGCTTCATGCCACACTCTTTGCTTCAGCACAAGTTATGGCTCAGAAAAGGGAGAGAGGTAGGTGGATTCTCACTGACGTAATTTTGTGGGATGGCCGGTAGTTCACAAAGCCTGCTTCACAGGTGCGAGGACTGGGGTCAGTCCCTGGCTTCATGGAGAGCAGAGCTTGAAAATCTCTTTTCTGGAGACCTTGGAGAGATGCTGACATCCACACAAAAGCAAGAAACCGGTTTATGCTAAGTCAGATGACTGGTCCTTCTATTTCAGTACTGTTTCCACTACCGTAGTCTACAGCAGTCTTGCTCAACAAGGTGCCCCCCCCCCAATATTTTGGAGTGCAATTCCCAGGTTTTCTGACTGTTGGAGTGCAACTCCCATGTTTTCTGTCTGGGCCTGATGGGAGTTGATGTTCCAGTCATCTGGAACACAGAAGGTTGTAGAAGGCTTCTTTACAGCTTAGCACTTCTACACTAATTGGCTTTCAAGGGTTTCAGACAAGGGCCCTTCCCATCCCTACTGATGCCAGGAATTGAACCTTGTACCTTTTTCAAGGAAAGCTGGTACTCCAGGACTCAGGTATGTTTCCCTTCCCAGATATTTAACTAGTCTAACTCAGTGGAATGCACCTTAATGTGTCCAGTGTTGCAGGATATTTCACTGGCTGATTTTTTAAAACGGTTGTTCAACTGAGTTGTCCCTACCCCATCCACACACCAGAATGCAAGTAGGAAAAAAGCACACCTTGCAATACTTGTGGTGGTGTGAACCAGTCAGCTGTTTCACCTGCCATTTGTGGTGGCAGGTCAACAGATGGATAGCCTAGCACTAGAGTCTGCCTATGTGAAAGTCCCAGAAACTTTCCCAGGTCCCAGGATGACCACGGAGGATGAAAAGCTGCATTTCTCACAACCCTCTGCTCTAGAAGGACCTTCCTTACATTGGATTATGATTCCTTCTGGTATGAGATACCCACTTCACAAGGAGTTCTGAGTCAGTTTCCTGGCAGCCATGAAGGGTGAGAAAGGGAGAACTGGCAATCTACGCTGGGGTTCCCCATCCCACAGTATAACAGATAACTTGTTTTAAGGCCCAACTGTGGCTTAATACGTAGAATTCTGACTTTGCTTAGTGGTGGCTGGCTGTCGGTCTTTGGCTGAAGAAGAACCAGAGTAGTTCTTGTCTTTCCCGCTACCACTCTATTTGTTAAATTCTTTCTCTGGTCTGATGCTTCCAGACTGAAGCACGGCACACAAGTATACGTGGCCAGGGCTGCCCAAAAGCATTTTGCTGCCTGAAATAAAGGGCAAGATGGCTTCCCCTGCACAATCCATATACAGAATCTAACTGGACTGGCTGCTTGTTCATTTGTTCTGAAGTATTTCTATACAGCCTGCTATGCACAATATACCCATGTGGTTTACTGTCACAAATTCCTAGGCTTTTAATGGCATATGATGGACTGGTAAGTCACCACTTGAATTCTTTATGGCCATCACTGATGTTTTAGTTGTGTTTTAAGGGTTGTAGCTGTTTTAAATTGTGTGTGTTTTAACTTCATTTTAAGTTGCCTTGCGACTCTGTTTTTGAGCTGGCTGCCTCACTTGTCTAATGGCACAACTGGTTGTGTACTTCTGGACTCCCATTCTTTGCTGTTGCTTGTGTTTCCTCCCATGTCCCCTTTGTATTGATGAGTCCACTGCCTGCCACTATCCATAGTGAAGAAGCCCACAGATCGGTTCATTTTCCCTTCTTGTGAAAATTCAGTGTTGCCCCTCTGAAGTGGTGAGGATTGCTTTCTCCATGTAATAAATACACGAGGGACCTGAGGTTTTGGAGACAGGCCTGCCCATCTCCATAGCACCTGGCACTGGGAGAAAACCACTTCTTAATGTGCAAATTAGACCGTCTCCCACTTCTAAAATGTAGGTCTCCACTCAGTGATTTTGTCTCTGACACACTATTTGGAGGGAAGCAGCAATGGGTTTACTGTGGTCTTTCTCTTGGAGAATATAACTCTTCTTCTGAATAGCTCAGTTCACGTGGTTCTGCACCAATGTCCCCCAGCTTGGACCCCTCCAGATGTGTTGGACCAGAACTCCCAGCATGTCCCAGGCAGGGGCGTGCAGAGAAGTGCAGACCAACACACCTGGACAGGCCAGCTTGGGAAGGCTGCCCTGCCGTCTTCTGCTTTTCGCCTTCTGCATAGCCTGGTAAAGGTGCCACTATTAAGCCAGGCCTAGGCATCTCCCCACCACCAGCACCTCTGGTCTGGGATGGTGGCTTGAGAATCCCCAGGTCAAATTAGGGACTGGATGTGTGAGGAGGAAAGAGCCCATAGACTCATTCAGACAGAAATGGTTCTGCCAGCCCCTGTGGGAGCTGGCGCCCCAAGCCGGTTCTTTCAGATGACTTCACTTCCAAGGAATGTGGTGTGAATAAGTAGCTCCCAGCAGAAAGGACACCTGACTGACATGCTCAGGTATTCCCATCTCCTCTGTGAGCAGCTGTAAGTGACAGCGAGGAATGTGATACCAGAAGATGCAGTGCCTTCTCCAGAAAAGGGTCTCTGGGAAGGGCTTTTCACCTGCACTGAAGAGGACGCGGGCCAAACCCAGCTTCTGGGTCCGTTGTGCGGCTGCATGCCAAGCTGCGGTGACGGAGAGGAGTCCTTCTGAGCTGTTGGCTGTTGCTTTGCAGTGATCTGCACCAATGTGTACTTGGCGGATATTGTGTTTCTGGTGGATGGATCATCCAGCATTGGAAGGAACAACTTCCGCATGGTCCGATCCTTCATGGAGGGGTTGGTGGTTCCTTTTGTCAACGTGGTGAGTGAGAATGGAGTCCGCTTCGGAGCCGTGCAGTACAGTGATGAACCCAGGTGAGTCTTGACCCCTCAGCCTCCAACTTTAGTCAGAGTCTCAGGGGAGACATCTACCTGTGACTATGATCAGTAAATGGAACCTCCATGCTCAAAGGCACTATATCACTGAGAACCAGATGCTGGGGACAGTCCACAGGGGAGGCTTGTTTTTGTGTACCGCATGCAGATTTTCATTGCTGGCCATCACTGAAAGCAGGTTGCTTCTGGAGCAGCAAGACCCTTCTGCGGTCCTCAGCCTTCAAAGCTTTCAGTTGCTATAATATGACTTTGGAAATATTAAGCTATTTGTTACCTGTATATCCAGCCTTTCCTCCAAGGAACCCAAGGTAGTACCTGATCCTCCTGCTTTCTATTATCCTCACAAGAGTCCTGTGAGGTAGGTTAGGCCAAGACACAGTGTCCAGGTCAGAGTCAGCGGGGAAGGTAATGGCAGAGTGAGGCCTACAGCTTGCGTCTCCTGAGTTTAATGCCACCATGGAATAAGTGACAAAAGCTCTCTGCATTCTTGGAATATGAGGCAAAGAAATGTGTGCTGTGGTGCCCAGAAGAAAGAAAACAGACAGTGCCCCTTCTGTGAGGAGCTGGCTTGCTGCTTGGCCTTGGAGGAGCTTCTTGAGCTCCACAAACTGGACAAAAAAGGGAGTTGGACTGCATGCATTTTTTGCTTTATTTTCAAACTCCCTTGAGACAAAAAAGAAAACTGCATTCACAGCATTATCTCCATTTGCTTTCCTGGACAGCCAGTAATTCTATTTATAACACAAAAAATCTCCATAAGAGCTCTACTGGGACTTGGCCTTTCTTTGAAAAATGATGTGGTGAATCACGGGCTATGAGGAAGTAATCCTCTAGGCACACTGCTGGAGTTGTACTGTTAAATTTTGCAACCTAGAAGCACATCACGAGAGCCCCCAGAGCCATATCCCCAAGGCGAGTCCAGAAATGCAGGCGCCTGTGTTGAACAGCCTGGCTCTTGCGGGATCCACCTATTCCAGGAGCTGACTGTTCGTAAAGCTCCTGGTTCTTGCCTGCCCATCCAAGACCAAGCCACCCCAGGGAACTTGGTGGTTCAGCAGGGAACAGCAGATGGGTGCTGGGGAAAATCAGTGCCCTTGGCTCGGGAGGAGCAGGGAATCTGGGGCGGGGGGGGCGGAGGACATGGGCATCCACTCCGAGGCCCGGCTCCACAACGCCATGTTGCATCATGTGTTCTGCTCCTGCCTCTCCTTACCTTGAACTTCCGCTTGATTCCAGGACTGAGTTCACGTTCTCCAGGTTCCTCAATGGAACAGAGGTGATGAGGGCTGTTCGCGAGATGGCCTACAAGACTGGGAACACGCGCACAGGCGCAGGTCTTCGTTACGTGGCAGATAACTTCTTCGGAGTTGGTCAGATCCGGCCCAACGTTCCAAAGGTACTGAGGAAGCATCCTCTTCTGTTAGGTGACAGAGAGGAAAGGAAGTTGACAAAGCATTAGGGCCACTCACTTATGGGAATCCTCAATTAGGACAGCCTCTGTTGGGCAGTAGCAACTTTGAAGAACACATGTTTTGAAGCAGGCATAATGACTCAGAGAGAGAGAGAGAGAGGGACTCCTGAATCTGTCCTGCTTCAGCCTCTGTCTGGCTAAGGTAGGCAAGGCCAGGAAAAAACAGTGTGGTTGGTGTACCAAATTTAAGAAATAAGACGATTGGAGCTGTTGGGTCTGTAATGTGCAATTCTGCAGAGGGCTGTGGGGTGCTTTGCAGTAGAAGTATCGCCTACTTTTTATGAAAATTTGTTGTGCCCCCCTTAGAATAAGTCAAATTCATTTACCCATTTATTGATTTTAAAAGTTATAAACTTTAAAAACTATAAAAGCTCATTCCCCCCAAAATAGGATTTCAGGACGATAAACATAACATAACCTAAAACTAATCCCATAAAAACAACCTACAATCTGAAGCCAGATCACACTGTAAAAGCAAGAGGTATAAAATGATTTCAGCCATTTGGAAAAGATTTATTTATTTAAACTGTGCCACAGCACCTCTGGGCGGCTCACAACCATAACATGCCTGTGTAAATAGAAAGGGTTTAACTTGATGCTGACATGAGCACAGTGTTGCTGCCAGGCATACATTCTATGGGAGGGCATTCCAATCCGAAGTCAGGGGGCCACCACAGAGAAGGCTCTCTGCAGATGGTAAATGTACTTCTCTTACAGCAGTACAGAAAATAGATTCCATATCCAGCACCTCCCTTGCTCACTCCTTTATCTCAGCTTCCACTCTCTGCCTCTTGGAAATAAGGATATAAGGCCAATTCTGGCCTGCTGGGTTCCTCAGCCCAGCCTGCAAGCCTCCTCACTTTCCTTCGGGGCAGGGATAAAGTGTTATGTCTACAACGCTATGGAGTCATCCTCCCAGGAGGAACTTCTCTTCCAACACAGCGAAAGGCTGAGGCAGATGGTTGATATCTCTGGCGCACGGCCCCTCACCCAATGTAACTGTGCCCACCATGCCGCCTTATCAGGACAGAGATACAAAACCTTTGCGACACTGTAAATTCAGAAAGAGGGACTGAACTGGGGCTTGTTGCTTGGTTACCTCCATGACTGACTACTTTCTCTTCTGTTTCCCAGATCTGTATCCTCATTACAGATGGAAAGTCTCAGGATGAGGTCGAGCAGGCCGCCTTGAGGCTGAAGAGTCAAGGCATTAAAGTCTTCGCTGTGGGTAGGTGGCCCTTGCTTTGTGACTGGGACCCATCGGGGACAGTGTTTTGGGGCCGTCTCCTTCCATCTGTCCCTCATACTGGGTGCTACCGACAGAAAGGCGTAGTGCCACATTTTGAGCACGTTTTGAATGGGAAGACAAAAGATGGAAGAAGTGATGGGAAGACATGGGAGGGTAGCCAGTGGCAGGTGACGACATCTGGACTCTTCTGAGAATGAGGCAGGCCTGAAAGCAGCAGCAGCCGTCTCTTCCCTCCGTCCCTGGACCCGCCACCTCCTCCTTCATCCTGCTGCCAGTTCAGTATTAAGAAGAAGCAGGGAGGGTCCATGAGGGTCTGTCTGAGTGGCACTGATGAATGGCCACAGCAACTCCTGTTTGCCTCCTAAGAGCTTGGTGGAGAGCAGGAACTTCTCAGGCATGGGAGGGGCTTCCAAGATGGGTTAATCCAAGAAATCCGCAACCCTCGCAGAGTTTTGCTTGTGCACGAGATGAAGCTGTGGAAGTGTCCAGGTGAAAATGAAGGCCTGCTCAACTGCACAGCATATGCTTGTGCATATGCATATCGTGACAGAAACAATCCATAATCACTTTATCAAAGTTTCATTTACAACCAGGTTGAGAACCTCTTTCATCCCAGTGTCCAAGTTCCATTTCAGTGACACTCGTGGGGACCACATGCCAGTGGAGGCCCAGGCTGAAGGCAAGAGCCGCACGGCCAAAAGCGAAAGGGTCCAGAAACACCCAGAATGCCAGCATACTTTGGCTTACAGATCTTGCAGAAGTAACTAAGCCTTAGGGGAGACACCGACACCTTTTAGAAAGGGCGGGGGGGGGGGGGGAAACTGTACAACTGCTGGGAAACCACCGAGCAAACAGTAGTGTGGAAGAAGGGGATGGAGCCAGCGGAGGGCACAGCACTACGGAGAATCCTAAGGGGCTAAATGTGACCCCGGGTTGCCTGGATTTGGGTCCTGGGGGTCTCTTCCTTAACAAGACTTCTGAAGTGGTCCAGCAGGAGTAACAATCAGCACGAGAGCCTGGCACCGCCACTGCTGGTTTTGTGCCAGAGTTGCCGTGCTGCCGCACTGGACCGCTAGCCGGTTTGGATTAGCAGCAGCCGGGACAGGGATCAGCACGACGCTTGGTGGACGGCGAGTGTCCCCTGCAGCTGTCCCTCACAACAGGCTCCTCAGGACATTTACTCGTCCGTTAGCCCTTTTCAATTCTAGCCTGCCTTTCAGAAGGAAAATCCCCTTAAAACAGCTTATGAGTAAGAAAAGATAATGGAAACAAAGAAGCAGCATTAAAACAGGATGGTAGGGAAAGCCCCGTGAGAGGCCAACTGGCCAAGCTTTGCCTGCCAGCCTCTCTCTGAAACTTTGTGCTGCCTTGTTCTTGCAATTTTATTTGGGGTGTGTGGTGATCCAGAAGACAGCATCCTTTTATACCGCTCCTGTATTTTCACACTACTTCTTCCATCTTCTTCTTACTACTGAACAACCCGTAAGACAAAAGATAAGAGCTGCGCTCAGTCCCTTCTGACCGTTAGTGCCAGGACCCCTTTCTCTGGAAGCATCCCCTCTGTTCTCATGGGGAGCCCTGCTGGATCTCACAAAAGGCCTGTCTGCCCAAAATTAGGTTCTTACAGCGGCCACAGAAAGCCCACAAGGGATATTCCACCAGGACCTAAGCATACTGTCTCTGATAATGGAGGAACCATTTAGTCAACAGAACTAGTGCCTACTGATAGCCTTATCTGTGGTGAATTTGTCAAACCTCTTTTAAAGTCATCCAGCTGGTTGCTGTGTTGTGACAACTGGATGGCTTTGGCATGATTTGCCTTAAGCCACTGGCTAAAATCCATTCACGCCTAGAACTGAGAACAGAGGGGCCACAAAATGTCTGTGGAAAAGCTCTAACAAGGGGGGAAATCCAGCGTTTTGCTTGAGGAAGGGAATGAGATGAAAATGTTCACCGCTTCTCTTTTCCCCACTCAGGTGTCAAAAATGCAGACCGCAAGGAGATAGACAGAGTGGCCTCCACGCCCACGGAAGATTATTCCTTCTATGTCAGTGATTTTAAAATTTTGGCCACCCTGCTGCCGCTGGTGTCACGGAAGGTGTGCTCCAGCACCGGGGGCATCCTGCAGACAGCAGGTAAAGGCTCGGGTTGGCTGCTGACACACAGATGAAGGTGCTGTTCAGGGTCAGAGGCTCTTGCTCAGGCAGCTGCAAGAGGAGGACGGCATGCCCCTCCTCTGGCCTCTTTCCCCAGAGACACATAAGCGATCCTGGAGGAAGCTCCTGGTCTAACCAAGCCAGCCCTCCAGCAGGCCTGCTGACCTGAGCTCAGTGCCGGTTTAACCCCACCCCGTGGGTGGGTGGCGTTCAGTCATGCTGCTTTTCCGACAGCTCCTTCTGTGCCCATAGGGGACAAGTTGCTCTTGAAATGCTTGGCCTTTGCCCTCCGCACCTCCTGTGCCGGTGCCGGTGCCGAGCGGCCTCAGCCTGCAGAGAGGCTGATTTGCTGTTTGTCCTGTTTTCCCCTTCAAGGCATTCAGGCGTACGAGGGTCCCTCAAACCTGGTCTTCGTGGAGCAGGGAACAGACATGCTGAGGATCCGCTGGAACGCTGCCGGTGGCCCGGTCACAGGCTACAAGGTGCAGTACGTGCCTCTCACGGGCCTGGGGCAGCAAATAACCGCAGAGCTGCAGGAGGTGAGCCCTTCCACGGTGCACGTTGACTTGAAAGTAAGCCCTGCTGGGTTCCGTGCCGAGGATTGCAGTGGGCAGCCGGCGGGCCTTTGACTGCCTGCAGGGGCGGTGAGGACGCAGCTCCAGGGCCACCCAATTTTAGTTTCCATTTAGGTTTTGTTTTCCAAAATGGAAACAATCCTCAGGCATCACTCCTCTGTCATTTGGCCCATTTCCACGACTCCTGGCAAGTGATCCCCCCATGTTGGCTGGGGAAGGCTGGGAGTTTTAGGACCCAAAAGGAACTATGATAGGATGTGAGGAGCGCAGGGAGAGGGGTGTGTTTAATACTTTCCCGGACACTGCTTGCCTGACCCAGATAGCCCCAGTTAACTCCACAGAGGGGGGTCGGAAGGGGCCAAGAGAAAGTGAAACAAAATAACTGCTTTTACTGTGCCTATATTATCCCCCCTGGAGCTATTATCAGAGAGGAGGGTGTTGGGAGTTAGATTACAAAAACAGTTTGGCTGGGGAGGAGCAGTTCAGTCCAGTCCCTGTTGCTCTGGTTAAAAGTGGAGTGGCCCCTTCATCCTCTTGACTGTTTTGGCATTAAGAACCACTTCAGGGATTTCCTTCTCGGAAGCACCTTTAGCCCACAGGTAGGTCCCCACCTGGCAGAAGGCCAGTGCTGGACCTCGCTTCCTCCCTCGTGTGTGCGCAGCAAGATGGATAAGCGCTGTGGCCACGCGGACTGGGAAGCAATACATGACAAGGGGAATAATACTGTTGTGTGGAACAAGGGGTCTGTTTTCGCTATTGGACAGGTGAGCTTGGGAGCTGGCGAGACGAGCACTGTGCTACGCGGCTTGAGGGCAGGGACGGATTACCAGGTCACCATTATTGCCCAGTATGCCAACAGAATCGGAGACTCTGTTTCTGGCAGAGGACGCACCCGTGAGTAATAAAACCTCCTTCTGACCACCACTAGTATCCTGTGACATCCCTGAGACTTCCTGAGGCTTGAGAGATTCTTCCACCTGAGACTCTCCCACCGTGTTGGGCTGCAGCTCTCATGCTGTGTAAGGCTGATATGATTTGTCATCTGACACATCTGGATGGTATCTAACATCAGATGGGGAAAGGCTGAGTTTGCCTGTGTATCAGATACAGGCATAGGGTCAGTTGCATGCAACAGTCTACAGAGGGGAGACATGTTTTTTCAAGTATGAAAATGCTTTCCGCAACAACACTGGGCTGCATCCACTGTTACTGCTCCTTGGAGTAGACCCATTGAAATGAATAGGACTTAATGAGTCTAGCCTTGGATGCTACCTATGATAGGCACTGGTATCCACGGTTAGACCCAGCCACAGTTTGATCGACTGCTGCGGCCAGAAGTTCAGCGAGTGCTGCTTGGGCTGCAAAGTTGATGGCTTCATTGCGGGACATTCAGGCAAAAACAGAAAGGAAGGGTTGGTAACCGAGGGCGTCGTCATTAATGGAGAAGCTGGTGGCCTGAGATCCTCCATCGGTGCTGATCTACTGCTGGGGGCCCAGGTAGCCCTTGTGGGCTCTCACCTTCTCTAGCCAGGACTCAGGTGGAGCTGTGCCCCTCCTGCACTGAGATTGCCTGGCCACTGCTACCTGCCTCCTGATAACCTCCAGATCAGGTACCTGAATGCATTATGTGTGGGCCTGACTTTGAAGTTTTCAGTTATTTAATGTGTTTATTATGAAGCATATACCACGCCCTTCACAAATATTTTTCCTCAGGCAGCCAGTTCAGAACTCAGCTGCTAGGCAGCTCGCTGGGACTCGCTGAAAGGAACACATCCTACCTGTTTTGAACAGCAGCTTTGGCGACTGGCCCATTTCTAGTCAACATTCAGAGTGCTGTTGCCGGTCCTGAAAGCCGTATATGGCTTAGGGCCTGATGCATGCAGGACTGCCTTTTCGCACATGCGCCTCACCTGTGCATTGAGGTTACTCTCAGGCAGCCTTCTCAGGGAGCTTTCCACCTTCTGAAGTTAGCAGAGGCAACTGGTAAGAGCTCCTTTGGGGCTGTACCTCCCCATCTGTGGAATATTCTTCCTTCAAGAGACTTACCTCATGTCTACTTTTAGGTCTTTTTAATGACCAGCTAAGACAGTCTTTTCCAAACTTATGTCCTCCAGATGTGTTGGAGTGCATTTCACATCTGGAAGTGATAGGAGGTGAAAACCATACATCACAGGGGGCACCAGGTTAGGAGAAGCTGGTCTACAAGCTCTTCATAATTACTGGGCCTTTTAAAACATTTTGTTGACTCTCCAGTCTTACCATGCAGCCATTTTCAACCTTCGTCCTTCCAAGGTCTGGCCTAGGACTTCGGTTGACAGCTGTAGATGCAGAGCCAATGGAGAGAGACAGGCTGGAGAAGAGTATTTCTTAGGTCTCCTCAGAAGTGAACCCTGCTGAGCTTCATGGGACTTATTCCCAGATAAACGGCATAAGACTGCAGTCTGTATGTGGTTTTGCAGCAGGTTCATGCTGTCCATGTATGTGTGAATTTTGCCAGTATTATGTCATGTGTGTTTTATTTTAATTGCTGTTTATTGACTATTAGCAGTTCTGACAGTATATATTTTTGAGGGGTGGAATATATTTTTTAAATACATTACCATTGTGATCTGGGAGTTGTTTGGCAAGGACATGGAGGGAACTGATAGAATTTGTGATGTCCTCTTGGTGGGTCCTACAAACTCCCTACCTGTTGGAGTTAAATGTGGGTTTTGCGGGTTCCTGGCCTGCAAAACACATCTGAAAACCATTGGCTATGAAATCCACCCAGCTAAGGTCCATGTCATACCGTTGCATGTTGACTTTTGGCAGGGGTGGGCAACCTGATGCTTCTGGCTGTCTTGCACTGCAACGTCCACAAACTCTGAGCAATGGTCATGCTGTCCAGGACTTACCTGGAGGTCACCAGGTCACCCACCCCGGCTGTTGGTGTCCCAGAATAGCTCACTGCTAGGGACATGCTTGATTCAACAAGTTTTAAACCTTCTCTTGCCACAATGTGGTGACTTGAGCCAGGAGGCACAACGCGTTTCAGTCCCAGAGGAAGGGCTGCACAATGAATCTTCTCCCACCCTTTCTCTCCCCTCTTTCTGGCTGTTCTTACAGAGACCCTGTCTGGAGTGACAAATTTTCGGGTGTTGGAAGCAGGGCCAACTTTCCTTAGACTCTCCTGGACTGCTGGTCTGGATGCTATACAGGGCTACAGGCTGACGTATGTGGCCAGAGGTTAGTGAAGAGCGTGGCAGAGATGGCCCTCCAGGAACCAAAACTACTGGGCGGGGAGAGCCTCCTCACACCTGAAATGGAGGGATCATGTGGTCATGTGGAGGCACGGGAGGAGAGCGTCAGGTTGGGGAAGGCTGACCTCTGGTTATGACCCTCTGGCCTGTGGCATCGCCTCAGTTCCACCATGCAGGCAGAGTGCAAGTGAGCTCTGCTCTGAAGGAAGAGACAGTTCCATTGAGGGGTTCTCTCTTTAAAATATTTGGGCAATTTGGGATTGCTGCTGGCAAAAAAGATGCGCTGCACCAGATCTCCCTTATTCTCTCAGTCTGTGCCCAGCAACTGCGGTCTTGCCTAACCACAAAAGAATTGGGGCTTTTAAGGGCCAAGTTTCCTGTTGCCAAAAGGCAGAGAGGTAAACAGGTTTCATGTTCCCTTCAATCAGCCTTTCCCAATCTGACATTCTACAGCTGCTTTGGATCACAACTCCTATCACTCCCAACTGACCACCGGCCATGCTAGCGAGGGCTGATGGGAGTTGTAGGCCAAAGCAACCAGCCAAATGCCTATTAATTTGTTTAACTGACATTCCGAAGGACTCTCCAAGCAGATTAGTCCAAAGGATTCTCCATCTTGTGGGAGGCTGCATTAAAGACATGGCTGCTTCCAGTCCATGTCCTCTCCCTTTGCCTCCTCGCCATGTTTCTTTCCAACAGATGCATGGGGTGTTTTCCCATTTCACATCCTTGTCCCACAGGTGGAAGCTGGTGAAATGGGTGCAATGACCTCACATCTGCCACACATCTGTTTTAATTCAATGGGGCTGTTTCACCTTGTGAGCCCTCAGATGCTTTGGCCTACAACTCTTGCCAGCCCTGGCCAATGTAGCCAGTGGGGAGGGACCATGGGAATTATAGGACAAAACCTCTGGAAGGCCTGGCCCATCCTACAGCTAAAGGAATGAGTTCAAGAAGTACAGGGAAGAGTTGCGGGTTGTAGCCAGTGGCCGTATTGTATAAGGCAGTGGCAGGCAACTTGTGGCCCAGATCTCCTAATATCTCTTGCCATCGGTTATGCTGGTCAGAGCTCATAAGAGCTGTGTAGGTCGGAACACAAGGAGGGCCGTCAGGGCCATCATTTGCCTGCAACTGGTGGAAGGCAACTAGTCGTTTGTCGCAAGGAAAGCCCGAGAGACAGGAAAGTAACTTTGGTGGGCAAGCCCTAGAAATGTCTCCTAATTGATTGACTGACTGATTGATTGATTGATATTTTCATTATATGCTGCCTAATACTACAGTCTCAAGGTAGCGTTATATAAATTTATAATTTATACAAACTACGAGGCTTTCCTCAGCTGCCAAGGCTCCAGTGATGACAGAGGCTGTGTCCTTCAGCAGCAGGGCGATCGCAGCCTGTGCAAGAGATGCTCAGCCCTGCTGGCCTTCACCCAATCACAGGCCCGTGCTTCATTTGTCGAAGGGAGCTTGTGTCGCACTGTTTCATGGGGCAGTTTTGAGAAGAAGACTTAGGGCAGGGGACGGAGCCCAACTTGAGGCCCTTCAGATGTGTTGGCCTGCAGCTTCCACCGATAGGCCCCAGACAGCCAAGGGGCATCGGGCTGAGGAAGGCGGGAGTCGCTTGTGCCAGCCTGCGGAGTCTGGGTCTGCGGGCAGCTGCACCAACTGAAGGCTGCAGCAGCCTCGGCATGGAGCCAAGTCCAGCCTTGGTGTAGCGGGAGCTGATGCTGGTGGAAGGCTTTTTCCAATGAGGCTGTTGTGCATGTTGGGAGCCGCACCTGGAGCTGCCCCTCCCCAGCCTGCAGCCATCCCGGTGCTCAGAGCCCTGGCGTCCTTCCCAGAGCCTCACCCAGAGCGGGGCCACACCTGCTGCCATGGCAGTGCCTCCCCCAGTAAGGAAATGCTGGCACCCAGATGCTGCTGAGCTCAGCAAAGCCAGCTGCCGCCTGGGCTGCGGTTTTGCTCTGCATGGCCCAGATCTGCAGGATCCCAAATACTGCCACTTTTGGCCCACATAAGCCTGCGTGGGAGCTTGATTTGATCCCCACTATTCTTTAAAGGCAGGGGGTCCCTGCTGTTGGTGAAGACCTCCTCCTGAAACACTTCCAGTTTTTATCCTCGGTTGTTTGTGCCTGGAGTGATTGAGTTCTGCAAGATTTGGAAACAGGTGAAGGACAACAGAGGCTGACGGGTCCATCTGTCAACATCTCAGTTGCATTAGGAAGTTGGAGTGTGTATTCTTTTAAGTATTAAACACTGTGAAAATAAGGGATGGTCTTTCAGAATAAGGGATATCTGGTAGGGGAAGGCAAAGGAGCCCAGTACAAGAGGATGAATGCTGATGGGAATTGCAGGCTGAAATATCTAGAGGGCCAGACATTCCCCAGCCTTGAGCTGGAGTATTGAATCTCTTTAATTTCCCGTCTCTAGACTTGCCTAGCTTCTTGACCTGGCTCAGTTCATTGGGTTGCAAGATTAAGAATTCAAAAAGAAATACTAAGGACTTTGAAGTGTACCTTCCAGAGATGTTCAGAAATTAGAGGAGCTGCTTACAGCAGGGGTAGGCAATATATGGCCCCCCAGTTCCTTTTTCCCTACAAGCCCACTCACGCCTAGCCAGCATAGCCGGTGGTGAAGGATAATAGGAGTTGTATGCCAAAATGAGTGCCTTCAAACCAATGGTGCTATTTATGTAAAAGCTCCCTGGGGGTCCAGTGTACCTCTCATATTTTGGGTAGGTCTGTCCCTGAAATTCTCATTGTTCTTTTTTCCTCTTCTCAGGTGAAGCTCAAGCTGAGGAGGTGAACCTTGGGGCCGGTGCGACATCCTTCTTGCTCAGCAACCTTCGCCCCAACACCGAGTATGTGGTCACGCTGTATCCCCTGCACCCACGTCAGACCATAGCACCCGCTGTAGTCAGTGGCCGAACATGTAAGTCCTTGTCTGGCTGACCACAAGCGAAGCCTGGAGACATGGGAAGAGAAAAATTATTCTCAGGGAATGTAGACCTGGCATGGAACTTGTTTGGGGAGAGCAGCATTACTTCCAGATTAATGACCTGTAATGACCACTTGGCACTTAGCCAGCCTTCTCTTTCCAGGCTGAGTGCTCTGTGTAAGGGGTGAAGAGGTTGTTTGAGTAACTCATCAGAAGCGTCAGGACTGGCCTTTCTAGCAGTGGTGTGCCAGATCGGAATCACTGCTCACACCAAACTGTTTGGACGAGCTTTTCAGCGTATGTCAGGGGTGCTGAACCTCTTCAGCTTCAGTGCCGAATTCGGTTTTGGAGATGCTCTTGGGGGTTGTGTTCTAGCAGTGTGTGGGACTGAAGACAAAAGGAACGGGGCCCAAGAGATGAGCTTATTTTAGCTTAAAGCACTTGCTGCTGGTTACGAAGACTTAAAATAGGCATTTTAGCCCTTTTGTTGTTGCTCCAGGCCATCAATTTGTCTCTGATTCCTGGAAGTCCTATGCATGAGTACCTCCCCAGACGCCCTATCCTTAACAGCCCTGCTCGGATTTGGTCTACCCAAGGCTGTGGCTTCTTTTATAGAACCAGCCTGTTGCATATTGGGATTTCAGCCTTTTGGAATGGCTGGGAAACCTGGCAAAAACTGGGAGACTGCCAGACAATTCGTGACTGAGGAAAAGAGGTGTGTCCCTCTGGGTAATCTGAGGAATGAATATGAGCTGCAGTCTGGAGTGTGGGCGTTTCTGGCGCTTGCCATCTGCATTCCGAACTAAAAGTTAGTCAGTAACGCGTAGCCCGATCATGGCCTTCAGGTGCATTTGAACCGAGGTGCAGGATGATCAGGAGAACTCACTTATTTTATAGCCTAGGCTAGGTATGTGCAAGGAACTGGTCTGGAGGTGGGAATCCACCCGAGTTCCTTAGCTTGGCTTCCCAGACTCTGGCCCACTTTCTCGCAGGCGTAAGTCCTCTTCGTGCCAAGCGATCACAGCAGCGTTCAGCAGGAAGCCAGTTCAAGAGGAGTTCTGCTTCCACACATGTGACTTGTGGGGTTTGCATACTTGGTGTGCTTTGCATAATGCCTTACATGCTTTGCATATTTTGCACAGAAAATCCATGCTTTTTGCAAACCGTTATGTGCTTTGCACAAAGAAGCTGCTGGTGCTACTGAGCATTTGCAGACTTGATTTCGGCTCAGTTTGGTCCCTGGCCACAGCTGAGTATGGGAAAGAAGTGCAGTGAACACAAGACAACTGGATTCCAGCCTGAACGTCACCTCACTAGCCTAGGCTAAGATACTCACAGCCCGTGCACAGGCTGTGAATGATATTTGCAGTGAATGGCTACTCTTTGCTCTATGAAGTCATCGTTGTGAGGCAGGAACAGATCTTCTGGCTGTACCAGGATTTTAGCTTGGGCCAAAGGTGGGGCTTGAAAAGCCTCTTAAATATTGAAATCAAACGCACAAGGGAAATCCTCGTATTTTGAGGTAATGGCTCTGACAGCACTTGTAGACTTTGTAGCATGAAGGGATAGTGGCAAGGATATTGCTTGTGTTGATAAATGTTGGTCCTTGGAGAATCATCGGCAGAGGCCAATATATTCTGCTACCACTTTGTGTAGCTTTCTCTCTTTCTCTGACTTTCTGCTTCAAGCATCTGCATCTGGTCACTGTTTGAGAGGAAGCGCTGAGTTTGGGGGATTGTTGGCTTAACCTGATGCGATGGCTGTGCAGTCCTGTACTGTGCATTCTTACTCAGAGGCAACTCCGGCTGAGTTCAGGGGGGTGACCTTCGAAGTGAGTAAGTGCAGGGCTGCAGCTTTACTGCTGAGGAACTGCTAGTGTCCATGCTTCGAGTTAGACACCTCAGGGCTGGGTTTTGATTTCCAGTCATTATGGAGATTTTTAGGATGCTAGACTCTTGCTGTTGTCATCCTATTTTCTATTTTTAAAGTAATTAATAGAACTCTTAAGCAACAAGCAAAGAATACAACCTAGTATTAGATGTACAAAAGGTTTTTAATCTTCTAAAAATAAGTCGTGACGTGTGTGACTGGGTTTGCTTAGACAGATCTGTGTTGATGAAGGGGTGGCTGCCGGCAGGCAGATGCCTTTCCAATGGAAGTGATGAAAGGAGGCCATTGAGATTTAAAAAACAGAAAAGCAGTTCTGGTTTTACCAGTCCTTTAGGGAGTCAAAGTTGAAATGCTAATTTCTTCATAATTACCCCCATCTTTTTTCCTGGGATACCAGGACATGTGTGTGGAGAAGATGGGAAAACTTTCAGCATTTGCTAGGTCAAGCCAAGCTGTACCTAATAAGGAGATCACAAGAGCTTCATAGAGAAGGTTTCTCAAATCATCTGCAAAGAGAAGGCAACATGGGCTCAAACTGAATCGCCTGAGCTTTACTTTTTGCCTATGTCTTGCAAGACCCATTCCTATACATTAGCATTATCCTCTTTACCCATCAACATTGGATGCAAGCTCACCCCTGGACATATAGAAGCATCGCTGGCACCCCTCTCTATTTCTTCAACTTTTTAATGCCTTATTTTTAAATTGGTTTTCTCAACCGTTTCATTACTTCAGTGCATGATCTGCAAGCAGGATTGATTCCTCTCATACATGACCAGCAAGGTGCATGTTAAGACATGTTAACCTATATTTATTCATGTCATGTGAATGAGTTGTATTCTTTCTTGTTGAGCAGATATTTCAGTAGCTTGCCCAAGGAGGGGCAACTGTGGATGCCCTGGTGTTTTTAGACTGTGACTCCCATCAGCCTTAGCCAGTACAGTGAGGGATGCTGCAGTCCAGTTATACCTGGAGGGCCAGCCTGAGCTCACCTGCGACAGGCACCCCTGAGTCCAGTGCAGTCCCCAGGCTGGGCTGCCTCAGGGTTGCTTGCCTCTAAATCCATTCCTGATCAGAGGGCTAAGGGGTATCGCTCTTTCCCCTGTCCATCTGGTATCGTCGCATGTGCACGCTGGAGCCTCTGAGAGGTACAAGGGACTGGTGCAACATAGTTTAGTTTAGTTGCAAATACTGGAAACTCCCCTTGCCCAATTCTATTTAAACTTTTGAATTCTGCGGGAGGGCGGCTTATTGTGTGTTACCTGGCAAATGTAACAGGACCCTACTTCTCTCTGTTGGCCTTGGCCTTCTCTGTCCTCAGCGAGTTTGGCAGGAGTCCAGCAGCTGTCTGCCCAGAACATCTCCTCCCAGGGCATGCTGGTGGCCTGGCGGGGCGTGAGTGGAGCAACTGGGTACCGCATCACGTGGGCCCTCCTCTCAGGTAAGGCTTCCGGACTGCCCCTTTTCTCCCTGGGCTCCAGCATCAGGAAGCTCCAGCACAGTAGCCTTAGTGGTTCAGCTCAACCATCACCATGCCAAAGTTCAGCCTTTCCCAACCTGGTGCTCTCCAGATGTGCTGGGTGGCCAGCAGTATTGCTAGGAGAAGCTGATGGGAGTTGCCATGCTACACATCCGGAGGGTAGCAGTTTGGAGAAGGGTGCTGCACATCTCGTATTTCTCATAGTCCCTCCTTAACTGTTTGGAGATCTTGCAGAATTTCAGTGTTACTTTCACTCTCCAAATGGTTCACAGGGCTTATGAAGTACCAGGGCTTCAGTCATCAGGAAAGGGGAGGCAGTTATTTAATGAACAGGTACATTTGAAGGCTTTCCCTGAAGGTTCTGGCAGGAGGAGAAATGCAGCAGGAGGAGGGGTTTGGTAGGAAATGTGTTGATTCGTAACAGCGCCCCACAAAAAGTCTCTGGATCCACCAGTACTACTGTGTTCACGTTTCAACATCATTGCCATCTTGCCATAACTGCATCTTGAATAATTCCTATCTCAAGATGTACAGAGCAGTACTTAAACGCTGTCATATCTGAAGCCTGACTGTGTCTTCATGGCGTCTCCTGGAAAACTCGCCACACGTGTGCAGCCACCCTAAATTTAAAGCATCATCCAGACACGACTTGCAGAGTCGGTTGTATCACCACCGAATTCCAGTTCTCTCATCATTTATTCCATGCATTGACTGCAGCCATTCCGTGTGCTCGCAAGCGCTATTGTGGCACCGTTGACAGAGACTTGGATTTGCGCTCAGGAGGCCTGCGCACCACGCTCTGTTCGGCCACAAAGGCCTCTGACCTGAAGTAGGTTTAACCGTGCCACTTAGCCAGACAGAGGGAGCCCAAGATCAGCCTAAATGTAATGCATCCACATATTTCAACTTTAGCTTCTTGGGGGAACAGTGAGAGAGATAGTATTGCACAAAATGGCCAGTTTGTTCCAAGGAACACTTTCTTCCTTCGCATTGTCATGACTTTATTTGGTATTGACTTCAAGACGGGGTGAGGTGCAGCATGGTGACTTTGCAGGTAGGCTGAAATGGGGAGTTCTGTTGGCTGTAAAATACTCTTCCGCTAGCTGTGCAAACATTGTGCCTTAGGACACACCCTGTGAAGCTTAGCTTAGAAGACAGCTCTGTATGTTTCTCTCTAAGTTAGGGGTGTATGATCCACACGCCCTTTTAATGCATGCAGCTCCTGTGAGATCGCCTGGTGAACTTAGCCACATATATCAGGGATAGGCAGCTGTTGTTTGTTGAGAGCCAGGTCCCCTCATGGGTAATTGGGTGCCTACTAGTGGCAGGCGTGGGCGAAGCCACCAGTGGCCACCTGGTCACAGCCAAAAGTGGGCGAGCCAACATTTTCCTCTTCTGCGACGTTTCTCTCCCTCTCCCTCTGCCTTCCTACCCAACAGGGTGTTGGGGAAGGAACAGATCATCTCTTGTTAGAGGTCAGAACTGATTGCATGGGGAAGACTTTTGGAATAAGACTGAGGGGCCCAAGTTACCCTTCTCTGAATTACAAGGGGAATTTCAGTGCTGCCGGGTTGGTTTGTTTTTTTAATTGTTGGTCTCTGCTTCCACAGGTCAAGGTATTCAGCAAACTGATGTTGATTCGAGCAAGAATTCTTTCCTGTTGACTGGACTGCAACCTAACACAGATTACTTGGTGACTGTTACTCCGCTCTATGGCCAAGTGGAAGGGCCCAGAGCATCCATCAGGAGGAGAACTGGTGTGTGCATGAGGCAGTATGTTGTTGTTGCTGCTGCTGCTGCTAAAAGCAGTGTGGGCTGAGCAAAGTCAGACCTATACTTCCATTGCTGGCCCATTCAGCATTCTGTCTGCAAGCTGGTTTATAATGTGTTAGCTTATTTAAACCCTGAGATAGCAGAATGAAAGTTGGTAGACATGTTCAGGGTACAATTCTATTTCTAGTTCAAACACCAGCTCACTTGGCCACCTATTCAAAAGAGGGAGGGAAATGCAAAATACAAGAGTGAGCCATAGGAATGTATGCATATTGAAGACAATATTGGGTATTTCAAGTGCAAAGTCTAGCTAGAACTTTTCTTAAAAGGGGTGTTGGGGGAGAGACTGGGATTTGCTATATTGCTGGAATTTAGTGCTGTTTGGCTGTTTTGTTTTTTCATTGATGAACTTCTAGTCAGAGACTTAGATTTGAAGCATATTTGGAGGCCAAATAATTAATCACTACCTTACTGGGCTTTTCTATGGATAACACAGATCTCTTCTGAGTCCAGTCTGTCTTTGCTCTTTTTAGAAGCCCTCGTCGTACAGATTTTGAGGACCATCAGTGTTGACCCAACTTCTATCCAGGTGGCTTGGAACATCATTCCTAATGCCCGGGGCTATAGGCTGGAGTGGAGAAAAGCGACAGGTAGGCTGGCCAGACAGCGGCAGTGCGTGAAAAAGAGCCTGCCAGCGCTAGCTGGAGAGGCTTCCTGCTGCAGACCTCCTGGGAGCAAGTCCTAAGCGATTCCCTTTTCTTTTCCCAAACAAGGTGTTTCTTGGATGAGGCCTCTGAGTGTCTGCCAATGGTCTAAGGATCGCCTCTTCTCTAAAGCTACCTTTCCCAGCCTTGTGCTTTCCAAATGGGTTGGACTACAGCACTGGTCATCCTCAGTCAGCACATGGAGTGTGCTCACTGGGGATGATGGGGCTTATACTCCAATTCTCATTTCGGTATGGATTTATTTTATTTTGCACTTCTGAACCTCTATGCAAACCAAAATTCAGTTCTCATTTGGAATTCACTCTTCTGGAGTAGAATGCTCCGTTTTTCAGTGATGCTCTCCAATAAAGAAGAAAATAAGTGTATACAAAAATGTACAAGTTAAGGAAGATAAAATTAAAATGCATTATGTTAAGAAAATTGCTTGCCAAAATGTGCATATAAAATATGTATACAAGACCAAAATTAAGAAATATGCTCAAAAATGCTTATGAAGTCTGAAGTTAAAATGAGAGATTCTCCCCACGTTTGAGACAAACTGAATTTAAGATTGGGAAACATAAGCAACTGAGAGCAACTGAGCTTGAGGATTGGAGTTAGGGATTGTGTTTGTGTATGTCATACTTCCCAGTTCTTCCTTCTGCTGCTGCCCAGGTGTGGATTCCCCCAAGACTGCTTCCCTGCCCACCAAGGAGAACAGCTACACTCTGACAGGCCTGCAGCCGGGCACGGAATATCACATCACCCTCTACACCTTGTATGATGGCAAGGAGGTGGCGACGCCAGTTACCATCTCACAGACAGGTGAGTGCATAACAGATGGATGTCTGGTGCTACTTGCTACACTAGGCTGTGGGCAAAGAACTTGTCTAGATAATTCTGGGGGTTCCTTGCAGTCCAGCTCAGATTAGATATTTAAATTGGAGCACCTGAAGTTTTTCTAGTGGGCATTATTCCTGATAATTTTGATAAACAAGCTATATACCTGATTCTGCATGTAATTGCTGCGGCAAGGATTGTATTTGCCCAACATTGGAGGAGTGAAAAGCCACCTACTGAAGAACTGATCTTAAAAAAGATTTTGGACTGTGTAGAAATGGACAGATTGACCTTGTCTCTGAAGGTGAAGGAGGATACATATTTCTATCAAACTTGGAACTTTTTTTACTATTGGCTAGAGAAACAGGACTATGCTTAGATTTGAATATGGTTATGGACTTTTAAAAAGAGTGAGATGCTGACCCAGTATGTCCGATGTCTTAAATGACTGATGTTTTTAGTGTTAGTTTCTAGAAAAAATAATAAAATTTATTTTAAAAAAAGGATACTTAAATTGGAGCATCAGCTTCGAAAGAAAAATGCAAGTCATACAGTGTCAACACACCATGTTGAAGCGCTTCCGCTCACAGCACCCATTTAAGCAACGGACTGAAAATGGCTGTGAATACTGAAGCATGCGAACTTGTAGCAGAGCGCAGGGGGCTTGAGGTTATGGGAAGGGTCTGGACACACCTCTTCCGGCCTTGCAGTTGCTGAGTTACTGTTCTTAGAAAAGTCAGCAATGGGATCAGTGGTCGAATGCTCGCTGTGCTGGCCACGTCTCTTCAGAACAGCTCTCTAAGGCTTCTTGTAGCCTAGCTGTGCCCTGTGGTTGTGTTGGATTACAGCTCCTGTTGCTCCCAGCCCCCTGTCTGGGAAGTCTCGTCCAAAAACATCCAAAGGGTGTCAGGGTGGGGAAGGTTGGGCTAGTCAAGCAAAAGCAAGGATTGCAGATTAGCTTGGCCTTCAGTACTACCAGCCCATCTTAACACTAACTGAGTTAGTTTCATGGCTTTGAATTTCCCCCCTGTTTTCAGCTCACCTGTACCAGAGTCCTTGCTCTGGCGGGCCTTCTCTGTGGCTTGGCCTTGCAACATGTGAGAACTGGGTTTGGCCTGGCCTGGTTTTGCTCAGCCACAGAGGTGTCTTCTTCCCATCCCTTCTGCTTCCTTCTGTAATGAGTCTTGTCGCAGCCTCCGCTGAGCTACATCCAGCTTCATGAGGTTACCTTTCCAGGAAGGCTGGCACCTTCGCTCCCCTTGCTGATTGACCTGACTCGGGGCTGCAATTTGTCTTGCAGAAGTTCTGTTGCCTGTGGGCGGCATCTCAGACTTGAGGATCGTTGAAACTATAGGAAACAGAATCCGACTAGCCTGGACGGGCGTCCCAGGGGCCACAGGGTATAAGATTGTGCTACGTAACACCCAGGGTAAGTATCCAGGGGGAAGCTGGTGGTTGGGGTTGGCTTCATGGGGGTGCTGCTTTCTCCTGGTGTACTACTAGAGTGTTGGACTAGGACTTGGAAGATCTGGATTCTCGTGCCCACTCTGACCATGATGCTCACGTGATGACTTTCGACCAGGCATTGAATTTCAGCCCAGCCTACTTCGCAGGTTTGTTGTGAAGATGAAATGCAGAGGAGGAGGATCGTCTAAGACACTTTGGAAGAAACATGGGACATAGATGTAGCAAAGAAATAAATAAAATCCAGATGCATCCACAGCTAGTAGGTGAAGAGGGAAAATCAGATTGGAACCAGAGAAGAGAGTCGTGCAAGGAAATTAAGCTGCATTTGGTGACAGCTGGATGCCCTGTTCTATCCAGATAGAGTTCCCCAGCAATCCCATATACTCTGTGCGTGTTTCCAGGCTTTACTCCCCAAACATGATGGCCAGGCACTCGCTCTTGTTTCAGAAAAGAATGAAATGGAGGTGCTCGACTAGGACCCAGGCAATGCACCAGCAAAGTAAAGTCAGGGAAGTCTTGCCCACGGACGGCCCCAGATACATGTACACGGCTGCTGTGTTCTCTCCTGCAGATGGCACCGAGAGGGTTCGGCACATCCCAGGCTCCCAGACCACGGAGGACCTCGTGGACCTGAAAGAGGATGTCGGCTACGTGGTGCGTGTGTCGGCTCTGGTCGGCAACCGCGAGGGGAGCGCCACCCCTCTCAATATCAGAATCCGTAAGTGTGAAGAGGCTCGAATGCAGGAGCAGAACCTCACAGGATCTGGTTGGAGCTCCGAGCTCAGGTTGCCCAGCAAGAGCTGCAAGAGATGCAGGCGGGACATTGCACCTGCCCTTATCCCTAATCAGAGCAGGGTAAAGGCATCTGAAATTCCCATACCTCAACTGGTAAAATCTTTAAATTCCTTTGACATGTAAAGGTATTTAAACTGTAAAGAGAAGGTACAGCAACCCGGATGTTCATGTTTTAAAAGTCTGCTTTTGTGTCTCCTGAATGCTTGGAATGAGCTTTGCTCATGTGTGTGGAAACTGTTACACTGAGGATTACTCCTGGGTAGATGTGCATAGCACTGAGATGTGCTTTATGTGCTTGGTCCGTAGAAATGACAGCTCGACTAAACCCATGTTGCTTTGCTCTCCCCCTCTGTGCTTGTGCTCAGCCCCTGAGCACCTTTCCTGGCCACAAAAAACTCTCCCATCCTTGATGGAGTGTGAGGGGGGGAAGTAGCAACACTTTCCGCACTCACGTTTCCTCTCCCAGTGAATTGATTAGAGGGACAGAACCTTGAGATATGCTAAGTACTGCTGATCAATGTTATTCATTTAAATTACTTGAAAGTAGACTTATAGACTAGCAGTCTACAAAAGTAATTAGCTTCCCAAGAACAGTGCCTATGTTAGTCCTGTGCAGAGTAGACCCATTGAAATGAAAAAGAGCTAAGTCAGGCACAACTGCATAATTTCCTTCCTTCTGCACTGTCCTTCTGTTTCTAAGAATTGCAAAAGCAGCTGATTTTTTAGTTTTGCTGTAACTGTTTCCTTCAGTTTTGGCCGGACACGCAAAGTGTGCCATTCCTTTTCACCTCTTCTGTTTGTGGGCTGTTGTCGGTCCTGCCAACCCTCACTCCTCCTGCGAGCTCAGCGCTTTCTTGTAACTTTGCCAGGCTGTTCCAGTAACGAGGCTTCTGTTCTTCTGTGCCAGGACCGGCTCTTGCAGGCACTGTCTCAAACCTGCGCATGGTGCCGGTGGGACTGGGTCGGGTCCGGCTTCTGTGGACTCCCATCACTCGGGCTACAGCTTACAAGCTGGTGATTGTCAACACCCAAGGTAGGGATTGTTCACTTCGTGTGACCATGTGATCTTCCATAATGAACACTTTGGTTTGTTTGGTGTGATGCTATGCTTTGCCCCTCCTGTGAGTGCTTGAGGTATGAATATGTGTGGAAATGGATGGGATTCCTGGGGGAAAAGGAGCTGGCATGTTCTGCTCTTCTGCAGGACATACAGGGATCTGGTGAGAGTTTATTAAACCAAGGGCTGCAGAGCCAAGGGCCAATCTGGCCTGCTGGGGTTACCTTGAAGGACCTACCATTTCCACTAGTTTTGCCCCGTTTCCCTTAACCACTGATGGTTGGGTGGTTTTGTAGCCTTTTTACAGTCCCTTCCCCCCATTTAAAATGTTTCAATTCCCTAGCAGCTCGAAGCTACCACACGCTGGGAGTTTTGGCCTGCCCATTTCGCTTCTGACTCCAGCACAACTGCAACTGGGATGTGGCCCCCAAGAGCATCTCCAAAATGGAATCCAGCCTTTGGCTGAGAGCGATTCTACGCTCCTGGCCCAAGCACTGCAGGGCATATGAAGTGCTCCTGAGAGTGTTTGGAGCGGGACGGAGAGCGCTTTTGTCTGACTTGTGCAGCGAGGCGAGGAAGTTGTGTTCGGTGTGGGTGGATGGAGTCACGAGAGCCTAGTTGGCAGAGGCTGATTCCATTTCCCCGGCATGTTTCTTCAGATGGCTCTGAGGAGACCAGGCGGATCGCTGGCGACCAGAGTTTCTTCGACCTGCAGGACCTGAAGGACGGTGTCACCTACTTGGTGCGGATCACGACAGTGTCAGGCAGCCAGGAGAGCCCCCCGGCCACCCTGACTTTCCAAGTGGGTATGTTCCCCCTCTGGGCCTGGGCTGCGTCATTCTCCATGCCAGCCTGGGCCAGGCCTCAGGCGCCTGGATCCCTGCAAAGCTCACCACGCCAGCACTGCAGGTTTTTTGCAGCAGGTAAAGGCCTGGCGCAACCTTGCCCCACTTGGTGCCCTGTGGATGCATCTGGCTGCAACCCCCATGCTGGCTGGGGGGATGTGGTCCAACACACCTGGAGAGCACCAGTGAGGCCTTGCTAAGTGTTTGGCCCACAGCAGCCCTGCAGCATGATGCTTCCTGTCCAGCATCTTTACTTGGCAGAGGTGGCTGTGGGCGAGCCGGTCTCTCCTGGCTGCGCTCGCCCACCGCACTGCGGCAATAATTGCTCTTTCATGCCTTTTGGGGAGTTGGACTGATTTCTGAGTTGAAATTCAAGAAGCCATTTAGAGTTTTCAATGTGTTCTGTAAATATGAGGTGGCTTCTGATTGCTTTCCCTATTACCTACCACCCTTCAGTGATACCTCTGACCTTGCAGAATCCCCCTCCGTGGGCCGCATCACCAACTTGGAGGCTGCTGCGGTCGGGTCCAACCAAGTGCGGGTGTCATGGAATCTGGTTGCTGGAGCTACTGGCTATAAGGTGACGTGGCGGCCGAGGGATGGTGAGTGGATTGTGCATCACAAGATGAATGTATTCTGGGTGCAGAAGCTCTCAATTTGGGGGCTTTCGTGCTGAAACCACTGCCAATTCTTGAAGCTCAAGTTGTGACAGTGACAAGGAGTTGTTTGCGCCAGCTCCCCTGGTGATGAGCTGTACCTGCGTCCACCACCGTTGCTGCTGGCGGTTGCCATTCTCTTCCTGGTGTCCCTGAGTTGCATTTCTAGAATTCCCTCTGTGTGGAAATTCCCTTAAGAGTTGGCTAAGGCCTTGCCGCTGAGGCAGAATTTGGCAACTGCCTTCCGACAGGCTGTAGTGAGACAGTGTTGATTATCCTGCACTTGTAGGATGGTGGTCCCCAATCTGAAGCCCCCCAGGTGTTTTAGACTACAACTCCCCAGCATTCCTAACCACTGGCCATGCTGGCTCAGGCGGATGAGAGCTGAAGTCATCTGCCAGGGAACTAGGTTGGGAAGGCTTCTGTAGAAGATGGTTTGGGATATATTGAAGAAGAGCCAAATGGGGCAACGGACCACCGTCTGCATGCCTCTGAGGCCTCGTCTCTTTGCTCCAGTTGCTACACTGCCACCACCAAATGATTTCTCTGTGTGCAGGAGAACTAGTAAGGGGACGGCTTACCTGAACCTCTGAACCATCAAAGATCCTTTCTAGGCAGGCTGCTGAGCAGCAAGCTCTTTTCAGTCTTGGAATTAAAAATACATTTTGGGCAGCCGCAGATAAAGGGCTGGATGCTGTTCCTGGAATCTCAAGGCAAAGCGTGTTAAAACAGGAGCGATGCTGTCCTTGGCTTTGTTGTAGTACGTAATTATAAGACAGAAGATGAAGAAAGCCTGCAAATGAGTATTCTGTGCAACTCATTCTTCTCATCTATTGAGGTGGCATATCAGACTAGGGCGTATTTTTCCTTAAGCTACGAAGTTACATGAAAAGAAAAGCTTCCAACTAAATAAGGGGTGGGCAGCCTGTGGCCTGCGGGGTGCAGCCGACCCCCATGTCCCTGTTGTGCCCTTTCCTGCCTCTTGTAACAGGAAGACAAACAAACAAGCCCCCCCCCCAGTTCCAAATACGAAGTGGGAATTACATCAAATGAAGCTTGCAGTTTGCCACCAATTTTTTCAGCATTGTAGTCCTCTATTCCATCATCACACAGTGCAAGAATGAGTCCACACCACACTGGCAGGACTGGTGTGTGTGTGTATGTGCAAATAGCCCTTGCACCAACTTGCAGTTGCAAATATCACTTCCCCTGTCCTTCCCTGTCCTGACATGAGTTGATGCCGGGTTAGCTGGGATGATGATGCTAGGCTGGGGCTCCTGTTTTCCCTCCTACTGATTTTTTGAATGGTAAGCATCACATGCCACATCTTACACATCTCTTCTAATGTTAATAATGCTTTTTGTTTCATAAAGTTAGCTAAACAAACCTAAGCAGCAGCGAGCAAATTACCAATCAAGCATGTAGGGCTGATGTTTCCGAACGATCTGACTCAGTGCATTGTTGAGTCTCCCAGGCTCTGACTCATCTGCTCCCTCCCAGAGGAAAGGAAAGCGTCTGCATCTCTGCCTCCACGGCAGGGGATGCGGCAGGCAGGCAGTGCTCCGCTCAGCAGGCCGTCCCTGCCCACAGGCCCACTCCTTTCTCCCTTGCCTTGGTCTGCAGCTTGCATTCCTTCGCACAGCAGCATCTCTCTCTTTCATTCTCTCTCTCCCAATCTCTCTCTCTCTCTCACAGGCAGGCAGGCGGGCGGGCAGGCACACTCTCAAGGTTGCACAATATATTGTTACCGCTAAGAAAATCTGTGCCTTGGAGGGATGTAATTATTTACAGTCTTCCGGCTGCACACAAACTTTTCCATAAGCAAGGAAGCTGTTCTGTTGATTGGAGCAGAAGCCTCTGCTTTCACTCGACTCGACGTGTGTGGAGAAAGGAGCTTCCGAGAGCTGCTCTCCGGCGGCTCCAAGCAGGGAGCTCCCGAGCTGCCACGGCGCACCCTTGCTTGTGGAACCTGCTGCCTTCAGCTTGCTGTCCTCCTCTCCTCTGCACCCCAGGTCAAGAGATTGCTCGTGTCCTGCCAGCCGATGCAAGCTCCTACATAATTGAGGGCTTAAGGCCGGGGGTGACCTACATCATCGGGCTCTCAGCCTTGGTTGGCAGCAGAGAAGGGAGCCCCGTCACCACCACAGCTACGACAGGTGAGCCCAGTAGTCCTGGCTAGTGGGCAGCACTTCTCTCTCTGCTGCCCGTGGGTCCACCTGGATGGCCCCTTTCTCCATCACCCCTCTCTGTCCTTTGCACTACAGCCTCTGAGCAGGTGGGAGCGGTCACCAGCCTTCGAGTCCTTGAATCCCGGAGCAATGTGGTGCGAGTCACATGGGTCGGCGTGCCTGGGGCGACCGCGTACAAGGTGGTGTGGAGCCGGCGTGACGGTAAAGTGGCTGTCCGTGTCTGTCGCCCTCCCGTGATGCTTGCAACAGTTCTGCTGCTGCTGCTGCAGGGGCTGCAGAAAAGCCCCGCGAGCTGCTGTGTGGGCTTGAAGGCCTTTGCACTGGCATTAGAGCCGGCTATTTGCAAGCCAACCCCCACCACCCCAGGATATTTCTAGTGTATCTTGGCCCCTCATATAAAATAGGTTAAGGTGATCGCTTTTCTTGGATTAGTACAATAGGACCATGTTATAGTGGGGTGGTGGAGAGGGCACATTCATGTATGCATTTATGTATTTGAGAAAAAAACCCACTCCTTAGAGTGCACTGCCATCACAAGGTAGCTTACAATATTACAAAAACATGGATATGCAAATTATCACACACACGCATGCACGCACACAGCAGCAGCAGCAGCAACTAATGATTGTTAAGCACCATGTAGAGAAGGAAATAAATGTGTCTTCAGGGGTTTTTTAAAGCTAGCCGTGATAAGCCCATAGCCATCTCCCTGGCGAAGGAGTTCCAAAAGCCGTGACTGGGAAAGCCCCATCCCTGGTACCCCGCAGACAAATGGGTCCTACTAATAGACCCTAGAGTAGGATGCCGACACGGATCTTATCATCCCATGTTTTCATCTTCCAGTAATCTTTCCTCAATTTAAGAAGGAGAAAAGTGCCGAAAGTAGAGGGAAAATGAGGATGAGGATAGATAGATGAGGATGGAATTTGTTAGGTGTTGAAGATGTTATCCTTTCAAAGCCTCAGTCATATATAGGATGGAAAATCGCTCTGGTGGAAGTACTATTTGAAGTAATGGTTAGTTAGTGTTAACAAGCTGTTCTAATATTTGTATTGTCCTGCTTCAGCTTCTTGGAATCATTTGTTCTGGTCAGAAAAGGGGAAAAATGAGAAACTGAAATACAGTTGGGAAAGGGAGGCAATATAAAACTTAAGTAACTTCTTTTTAACTCAAATTTGTTTGTACAGAATAATAAATTTAAATTATATTAAATTTGTTAATATAAACTACATCAGTATTACCCACTGTAGGTGCTACTGGACTTAGAGAAAAAAACACCATCAAACCATAGTATTGAAATTAATATATCCTACTGATGCCTTATCAAGATTTGTTTTTTTAATTCAAAAAATGCTTCAATGCTGAATTTCCAAAGCAAAGTGCATATATAACCTGATAAAAAGTAGATTTTGAATTCTACATTTTTTATCAAGTTTCCATTAGTGCACATTTTTATCTTAGTTGTAAGTAAAACTACCACAAAAGAAAACAAAAAAGTGGAGGACTGATCCATTTAGATGCTTGGATGGTTGGATGTTACTGGACTGATGTGTTGTTTTCCCCATGGCAAGGCTGTCCTTTGAGGATTAGCCAGCAGTGATGGCACCTGGTCACCCTTTTACACTCGTGTCTGTCACCTGCAGTGCTCTGACGCAGCTTTAGCCCCCTCTTCTAACTAGGAAAGTAACATTCTCTTCCTTTTGAAGGGGGACCTGAAAACAGCAGGGTGCTCACAGGAAACACCAATTCCTTTGATATCCTTAACCTGGAAGGAGGGGTCAGCTACACAGTGAAGGTCACAGCGCTGATTGGAAACCGGGAAGGAGACCCTGTGTCTATTACGGTCACCACACGTAAGACTTTCTTGCTTGGACTTACGCGTCACATTTGCATTTCTTCCACCTGCCACTCCTTTCAAGGAGTTCTGGGTGGTATTTCAGCCTTGCTGCGACTCTGACTTTAGCTATGTTTGCTTCCCCCAGGCTAGCAGTGAGTAAGTCAACCTTTGAGCATACGCTTCCTAGCACAGTGCTGCAGGGGAGACCTCTGTCTCTTCCTATGTGGGGTTTTGCCTCCTGGGTTGATTACACGCATCATTATCTCAGAACCTCTCTGGAAGCAAAGACTTCGAATGGGGTGTGGATTCTGGTTCTTTGAAGATGCTTGTCCAAGGAGGGTGCAGGTGTCATTGTCTAAACAAGAGGAGCTGTTTACCTTTTACCCCGTGTTAATAGGTGAAGTAGGCTCTGGAAGTGTCATACAGCAAGGATCCCCCTACTTTTCTGGGACTATGGGCACATTTGGAATTGCAAGGTTGTGCTGTGTGTGCTTTCCCAGAATGGCTACCATGGTGAAGAAAGCCGGCCATCAAACTCTCATTTCCCACAAGGCAAATGGGTGAGACTAAAAGAAAAGCTGCTTGCTAAAGAACCTCAGGACAAGGCAGAGGTGAAATGTGAGCGCCAAAGCACAAAACCATTCGCCTGAACCGAACACGACCACTCTTCCGAAGAAGGCAGCGCTTCATGTTGCAGCATGCCAGGCTTGCAGTTTAGTTTAAAAATACTTAAGGAATACTATACAAACTGGAAAGGCGGAGGACCTCGTGGGAACCAAGGAAGGTGTCGGCAGGCACACTGCTGTTCATGGGCATCAGGCTGGCAGACCTGAGCTTTACAGGGTGAATCTTGGCATTTCTTCCATTCCTCGCAGCAAAGTTTGTGCTCATCCGGACTGCACCTGAGGAACCGTTCCTTCTGCTAGACCTTCTTCTGTTTGGTGAGGAGCTAATGCCTGACGTCTTCTTCTTCTACTCATCTTCCCACTTTTCTTTTCAGCAAGAGTCCCGGTTCAACCAGTTGGGAATCTGCGTGTGATTGACTCCTCAGAGAAGCGTATCCGACTGGAATGGAGCCCAGTGCCTGGCAGCACAGGCTATCGACTTACCTGGCGGCCAGCAGAGGGTGAGTACCTCCTCACATCCCCCCCCCTCACTTTAATGCCATCCAGCACCCAGGACATTAACCGCTTCTCTCGCATGGGACAGATGGTCAGGAGAGGAGCCAGCTGCTGCCAGCCGGCATCAACACCTATGACATCGAAGATCTGCAGCCAGGAGGGCGCTACGAAATTCGAATCACAAGCCTCCAAGGCAGCCAGGAGAGTGAAGCTGTGTCCATTGTGGCTACCACTGGTGAGACCAGGGTCCCTCCCGCTGCCAAGGTGGCTCCAGTCTCCCCAGGCAGTGGCAGTCCTCTGTTAGCCAGAGATGAGGCATGGTATCTGCCTCTTACTGGGCTCGGTAACTGGCCCTGGCCCCTGGGCAGAGGCCTGCATCAGGCTTAGCTCTGCTCGGAAGAAGGAAGCCATCTCCTGGTGGCGTCATGGAATTGCATTTCCCCAGAGTTAAAATCCCCTGGATATTTGTCATGTGTGACTTCCTGGAAGAGTAGATTATAAAAGCTGTAATTTTACACCAACACTTTGAGAGTGTTGGTAGACAGAGGAGTGATACATTTAAAAATGACATTCCTAATGCCATTCATTAGGAAGACACTTAAATGATGCCACCTGTGATCCTTGGATACATGGGTCTTCTATTGGCTTCCCCAAAGGATTGGAATCCACTCACTGTTTTCAGCTCCATTTTACAGTAATATTATTTTCACTTCCACAGCTGCATTTATAGGTGGCTATGTTTCATATTTTGCATTGCCTTCCCACACTATAGTGCCCGTACTGATGTGTGCCTGAGCAGCGCCAGCAGCTTGTGGCATACACAATGCTGGTATGCATATGTCTTTGCAATGAAAACACATCTTTCTTCACACGCTTCTAATCACTGCTCTAGCACATTTGCCTGGAAATGCCTCCCGGAGGAGTTAATGGCACTAAGAGGGATGCGTCACTGGTGTGATGATCATGGTCAGCAGCTGGGAGTACGAACTCTCAGCTGCTTCTTCGAGGAAGGCAGAGTTTGCCCTTCCAGCTCAGTGACCGAAGGCTCCAGCTCACCATTATCCACCTTCCTTTGCAGCTGAGAGCCGAGTGTCCAATTTCCGGATCACCGAGACCCTGAAGGATTCCATTACATTGACCTGGACGCCAGTTTCTGGGGCCTCTGGCTATTTCCTCTCCTGGGAATCTCCAAGAGGTAATGGCCTTACAGGAGGAGGAGAGGGCCAAGCTAGGGCATCGGCGATGTAGGGGGAGGAAACGCTGACGTGCCATTGTCCCATCAGACGCTGTGCAGCTGACGACCAGGTGCAGAAAGCCAGTCTGCAGTTAGCAAAAGTAGTTCTCATGTCCTGGGTTCATCAATATAGCCTACCTTTGCTACCTTTACCTTAGACTCCCTCCCTGTTTTATCCACACAACAACCTTTTAGGTAAAAGGGGGAGTGGCCAGAGCTCAGTGCCAATGCATTTGTTTGGCGTGCGAGAGGTCCCCGACGCAACCCCTGGTGTCTCTAGCTAGGCTTCGAAAGAATTCTGCCGGAAACCCTGGAGAGCTCCTGACAGTCCCTGTCGGTAGTCCGGAGCTAAATGGACCAAGGGTCTAAAGACTCACTGCAGGTTGGGATCTGGCTCACAGTGGGTTGCAGTGTCCACCCAGGCTGTTCCTCTGTGAAACTGCTCATTTTTGCTCTCCGTTTCAGACGAAAGGGAAGGGCAAAGAACATTGCCAGGCTCGGCAACATCCTACCAAGTGTCTGGGCTGCGACCGGGTGAGAGGTACACCTTCACCCTTCGCCCGGTGTTTAGGGACAGCACAGGTGCTGAGGCTTCTGTTTCTGGGACTTCTGCTCAAGCAGGTGAGGCGCTGCTTCTGGGAGGAAAATAGGAGGACTCTCCTCTCTGGCACCCGGGGTCTTACCCATCTCCATCTTCCACATTAGCTAACATGGACACGGGGTATGTGGCATTACTTGTTCCAGTGGGCATTTTCCGATCATTACCAGTGGCAGCCTGCACTACTGCCAGACCTGGGGTTCATCTTGGATTTTATTGTATTGTTTCAGTTGCATACTACATGAGCTTTTTAAAAAATACAAAGTGGTACGGAACTGATTTAAATTTAATTTAAATTAAATAATTTAATAGAAAGTTGTTTGTCTGTCTGATCAGATGTCTGTCTGTCAAAGTGCCATGAAACCCAGACAGATGAAAGCTGCATGCATATTAAGAACACCCTAAAGATTTCTATCTTAAGGTTATTTTGTTCTTAAAATGCAGCCATTACTTTTTAGTTAATTTAAGTGTGTGTGTGGTGTTAAACCTGCAGTAACATCTGCAGTCACTGGGGCGGATTTTCCTTACAGCTTTGCAGGCTGTACAGTCTGAAGGCAGAGAAGGGTAGGAGGCTGAGGGACGCAGCTGCCCCCCCGCCCCCCACCACGGGGCCACCCCTCTGCACTGAGATGGAAGGGGCTGTGCCGAGGAGGCACTGGGCATGGTTTTCTTCTGATGGGGTAGGCACATCAGGTCTAACAGCTGCCTCAGTTTTCTGAAAACTAAGGGCCAGTCCAACCCTGGTCTGTTAGCTAATAATTAATAAGTGGAATAGAACTATTCCTTCTCCCCTTTCTTGACCTGTTGTCAAGAAGATGATGCGGAGTGCACTTCGTTCAAATTTTGCTTGAGTCGTCCCCATTGGGTCTTGGCCAGCCACACTCATTCTACATTCTGAATCGAAACTGTTTGGCAGAGCAGTCTGGTGTCCTCCAGATATGTTAGACTACAACTCCCATCATTTCCCGACTGCCATGTCCCAGGGCTGGCTGGTTTGGGTTGTTTTCTGGCACATCTGGCAGATACCAGGTTGAGGAAGGCTGGGGTGGAAACGTGCCCTTACTGGGGGCAGAGTTCCTTGTCTCTTATTTGCCCACCTTATGCTCCTTGATGCCATTTCCCCGCCATCCCTTCTCACTCTGAAGCCTTCCCCTCCGCAGTCTGTCAAGATGCCCGCAGAGATATCGTTTTCCTTGTGCATGCAACGCGGGACAGTGCCTACAACGCAGAGGAGGTGCAAGGCTTCCTGGCTGACACGGTGTCTGCACTGGGCCAGCTGGGCCCTGGGGCCACCCAGGTAACTAAGCGTCAAGGACCTGGGGCAGTTCCTGATGCACATGTACGTGTGAATGTCTGCTTGGAAAAGCCACCCTGCCGCACTGCGTCACCCCGCAAGCCATTTGCCCCGTGTGGCTCCCATTGCGCTCTCGGTCACCTTGGCACTGCCGGGGGGGAAATCTCCCTTTCAGAATCCCGTGATGGTGAGGCGAAGATGGACAGAATAGCAGGGAAGGGGCAGCCGGGATGGCTTGCCACAGTATGCAGCCCGTGCCCGTGTGGTGGTGCGAATCAGGCTACGGTTGAGGATCGAGCAACCGGCTTCCGTTCTGAGCGTCTCTCAGCTGCCAGGGTGGCCTCTTCCTTCAGTTCTGTCCCTGCCTCAGCTGAAGCGGCCTCTTTCACCCAGGTATTTGCTCTGCCTCATTGCCACCCTCCTCACTCCCCAGGTGGGCATCGTGATCTACAGCTACCGAGGCCTCCCCTTGCTCCTGCTCAACCGCTCGGCCGACCTGCCGACAGTCCTGCGGTACATCCGCTCCCTGCGCTACGAGGAGCCCAGCGGCAATGCCATCGGTAAGGGGGCATGGGCGAAGGGGGCAAGGCCCGTTGGGTCAAGGCAGGGGGCAGATTCCTTTCAGCCTGGGCACTGAATTCTATTTTGGAGAAGCCCTTGACGGCTCTCTTCCAGTGCTGGCTGGGCTGAAGGTAAAGGGGCTGGATCCAAAATATCAGCATATTTTAGCCTGAAGTTCTTCCTTCAAGTAACTGAGCCTCAGGAGGGGTGCGTCAGTCCTTTGGAAGTGGGGGTGGGATATCCCAAAGTTGAGAAACTACCAAAGGATTGGCCACTGGGGGGAAGGGCGAGTGGCCAGGGGAACTGAGTGTGGCCATCTTGAAACCCCAGAAGGCGGCTTGGGGCCTCAGGCAGACCAAATCTGGCCCACGCCTTCAGTCTCAGTGCAGCTGGTTCAAGGGATACGGAGGGAACTGCTGCTTTCTTTCCCTAAGGTAGCAGCTGGAGGAGAAAGAGCGATCATGCGTGTGGTCATGGGGTTTGCCTGTCACGAGCTGCTGTGAGACACAGAGGGAGCATTGTGCCAGGCTGTAAAGCAGGGGCTGGCAGCTTGCAGCCCTCCACGTTTTGGCTGACAGCTCCCATCATCTCTCACCACTGGCTCTGCTGGCAAGGTTGATGGGCATTGCGGGCCAAAACGTCTGGAAGGCCACACATTTCCTACTCCTGTCCTGAAGCCGGCTCCTGTTGTGAGCAGCAACTCTCTTGCCGTTTCTTCTGTGTGTGACTCTTCCCCGGGGGTGCACCTGGCCTTTGTTTTTGCATCCTGCAGGAGCTGCCATTAATTTTGCCAAGAGCTACATGCTGAGCGCCAGCGCAGGACGCAGGCCGGGCGTGCCGGGAACCCTGGTGATTGTGGCCGACGGGTCTTCTGGGGATGACGCCATTGGGCCAGCCAGGGAAATCAAAGCTGCAGGTGAGACCCAAGGCAGTAGAGTCTGGCGTGGGGAAAATCCGAGAGGATAGAGAAGAGCAGGTGCTGCTGTTGCTGCACGCATGAAGCTTGAACAACGTGGAGCATCATCCTGCAGTGTTGGCTTCCACAGAAAGCTCAGCAGCCTCCTCCAGAAATACCCCTCCGTTCATTTTGTTCTGGAGCTCAGTTGCTGGCCCACTTACTCCCACTCAGTGTGTCACAAATGGGGCCGCTCGGCTTTGTCTGGGGAGCCGCTTGGTGGCCCAGAGCCCGGGGACCGTGATGCTGCTCCAAGATGCAGGAAGAAAGGCTCAGCAGAGCTGCTGATCGGCTGAGCTGGTTCTCCTGAATCCGCACGTGCCGGGCACAGGCTCCGGGAGCGATCCCCGCCAGGCCTCTCGGTGACGGCCCTTCTGTTGCAGGGATCCGGGTGCTGGCCGTGGGCATGGATGGGGCCGACCGCGAGCAGCTGCGCCGCCTGGTAACCAACGAGGACCCACGCAACGTGTTCCTTGTGAGAGACGCGAGCAGCCTGCCGGAGGTGGAGGAGGAGCTCTCCGATGCTCTTTGCAGCGTGTTCAGCCCAGACAGGGTAGGGCGTTGTCGTGGAGTGTCTGAAAGGGCTTGCCTGCCGTGGACTAAGTAGCTGACAGGGCTGAGCGGTGGAGGGAAGCGAAGGAGTCGGTGGCCGGGGCTGAGGGCTCGCTTCACCTTTAGCACCACGCAGTGGAAGATGTCTTGAAGGACAACAGGTTGGAGGCCTTTCTAGGCTGGCCTGCCAACTGGACTTCTCACACACACACAAGCGAAAAACAGGCGGCCGCCCATCAAATGGGAACTTCCTGCAATTGTGCACGTATTTATTTATTTATTTATTTGGACTTTTTGTATGCCGTCCCATTCGCATGAGCCTCGGGATGGCTTACATACAATAAATAAACACAGTACAAATAGTGCACATAAAATCCAGATTCACCCTGGCATAAAATCCAGATTCACCCTTAAGACAGTCCTGTGTCCCTTCCGGGAAGTGAAGGAAATTCAGCCACTCTCCTGTTCTCTGAGGTTTCCAATCAAATGCAGGCAAGCGGTTAAAGTCTCCTCATTCCTTAAACAAGCGTAACACACAGGCAGCCATCTTGCCAAGCAAGTTACAAGAGCACTGCAGTAAATTATCACCAGGGCAGCAGCATTATAGCTGTTTTAACAATGTCTTATTTCCCCCTTTTCTCCCTCTTTTCAGCCTACACCTGAACCCTGTGCAGTGCAGTGTCCCATGGTAAGAACTGTGCAGGGCTGGGAGCGAAACAAAGAGGTATTTTTAAAGCTGGGGAAAAAGAGGTGTTGGACTGCAGTTTGATCTCCGCCTTGCCAGTAGACCCTGCGAACATGTGAGCCGCTCACGATGGCTGCTGGGGTCCCCGCAAGCCTTGGGGACCGCTGTGGTTGGTCATTATGGGAAGGAAATGACTCTGCCTGTCAACGCTGCTTCCAGCTTTTCCCGATTTCTGGAAAGTGAGCATGGCTAGGCTGCAAGGGTATATCTTTGTAATACAGAAACCGGCAAACAGGAATCAGAGGAGGTTAATTGGTGAGAACGCTGTGGGGCTCCACACCAGGCCTATATTTTAAGCTCGTACTTCAGATGCTGGAAGAAGTTCTCACGGCTCTAACCCTGCAGAGAATTGCATGATTTCCCCACCCAACACTGAAAGAACCACCTCTGCCCCACATCGCATGCCGTGGCCACACCCCCAGTGCATTCATTCGTCTAGGAAAATGGGCCCGCTCCCGTACTTGCTTGCAAAGAGTTCCCCCCTGCAGTGGTGGGACTGGCCCAGTCAGGGTCCCCCGGCAGGGGCAGACTGTGCAGGCAGAGCACTGTGCCCAAGGAGCCCGCTCGTGTGCCCGCCACCGATGACAGGGCAGCATTTCTGTCGTGGGCGCTGGCAGCGGTGGCTGTCGCTGCAACACCCGTCAGCCGCAGGAGGCAGGCTTAGCCTGCACGGCTGGCCTCTCACATTTTTCAGTACCCGGAGGGAAGGCAGTTGTGTACGTTGTGTAAGAATCCGTCAACGAGGAAGCAGGCTGGGAGCAGGGGCGGGTAGCATTATGAGAAGATCAGTCCTTTTCTGGTTGGCGTTCTCATCTTTGACTGGTGCACTAAAAGCTATAGGCTGACCCTGCAGTGTGGTTTTGATTGTCCTTAGAAAAGACAGGCCGTTCAGGTTTCATGATGAAGAGGAGTCCTCTTTCACAGCTGTGGCATAATATGTGCCTGTCACACAATTTCCTGGAGGACAAGACGGGTGAGGGAAGAGAGAGGCTTTTGGGGACCTGAATGGAAAGGGAGATGCTCCCTTTCAGCACAGGACTCAACGCTGCCTTCCTTTGGAACCAGAGGCCTCCCTTCCTACCCCGGTGTCCTTCAGATGTGTTGGACTGCAACTCAGCTGGCTGGGAATGATGGGAATCACAGTACACTCTGTCTGTTTTTTTGTTTGAGTATTTTTATCCCGTCCAATTATGTTGCGCGTCTCTGGATGGCTTACAAACCAAACATCCAATAAATACATATAAACCCATAATAATCCACGACTGAGCATAAAACATAGTTAGAATATTTAAACATTGAAATGTCAGGAAAATAAAAAGGTCTTGACCTGGCACCAAAAAGCTTATAACGTCAGCACCAGGCAGACCTCTCTGGGGAGCACATTCCATAGCCAAGGAGGTGAGGAAGGGTGCCAAAGGCTGAGCCCAAAACTGCCTTCAAACATGTTTTTACTGCTGTCTTGTCAAATGTACCTGGGACTGTTGGGAGAGGCTTGAGATATATCTGACTCTTTGCAAATCTGGCTCTCCATTGCCCTCTGTTCTTCTTTTCCTGCAGGGCGAGAAGGGTGAACCTGGCGAGATAGTGAGTATCTGAGATTTTCCAAGGAAGGAGCTTTTTTTGGAATGCATTTAAGGGTTAAAGTAGATTATCCCAGGGAAAATAATCTATCATGTCATCTCTGCAGGGACGGAAAGGACGTATGGGACTTCCTGGTCCTCCTGGAGATCCGGTAATGCCTGCTTCCCCCCCCCCCCACCCCCCATTCCCTGAGATGTTTGGCTCTATCCATTGCTTTGGATAGAAGCCCCTCCTCTTTGGACTAATGGGTGTTCAGTCGCTAACTGCCATTCCTTCACTTTGCAGAAAGTTACATCAAGTTAGATGTGGTCTGGTCACAGAGCACCCATTTTGGCATAGAAATGAGAAGGAAGCCTTTTCTGGCTCCAGAACTTACACAGCATAATTGTTGTTCTCCTTTTTTCTCTTTCAGGGTCGCAATGGGATCCCAGGTCCCCCAGGTCCCCCAGGTCCAGTGGGACCTCGGGGGCCCCCTGGTGATGCCACTGAGCGTCGGGGTGAGAAGGGAGACAGGGTGAGTACTTCTAACATCTCATGTAGCCTTTGTATTTTACTAAGGAGATGACCAAATACTAATAGTACAGCATTCACTTCAAGGCAAAGCAGCCTGCCTGGTTCCTCCACATAAACCTGCAAATCCAGGTGTGCTGACTTGGAAGTACACCCATCTTAATCCATGTGTCTTACTTCTGAGTAGATACAGTTAAGTTTGTGCTGGGATCTCCACATTGACTTTGTGGCTACCATATAGGCTTTGTCTCCTGCCTCCATTCCTGCAAATCACCGTGACATATTTTTCTGAAAAGGAAACACAGGACAAACCTTTAAAGTATATTTAGCTGATCTGTAGGGAAAGAGAACTTGAGACTAGTTCTCACAGAGGTGACAAGCTTCCATCTGGACTGAACCACATCCGACTGCAGGTGTGAGTTCACATGACTTGAATCCTCCTGCGCACCCACCCAAAAGAAGGAAGGAAAGCAATCCCCGAAGCAGAATCTAGAAGAGTAAGCTAGAACTCTTCTCTCTGATGTGCCGCCTTTCTCTCTGCAGGCATTTTGGATGAAGTAGCATTTGGCTGTGAGCCCCTACTTGAGGTCTGGTGTTGTTCAGCCCAGATGTAAACTTTACCACCTCCACAAAGGCTAGAAACCATTTATCATACTCTGAATCCTCTCTGGCATGATAGTCCAAAGGGGCATGTTTTGGCCTGTCTCCCTGCCAAATCCAAATTCAGGAAGCCTTTGAGGGTTGGCTCACACATGCATGCACATTTTCTGTTCTCTTACCATTTGATTGCTCAGTATTGGATGTCTCTCAGCCAGACATGCTATGGGTCTTGATGGAAAAGTATTACATTTGGGGGTGACAGCAGTGAAAACTGTGCCGCTTACCCTGTGCTGATTCATTCGTACTTGCAAGTCATTTGATGATTGACAGTAGTCAAGGTGATGAATAGGTATGTCTACTTCCACCCTTGTTACCATCTGCTGCTTTAGACCTACAGTGGGCAGAAGGTGGATCTCCAGATAATTTTAGACTTTGGCTCCCAGAAGTCCCTCCAGCATGGCCAGTGCTCAGGAATGCTGGGAGCTGAAGTCCAAAACGTCTGGAGATCAACTTTCTGCTTACCCCTTCTAGGCAACGGGAATAATAGCTTTTCCATCCACTAGGAGGCAGTGGATAAGAAAGACTCTTGTAAGAAAAACAGCCAAGGGATGGCATGGGAGGCATTTCTCACATCCTTCCTAGAGCCAGTCTTTCTCTGGCTTCTCTAAGTGAGCAGGCCCAGGCCCTAGGTCTGTGTTCTGTGGGCTGGGACTCAGTTTCACTGCCGTATTCTTGGTTCAGAAGTTTATCCAATTCTCTCAAGTTGGGCCTGTGAATGTATATTCTCATGTATATGGTTTTTAAAATTCTTAAATAGAAATCGCATCTTCTTTTCTGGTCTTCTTTTGTTCCAGGGATACCCAGGAGCAGATGGAGTGCCAGGGAGTCCTGGCCGTCCCGGCAACCCTGGTCCTCCTGGACAACCGGTAATTAACACATCTTGGTTTTTGTTTTTATCATCTTGACATGTGTAGTTCCATTTCCTGTAATGCTTTACTGAACTGAGACAACATTTGTCCGTATCCATCAATTTGAATCTAAGGGTAGATTGTCCCTGTTTAACTAGAAAAACTGTCTTCATTTTGCTCTGTTCACTGGCTTATAGTGGCTAATGGTAGCCTTCCCTGGCTATTTGGTTGTGCTGGGGAAGAAGGTTGCCTGCAAATGTATTGCATGGCTTTACATGCTTCATCTCTCCATCCTCTCCATTTTATGATTCCTATCCGGAGTAGAGTAAAACCCTGTTAATTATTATGTTTATCTTTTTACCCGCAGGGCGGCCCTGGCCTTCCTGGCCTCAGAGGAAACCCAGTAAGTAAAGGAGATGATTCCGATGAATCTTCTGTTGCCAACTAGAAAGAGCCGTGCTTATCCTTACTCTTGCCTTCCAGGGAGAGCGTGGACTGACCGGAACAATTGGACCGAAGGGAGTCAAGGGGGAGCCAGTAAGTGAATAGTTTTCCTAGCTGCTTTGGGTTTTTCCAGAGAATTTTGGTTAGGAAGACAGTCTCAGATCTAATGACGGTAGCTGAATGCTGTTTCGAGAACAAATGACCTCCTTCAGCCGGATACAGGAAGTGGTGCTCAGATAGCACTGGGACTGGGGCATCATGTTTGCTACTTTTGAGACGATGTCTTTGGCTGTTTTAAATAGCTTCTCAGGGTTGCTCTCCACAGATCAGGGTTCCCAATGTGACCCTTCCAATGGTGCCTGTGCAGAGGTCCCCAGTGTGGCATCTTTGTTTCTTCAAAGGAGAAATCCAGGAATGTATATATATTTTATTTTTATTTATTTATTAAAACATTTTTATGCCGCCCCATTCGCCGAAGCCTCGGGGCGGCTTACAACACCATAGCACTGAACGCATATGAAATGTATACAGCTTTCTAGCAATTACACATAGGAGCAATAAAAGTGGATCAAGTATCCAAATAAGTCCTCAATGGAAGTTGGCATTATATGCCTTCTGTTTGTGTGTTGAAAGCATTGCAAGGGCCAAGATTGATTACATTATCGGAGAGGGTATATATCCTTCCAGTTTTATAACATCAGTCTTTCGTTTATGAAAAAGACAAAGAGACTCTATTTCCTCTTTCATTTGTTAAATTCTCTGAAGTAGATGAATTATTTATTTATTTATTTTATAGATAGTTATAAATATTTAGAAATATATTTATTAATTTAAAAAGAGTGTATACATTAGTGGATATTAAAGCCCTTTCCAGTACTGAATTAATACATGTAATGACCTCTTTCTAAAAAGAGGCAACTACTGGACTTCGCCAATGCATATGTTTAAATGAGACATTAGCAGCATTGCACTGCCAGAAATAAGCAGAATTATTTAACCCCTTATTAAAGAGACACTGCAGTATCCAAAAGCTATGAAGCAAATGTTTTTGCTGAAGAAGACTCAGCCCAAGTTCCATAGACATGACTGGTAAATACTAAAGTGATAATCCATTGGCTAAGTATGTTGTGGTGGTGCCTACAGCTGTTTCTCAAATTCCCCAGTGTGCCCATACATCCAAAAAGGTTGCAGACCCCTGCCCCAGTTTTTACTTTCTTGAAGGGACACGCCAAAGCGGTGTGTAATTAAGTCTTGGATCATGTGTATGCTTTAGAGCAGCCTTTCCCAACCCAGTGCTATTCAGATTTGCTGGCCACCAACTCCCAGCATAGTGGACTGAGAGATTCTGAGCTGCTGACCAATGCATCTGAAGGGCTGCAGGTCAGGAAAGCTGCCCTAGAGAGGTTCATCTTTTTAGTACAGGTCAGACAGCAGTGATAATAAATCCGTGCAGCTTCCTTGCTTGTTTGCAATGGCCAATGCCTGCTACTAGGTACACCTGAACGCTGGGTGCAGGTACATGGGTGCATCCATTTTGGGGCCCCAGCAGCTGCCCTAGAATCCTAGGTAATCATGCCAAGCAAAAGGCACGGTGTGAGTTAAATAGGTTTGCAGGATACTTATTCCTTTCCAAGTTATAACTATTAAAACTTGCAAAATTAGACTTTTCTCTGTTCCCATATTCCAAACAATTTGCTCTTTTGCTAGTATCTTCCATATGGAAAGGTTCTAGTTGTATTCAAAACTGGATCGCTACTTTGTGATGATGAAGACACAAGGAACTGTTCTTACCATCCTAGATCATACTTTAATTTCGCTGCAGAACGACCCATTATGCTTCCAGACAAGGAAAATGAGGCAGGCCCCACTGAATGCCCAAGCTGTTGAAACGTTGATGTGACCGTTGGACTTTTGCTTTGGCAGGGCGAACCTGGAGTGATTGTAGGCAATGGAGGAGGTGGACTTCCTGGCCGCAAGGGAGAGCCTGGCAATCCGGTATGTCGCACCTTACAGGCAAGGAAGGAGAGGAGATTAATAGCAATTGAAGAGGCTCATTAAGGGACAGGAGGGAAAGTGGTACCGTGTGATTCAAGGTTTCTGCCTCCTGACACACGATACAATCCTCCTCCCCTTGTTGCATCATCACACAGCTGCCTCAGCATTTCTCTGAGTCTTTCTCTGAGATGTCCTGCGTAATCATAAAGATTTTTACTTGGGAGTAAGTCCAACTTGTTAAGCAAGATTTACTTCTTCATAAGTGTGTAAGATTACAACCGTAACCAATAACCTGCACCTACATTTGTGAAGTGTGCTGATTGCAACCTCGAGGGCTTCTACTGGTGGATTGGGCCCTTATGTGGCTAAGTGCATCTTTTTTTCTGCCTCCAGGGAACACCCGGAACCCCTGGGAATCCAGGGCCCAGGGGACCCTTTGGTGATCCCGGACCTCCTGGGCCTGTGGGACCTCCTGGGTCCCCAGGACCTGCGGGCGAGTTTGTCAAGGTATGCTTTCTCCGCCTCTCGGGTCGCTTTGCCTTTCAAGCAGTTGCGTCTCATACATGGCATGCTCACAGTTTTGTCCCTTCTGAGGCACATGTAGACAAACTTTAGAGCCCAGTCTGCATCCGTGTGGGAAGGAGAGAGGGAGCAAGAGAGAGAGCGAGAACAAGAGTGGGATCCCGTGCACATATGTTTCCAGTGCCAGGAGACTTCTCCAGCCAACCGTCCTCACTGTGCCATTTTGCTTTTGCTTTTGGCCTCTTGTCTTCCACCTCCTTGCAATGCAATTCTTTCACTGGCAGTGGCAACACTGTGGCAAGACTCCTTCTCTCCTGCATTGTGTTCCGTAAGGCTCATATCACTCTCCACGCACCCAGAGTTAACCAGCTCACTAAGCACCAATGAAACAGAAGGCAGTATGAATGGTGCGTTCCAGCATCCTTTATCACTGTATAGCTTTGGATAAGCCCTGACTGTGTTTCTAATGTATGTATGTGCAGTTTCTTCTCACTAGATAGGAATGCATGTGTACAGCAGGTTCCCAAAGCAATGCATGGTGTGTGTGTGTGTGTGTGTGTGTATACACATCTCATGCCAAGGGCACTCTGATGCACTCGGCAGAACATGTCTGCTTATGTGTGGGCTATTCTTTTGCAGGGAGAGAAAGGCGACCGAGGTGAGCGAGTAAGTGATCTTTCTTTTCCCCTAGCTTCAGTGCCTTGGCTTGTGTTGCATTTGGGTTAAGTTTGTGTTACATGACAAGGTCATCTTTTCCCTGGCCTTATGCAGAGACAGAATTCTAACACATGCCCTAGATAAATAAGGTTTGTTATTGAGAATGTAGGTGGCAATCCTGCGCACACTTGCATTGGACAGAGTCCCACTGAACTCTAAGGTTTGTTATTTACCTTCTAAGTAAATATGCCTAGGGATTGTGCGGAAGGATTTGGGTAGACCCCACACAGAACAGAGGTAAGGAGCATGCAGCAGGTCCCAAGGCTGTAAGAGCAAAGCAAAGAAGAAAGAAAGATGTTGGAGAAAGATGCCCACAGGCACACCAGGGACTGAGCCATGCCAAACTTTGATTGATTGATTAATTAATGTACTGCGCATCAGCTGACGCTCTCATTACAGAAGCAGCTGAAGCACCCCCCCCCCCCTTCACTCCTCTACCAGATCATCAGCCAACCTGATCATGGGGCCCTGACCCTTGAAGCAATTTGGTTCGGGCCCGAGAATGCAAGCAGCACATTTGAACTGCTGTGTTGAGTTCTGAGTGCCACATTTTTAGAAGGACGTTGGCAACCTGGAGCATCTCCAGAGGAGGGCATCCAGGATGGGGAAGGGTCACCAAATTCTACGAGGAATGGTCGAAAGGGTGGCAAATGTTGAGCCTGCCAAAGAGAAGTGTAAGGGGAGCCGTGAGAGGAGTCTTTAAATAGCAGAAGGGCCGGCATGCAGAAGAAGAAGGAAAATTGTTCTGGATTGCTCCAGGGGCCAATGGGTAGAAATTGCAGGGAAGCAGATGTTGGTTAAACATTTCGAGAATCTTCCCAGCTGTAAGAGCTGCAAGCTCTCCTTTGCTTGAAGTGTTTCAGCAGAGGCTGGTCAGCCTTCTCTCAGCTATGCTGTAGTTGCCTTCTGTGAAGCAGATCTAACATAAATGATCTCCAAGATCCCTTCAAGCTCTTTGAATCTCTGGTTGATTCACTTTCAGGATGTTTGTTTCAATATAGGCATCCATTCTTTTTCTCGAGAAGTGAGCAGCCCAGGCTGATTCTTAGTGAATCAGATCGACCGAAAGGGCTGCTTTTTATGTCTCCTGTGCTGCTGCAGAGCTTGCCCAGAGCTCCTCCATGCCCTTGGTATCATGGCAGTTAGCAGGTTTTAGGGCACTAGAATGGGAAGGGAGAGAGTGCCAGCTGGTCCCGGCATGGATGCCAGACTTCCTGCACTGCATTGGAAATTATGAATTGGTTCTTTGCCTTCGCTTTGCTGTTCTGGGCTTGCTTTGGTTTTTGCTTTCCCTGTCTCAAGTGGTATTTGGGTGGAGGTGTCTTACCTACATTTTCTACACAGCTCAGTAGTCCCCCTGATCAAGAATGAAAGCCCAGTCTATCTCCGGTGTTTCTGAATTGTGCTAAAATGAACATTCCTGACTCTGGCCAAGGTTGCACTGGCTGAAAAATATGTTTTCTGTGCTCAGTGGACTGCTGTACTATGCAAACTGGGATCTGGGGTTTGCAGAGATCCAGGCCTTACTCTGATGGTCTTTCTAGGGCCCTCCTGGTTCGGCTGATGGGACTGTGGTCAGAGGAGAACCAGGCATTCCAGTGAGTACATCGTGTGCCTTGATTTGGCCGGGGGGTTGCAGAGAGGGTGCTACAGGGAATGAGCAAGCGCGGCCCCGAGTGTATGGACCATGCGCGGAGATGTGGGCATAGGCAGTGGGACTGGAGGTGTGAGAGACACCGGGAAGGGGCTGTGAGATGGGTTTAGAAGTGATTTGAATGATATCCAGTATTGGACAACTACCTCTGTTGAAGGAAGGCAACAATGGGCAAAGAGTACAGGGGCCAGATACATGGCAGATGGAAAACTCAATGTGGTCTGAGTGCCAGGAAAATATGATATCCCTGAAACAGAAGTATTTCCTTCAAGGAAGGCATTTGAATTGCCTGTGGAAAATCAGAAACTATTTATGAACTGTTTGAGGACCAAAGATTCTTCCCTTTTGACGTTATCTCTTATATCTCTTGTTTTACATTCTAGGGTCTGCCTGGAGATCCTGGACCCAGGGGTCCTCCTGGAGCCCCAGGGCAGAAAGGGGACAAGGTAAGAATGGGACCTGCTCATGGATTTTGGCACTAGGTAAACCAAATTTAGTGCTGCCCTGCTGCTTTTAAGGCTTTATCCCAGGTTAGAAACCTGCAATGCCATTGTGTCTCTGTGGAAGCATCTTAGACTGTGAACTCAGAGTTGTGGGTACGAATGGAGGTGGCAGATACCTAGTGAAGGTCCCAGTTCCTGCTCTTCAGCACTGGAATGGCTGCAGCCTGCTTCAGTTCTCAGGTGCAACTTTGTTCACTTGTAACTTTTGATTGCTTTCTGTTCAAAGGGGGATGGAGAAGAAGGTTTTCCTGGACCACCTGGACGTGCTGGAGAGCCAGGAGATCGGGTGAGCCTTTGAGAGAAGGAAATCCCTGCTCTTTCCCAGTTTCTTCTAATGGGATGTAAAGTCTCAGAAATCCAGGCCCCTTCTTTTGTTCACAGTATGCATGACTTCAGCCAGAGAGAGAGAGAGAGAGAGAGAGAGAGAGAGAGAGAGAGAGAGAGAGAGAGAGAGAGCGCGCAATTCCAGCTTACTATATCCACCATCTGCTGTTAGTGAAAACGTCCTTGAGAAATCAGTTCCACATCCTCTAGCCACTTCCCCTCTGAAGGCAAAAATGTTCTTGTTCTTGTCTTTAGGGCCCTAGAGGACCTCCAGGTGAATCAGGAGGCAAGGTAGGTGCTGTCAAAGAGTCGTGTCCAACGTGCTAAATTGGCGTGCGTTCTAGAAACGACAGCTTTATGTGGTAGTGGGAACGCCACTGCTGCACTTTTATTTCTACAGATCTTTCTCCTGCTCAAACTCTGAGGGCAGGTTCCACAGATGAAATGTTCCTCCAGTGCTTCATGGTGCTTCCCTGGCACTCTCCGTCTTCTGGGCATTCTCCCCTTGGAGAGAGGAAGGGGGAGACAGGGAACCTGCTGGCTCCTGCTCCCTAGAGGGAAGCCTGCTGTTCTCCACTAGCTTTCCCGCATGACCTAATGTGGTGACCACCCAAAGTTCCCGATCACATGCAGCCAGTTCCTTGCATGGCTGGGGCATCAACAGTGTGATGGCAGGGATGGGCCAGCATGTAGGGATACCCCCGTCTCCTTCTGGCATTTTGCACTCATGTGAAAAGTATTCATCCGAATAACCCTCCTGTTCCCTGGCACTGGGCACTGGATGCAGGGCGTGGGAGCTTAAGTTGCCCTGAGGAGCCATTGCGATTGAGGGCTGCTTGTGACCGTGTGCAATGCCAGTCCTCGTCCCAGGAGGGGCCTGGGGCACCGCCCTTTCCGGGGCACTCAGGAGCCGATGTAGGAGGCTGGCAGGTTTGATTAGGAAAGCTGGGGAGAGACTTGGGAGGCAATCCTGGGGAAAGTGTCCGAGGCCAATCAGAGAGGAAGGGGAGGCTGGTGAGACGCCAGTGAGAGGCGAGGGCATGGACGGTTGTGCTTACAGCACAGCGGGGGAGAGAGGAGGCACCATTTCCTGCCCTCACAGAGCGATGATTGGACAGCAGCCGCTCAGCAGTGGCGACTGAGTCCGCTGCTTCCTCTCTCCCTGAGCGTGTGGAGCCAGAGAAGCCTGAGAAACTCACCTGTGCAGCACTCTAGTATTAGACTAATCCCATCCTATTTTGCAGTCTAGAGACTTCTCTGCTTCCTCCCTTGTTTTCTCCTCCCCATTATATAAACCTAGTTCTCGGAATGTGCACACACATGCATGCGCTTCATATTCTGTTAAGTTTCCTGCTAGTTTTTCTCTTGCCTCGCTTCTGAACATGTGGGGCTTGGTGGGCTAGAGGCACCACACAGTATTTTGCAGTTCAGGCTTTCCTTCCTTCCACCCAGCTATTTGAACCCAGGCCCCAAAGTTTCCTTCAAAACTGAGACCTGCTGGCAAGGTCAGTGGGAGTCAGAAAAGATGTTATTTTTCAAATAAGAAGGGCATCATCACAGCTCCGCATATGCTCTCAAATTCTGCCCCAGACAGAGACCTCCCTCCTGTTCACACAGATGTTCTTCCTATCCATGGTGGGCAGCTGTGGTGTTCACTGGGTCTTTCCACCTGCTGTTAAAAGGGTTTACAGAAAGCCTTATCTCGTCCTTTGGCGTGCCAGGCTGCTTTTCCTTCCCAAGAGGCTCTTGATTCAGTCGCACCCTGCAATGGTAGAGGTCAGCTGTCCCTTGGCTTCTTGGTGAAAGGCCACCTCACTCGTGCCCACAGCCCTACCCCGTGGTGAGTCGCGTGCACCCTTTGCTGTGGCTGACACGTCTGTTCTCTCCATGACAGGGTGACCGTGGCCAGCCCGGTGAGGCTGGACCCGCAGGAGAGAAGGTGAGGACTGGCTGGAGCAGATGGATCTGCTGTTCTGGGCAGAGGCAGCAGCTTGTTGGGCCGGGGCCTTTTCTTTCGCCAGAGGTGGAAGAGAAGAGACACCTTGCTGGGACCGAGTCATCAAGTCAAGGGCCGACTGAGCCATGTGTCACTCCGTCACTTGATGCTTCATCACTTAATGCCTTTAGCGCTTGGTGACCAAATGTGCCAGCTGCCTCCTTTCCCGACTGGGCCTTAGGGCCGAGGGGAGCAGACGGCCGCACGGCATGCACTCTCTGCTCTGGATCCCATCAGGACCTTGGATAGCATCCTGCACGGGGATGCTGGCAGGAGTATCCCCTCCCAAGGAGCTGTTGTTCCCTCCAAAGGCTGCTGCCAGCCAAGGCCTCGGCAAGGTTGGCAGAGCCTGGCTTTTCAGTGGCTCCACTGCTGCTAAATGTTGACAGCAGTTCGTAAAGGGCCGGTGTCTCTCCCTGCAGTGTCGTGTTCCTATGTGGTTGATGGGCAGGAGAAGCTGTGGGGAGACATTGTCAGAGTTGGACATAGATGGAAGAGCCCGACATGGGGTGACCCATCTACGTCTGTCCTTCCTGGGTGCTGCAAACCCAAGAGCCAGGGATATGGCAGCTCCATTCCAATGCGGTGATGCGAAAGCTCTGCCTGCAGCGTATGATCTGGGCAGCCTTTTCCGTCTTCCACCTCCCTTGATGCTGCAGTTAATGAGTGATGAATATGGACATGGGAATAGGCACTGGAGACCAGGGTCAGCCTGACGGCTTCCAGACCCTGTACATGTAAGAAGAGTGATTCATATGCTCCTTTTCCCTCCTGTTGGCACGTGAGCGCCTTTGATCCGGGAAATGCTCTCCTCCCGTGGGCACCAGCAGTTTCACAACAGCACTTGCGCAAAACTCAAAACAGAAATTGGCAGCATGCAGGGAATACTGAAAGTATTCTCTGAAATGGTTTACACAGGAGGCCTAATTATGTGCCTCGAGGGCAAATCCCTGCGCCTCTTCTCAGAGCAGAGAGGCTTGGATTGGGCTGAGGTTTTTCCAGATTAAGCACAGCAGGTCAGAGCATGCAAATGCATGGCCTAGTTCTGCTCAGACGGAAGCAGTTCTTTGAAAACAGTGCACTTTGTCTCCATCTGCCTGAAATGCACTTTTATTTTCCTTATTTCCTGTTCTGTTTTAGGGAGACCGTGGATTGCCTGGCTCTGGAGGAGAGAAGGTAGGTTAAGGCAAACTCTACTATATTTAACAGCTGGCTGGTTTGCAGGCACGGGGACTAGCCTCCCTAGAAGAGCTAGTGTGGTGCAGCAGCTTCAGCTCAAGCGAGGGCGCTGAACCTCTTTCAGCCAGGGAGCCAATTTTCATTTCAGAGAAGCTCTTGGGAGCATTTCAGTGGCGGGTGGGAAAGCTCTAAAATAGCAGTCATACCAGTACTGAAAATAGTAGCCTGCTATAGCTTAAAATGCTTACTGCCCATAACTAAGTCTCAGGAGAGGCATTTGACCTTTTTTGGAATGGAAAAAGAAGAGCCATGTAAATGCCAAGAAAGTACCAAAGGATTAGACTCCAAATTTGGGGCACAGGCCTAACGTTCAGTGCCTCTGGACTAAAGAGTTGGGCTTGGACCAGGATTCAGATCCCTACTAGCCAGGCTTTCTTAGCCTAACCTCCTTGACAGGCTGCTTCCAATGCCAACGTGGGGAGAAGCTTCTGTATGCCACCATGGGCAAGGAACGGGTGGAAAGGAGATGTCCTTGGAGAACCGTTCTGTCCTCAGCTCCCAGCAGTGAATCTGAGCATTGCCCGGGCCCAGTTGGAAAGAGGAGATCCTTCCTGGCTTTACTCATCTCATCACGTGTTCTTTTTGTTTCAGGGAGAACAAGGACCCTCAGGCCGCCCTGGTCCACCTGGCAGAGATGTAAGTTGGTCCACCGCTCGGTAATTCTGAGGAACCTGGGCAGAGCCCAGCAGCTCCCGCTTCTGAGGCAGTGTGACATGGTTCTGGCTGCTTGGGAACAATTTGCCTCATCCGTTTCCCCTTCTGAGTGCCCTGGTGCAGAGGGTGTTGAGGGAGCGAGAACGCAGGCGGTCGTTACAGAAGGAGTCCTAATGTGCTGGTGGAACAGGCTGGAGCTGCCCTGTCTATGGCTGGTTTGTTATTGGGATGCTGTGCAAATGGCTGGAACAGTGACAAGAGAGCTGGGTTTGGGACCAGGCTCTTCAGTGAACAGCTGCGAAGCTTGGAGGCGGAGCATGAAGTGCAGGTGCAGGTGGAAGAGTGAGGGAAGAGCGTTTCTCCCACCTGGGCTCCCCCTGCAAACCCCTCCCTTACCACCTGGGGGTCCAGATGTGTGTGCCACATCACAGGGGAAGGTAAAGGGTGTGGGGAAGGGGGGCAGGAATGTGTTCCGGGGAAAAGCGGTGGTGGTTGGCGGATCAGGCACCTCCTTCCTACCTTCCTCTGCTCGATTGCAGGCAACTCCCTCCCCGCCCTCCACCACTCACAGCTACTCAGTAAAGGCAGCTTCTTGGTCCCTAAGGCTTTTCTTCTGTAGTTCCATCCAAAGCCAGCAGTTTTTAATATGCATGGTGCCCCACATGAATTCAGGTCCTCTTCTGAAGGACGCCTTTCAACAAACACGCTTAGTCATCTCGTTCCACTGTGGCACCAAATGTTGATCTGTGACTGCATTTTTGTTGTGTGATATTGCTAGGTGCGATAGCACAAATGTATTCACCCTGGAGATGGGCACCTTGTAGGTAAAACACCAAAGTCTGTGGAATATATTATGGAATACGCTCTCCATGGCAGTGTGACTGGCACAAGCATTGTGACTGTTTTTGTGTGAATTCAAACCCCTTTTTGTTTGCCAGGCATTTTAATTTTAAGAACATTACATACGAATCACATGTTGAATCAAACCAAGGATCCAGTGAAGTCCAGCATTTTGTTCACTTAGTAGCTAACTGCAAGTAGGATGTGCATACAGTTGATGTGTTGATACAGATTATCTGTTCTGTTGTAGCTGCTGTCTTCATTGATTGATTGAAATAATGGTGTCTAATTATACTTTTACTTCGCTCTTGGGAACCTGCAAGAATTTGGGAAATTTAAAAATGTTGGCATATGTGAATGAATGATCTGGGGCATCCAGAAGCATCTTCACCATGGTGCTAGTCTTGCTGCAGGGATTCCTGGCATTGCTGGCATGAGGACCACAGGAAGTACTAAGCTTGTGACGGATGTCTCTTTTTCATCTTTGGAACAGGGCTTGCCAGGATCATCTGGGCCTCGAGGGGAAAGGGTGAGCTGACCGCTGTGTCCATCCTAGGGTTGTCCTTGTGAAGTAAGACTGTTGAAGGTGGAGGAGACTGGCTGTCCCTCTTTGGAGGAGCAGCATGGTTTGATAGCTGAGTGCCTCCCTGATTTCTGATGGGTTCCAAATGCACCATTTCCATGCCCCCCCCTCAAGTGGGCTAACTGCCCAGCACACTGCAAATGCCACAGGTCCCTGGCACTAAAATGGCATTGTTCCATGGAGTAGCCCTGGGGGAGCCATACCGAAGTGTCTCAGTCTGGATCTCAGGGTAAAGAAAGTGTTATTTGTGCTACACCTTGGACTGAATAGGGATTCCTCTACTAGTGCTGGCAAGAGAGACCCCCACCCCTGCCCTGCCTCGTTTGTGTATATGTGTAACTGTGCATGTGTGCTGATGTATGAGCACATGTGTGTGTGTGCACTGTGGCCTCCAGGCACTGCTAAATGTGGCCTTCAGGGCACAAAACATATTAAGGAGAAGCTTCTGCTGGTTGTGAGGGCAACCACGAGGAAGTTTCACCAGTGAAATTCACCCTCCTCTTCATCCACTTCCAACATGAAGTCTCGTGTGTCTTTCATGCATCCCAAACCTTGTGGAGTGCGGCAGAATTCTGGGCCTTCAGGTTTGCTTACAAGAGGCCTTCATCACTACCGATCAACCAGGCTTCAGGAAGCTCGCCAGCCGCATAGTGTGGCTCGCCAGATTCATTGCCACCCCTTCTCTTTGCAGCCCCGGGCTGGCAGTGGTTAATGGACCATGTTTTCGGAAGGCTGCCATAGATGGCTGTTGGGTTGATGGGCCACAGTTTGTGCAGGCCTGGCCTAGTGAATTCTCAGGGGCTAGCTAGTTGCATTAGTCCAAAAAGCTGATGAAGTTAGAAGCAGCAGCTTTTCCCTGTTTCTAATGTTCACTGAGATCAAGTGAACTTGATCTGAAGTGAACTTGATCTGAGCTGTTTCAGTGCAACCGTGACATCAATTGAGACTGTGGGTTACATTCTGGCCGACACCTGCATGTTTCCCTCTCACTACTCATAATTATGTGAGGTGCTGTCCCCACTAGTGAGACAAGGAGTCTGAAGCTGCCACACTTGGCCTGGTATATATAGATGAGCTGATGAAGGCCTACCAGGGATCAGTCATCATGAACCCCTTCTAGGGGGCTGTGTTGCCTTTGCAGGCTAGCTGAGCCCTCTTCTGCATCATCTTCTTCCACAGGGGGAGCCAGGAGAGCCGGGTATTCCTGGGAAGCCGGTAAGAGTCGCTTTGTTGAATAAGCATAATAATAGCACCCATATATTTTTCACAGGGAAAAGTGACCTTGACAACAGTCTAACAAATTTTTGCAGCTCTCTTTCTATTTGTCTGCTGGTTAACTTTTGGGCTGGAAATTGGCTTGAAGATATCCCCACCCCAAGTTAGTTTCACACATACATCAGGTGCTCCAAGATACTCATGTCAGGCAGGCCTGACCTGGATGGGATGTCTGGGACTAAAGCTTCTGGCATTCCTGGCTATTGGCCAGGTTGGCTGAGACTGCCAAAGCACTGGGTAGGTAGCAATGGGTGCCCAAATAGCTGGAAGGTACCAGGTCGGGGAAAGCAATTCTGCTTAAATCAAGAGAGCAATTGTCTTCTGTGTATGGGAATGGCCACCAAGGACCCACTGAATCTCCCCAGTGATAGAGGCAGAGGGCTGAAGTCTGTTATGCTACCAGCATCACTCCTGCATCTTCTGGCCCAGTTGCTGGGCAGATGGAGAACTTTATCATTCCTCCATCCCAAGAGGAGAGATTCACCTCATTTATTTCTACACAGCCTAGAACTGTGGAAAGGGGTTGTTCCTTCACGAGGTGATATTTCAGAAGATGCCCTGAAAAGTCTCAGCAGGTTCTTTTCTTGCACTTTTCTCCTAGGCTTCTAGCCTCTCAGGAATCAAAGGAGACAAGGTAAGTGCATGCTAATGCTTCTGCCCCTGAGTCAGGATTTGCAGAGCAGCCAGTGAAGCACAACAGTGGCCCTGTTCACTGTACATTTACTTGGAGCGGGGGAACTGCCCCAAGGAACTGCCCCAAGCTCGCTCACTCTGGATCTGTTTTCCAGTGGTCTCATTCCTGGATTTTGTCAGCACTTGAGGAAGCTGCAACAGTTGTCCCTCACGAACAGAACAGCAGCCTTCCTCAACCTAGTGGCTGCATTATTATGGGGGACTGCAACCCCCATAATCCTGCCTAGGGTATTCTAGGAGTTGTAATCCAACAGATCTGGATGTCACTAGGTTGGGGAAGGCTCTAGAATGGAAGCAAAAGCACAGGCACAATTTTGTGGAGCGCTGAAGCCATTATATTATCTTCTCCTTTTCAGGGAGAGAGAGGCCCTGTAGGACCGGAGGGGCCACCCGGACCCAGAGGAGAGGCTGGGAGCAAAGGAGAACGTGTGAGTGTTGGCGTTCACATCTGTGGACAGATCTCTCAGCCCCTGTTGACCAGGACCATGCGTCATGCAGAGCTGATGTATCATTTCACTCAGTGCTCTGGATTTTAACTGAGCCCATGATGTCATAGAGGTTGCTCTTTGCTTGGCGACAGGAGGCAAAGCAGGGCAGGTTGGCTATTTATCTCTGGTGGAGGGGACGTGGCAGAGCCCTTCTCCCCCCTGCTGCCCATCAGCCTGGCCTGGCCTGCCCATTCTGCAAGGCTTTATCAGGCACTGCTTCAAGTCCCTGCTGCCCATCAGCCTGGCCTGGCCTGGCCTGGCCTGCCCATTCTGCAAGGCTTTATCAGGCACGGCTTCAAGTCCCTGCTGTTCAGGATGGCCACCAAATCATGTGTGGTCCTTTTCATTTGGGGTGAGAACTCGCTAATGCTGAAGCTCTTTTCTCAGCTTTTTGTATACAGCTGACAAAAGAGCTTCTTGCCCTGGGTGATTGGATTTCACCTCTCCCCATGGCAGACCGAACTTGCACAGATCTTAATTATAAGCGGAGCTGTTTTTAAAATAAAGATTAAATGACTTTTGTGTATGTGGCGTGGGAGTGTATATAAGGTGATGGATCACATCCCAGGAAGGTTTTTGTTTAATTGTGACATGCCTTTGTTTTTGTGTTTCTTGTTTTTCTTCTTAGGGTCCTCCTGGATTTAGTGTCCCTGGGCCACCTGGTCCAAAAGGAGATCCAGGGGACAGGGTGAGTCCTCTTCTCATTTCCTCAATTCATAGCCATCTGGTCAGGTCACTGCTGCTCTGTTAATCCCCTTGAGGAGAGGAACACCTGCTTTGCATATGGAAAGTCCCAGGCCTGGTTCCAGGCAGCATCAGGAAGGCCTGGAAAAATGCTTGCCCCAAGCCCTGGAGAGCCACTATCAGTGTCAACAAGATTCAGCCAGATGGAACCGCAGTCTGAGCTTAATATAGGGAAGGTTCTTCTGCTCCTAATCACCTTGATTTCTCTGAAGAGGAGCCAGAGGAGGGAACTGCTCAGCTTCTGCATTTGGATAATGAGTCAGCCCTTAGCCTGCCCTGGCACTGCTTTGATCCAGTGCGCTGATGTGAGTGCAGTGCCTTGGATTCCAGCTCCAGCAGGCGCCACACGGCAGATTCTAGGCATAATGGCTTTGGCTCAAGTGGTGGCTATAAGCCACATATGAATAGCCAACTAAATACTCCCAGGGAAGGATATGAGGCAGTGCATCCTCACAACCTGTGGCTGAGAAGGATCCTTCCCCTGCCATCCCTGGTGCTGTTCCCTCATCCTGTCCCGGAAAGCTAGCCTAGTCCCTCTCCTCTCTAGGAGCCCCTGCAGTCCTGACTTGCTATAGAGCCCAATGTAATTATCTGTCTCTTCCCTCCTAACGAACAGGGGATTATTGGCCTGGCGGGTCGAGCTGGCCCAAAGGTAACTGCTGGGTGTTGGTGAAGGGAGCAAGGGGGCAGGGATGGGGTCTGGGTGGGTGGGTCTCTCGGGAGTGTGACCCCGAGCGTGTGGGGGGGGGAGCTCCGGCCCCTCCCTGCACCGGCCCCTAAGCACACAGGGTGCCGCTCGTGCTCTCTGGAGTACCTCAGCCTGGCCCAGCCCAGCAGTGAGGCAGAGCAGCATCTCGAGCTGGAAAAACACAGGCACCTGGGATCCAGCAAAGACACTTGTTCTGTATGCAATTATATACGTGCCCTGCAGGGAAGTGGGTTTTGCACCCCCCCCCCCCCGCATTTAATCTCAAAACAATGCTGTGAGGTAGGTTTGGCTGAAAGGCAGTGGGAGACTGACATAGCTGAGCAGGAATTTGAACCAGGATCTCCTCAGTTCAAGAGCGGTGTGTTGCCTCCCAGCGCGACCCTGGCTTGCAGGTAGCCGTTCTCTGCAGCTGGAACAATGGTGTATGGGCAAAAGCCGCCTTCCGTGTTTCCCAGAGGTGTGCCAGGGAATGAGGATCAGGAGTTTTGGCCAGACTCTGAATCCTCCTTTATTTAAACTGATGCCACCTTCTTTGCCTTGAGTGATGGTTCTCTTATTTAGGGTGACCCAGGAGAGCCAGGTGAGAGAGGAGAACCAGGAAGAGCAGGGCCACCTGGACAGGCAGGCCAGCGAGGAAAAGAGGTGAGTGAGACAGAAGGTGCTTACACCTCTTGCTCTGGGCGAGCGGTCTTCAGCCCATTCAGACCGTAATCCAAATATTAGTTTCTTGAGGTTTTACTGTATATTTGTATAATGGCAATAAGTCAGGCTACATACGGCTCAAACCATCACTTAAAGAGAAGTGTTTCTGACAACATGGGGTGCCTCTGAGTCGGTACTATTTTTGGTCTGAACTTGGTGGTGGTAGAAGGTTTACCAGTAAATGTGGGAGGCGCATCTGGAGAAAACAGCAATTCAGCCCAGGCTTGGCACCTTCTAACAGCGCTGGCTGTGCTATATGGACATGATTTCCATGGAGACCTTGCAGGAAAGTGCCAGGGCAACATCAGCACATCACATTCTTCCTCTTCTCACCTTCTACTGGTCCAAAACACTGGAATGCTGCTTTTCCACTTCACAAAGGGGAACTTTTTCTAAAGGAAAGCCTTGGTTTGCAGGAGGCTATCACTTATGTCCCCTCCTTATGCAGTCGTTCACCTCCAGAGTCATGTCCTTTTTCACAGGCAGACAGATACTCAGGCAGAGTGCGGATGCCCATCTGTCAGGGATGTTGACAGATATAATCTCCCAGGCCCCTTCCAGCCCTATTTTTGTAAGCTTTTGTAGAATGGCGATGCCAGAGTTGGGTTTGTAGCATGTAGACGCCCTTTGGAGTGCCATCTGCGTGACACATAGCACAGTGTAAGGCAGGGGTCTCAAACTCGTGGCCCGCGGGCCAATTGCCAGGATGGGCGAGGCACATGGGAGGGGCCCTGCGGCCTTCAAATTGCCGGCGGCGCCCGGGCCGGCCGTGGGATGAGCGGCCCACCACCACCGCGGTGGTGGAATACTTGATGCGGCCCAGCCTCACCCAGACTCTACTTCCAGCGGCCCCCAGGTAAGTTGAGTTTGAGACCCCTGGTGTAAAGCTATGAATATATTTAACAAGCATACTGGGACTTGAAACACAGGATCTATTAAGGATATGATTACTTTTTGATGTAAGGATGCTGGTAACAATTTATCTGCTATGGATTATTTGCTTTTAGGGTGAAAGAGGTGAAAAAGGAGATGAAGGAACACCAGTAAGTAGCAGTTTCTCCACTTGCCTGCCATCAGCTTTTAAGTTCTTGCTTGTTCCTTTTACTTAGAAATCTCTCATTGCTCTTTCTCTCTCTCCTCCCACCGCAAGGGTGAGCAAGGTCCACCTGGCAAAACTGGAGAAAGAGGCCTGCGGGTAAGTTTGGTGGAAGCGCCTCTCAGGTTGTGTTATGCAGCATGAGGATGCTGGAAATACTCATAGGATGGAGTTGTGGGATGTTGTCAGCCATGAAGTAGGTTAGGGTGAGCGAGATGATTTATTGCCACCCACCCCCCGCCCCCATGCAGAACTTACTAATGCCTGGTCTGTGATTTTGGAGTTGCAGAAAAGCTGTTGTGGGATGTTTCCCTCCTTGTCTGGCCCTAGGCTGAGCAATTAAGGTACCTGCATCAGCTCTGCCGATCTGTACTGCTCATAGGGGTGGGGGCCTGTGTCCTTAAAGCTTATAAGCTACTTGTCCTCGGTGTTCTTGGACAAGCTTGGAGAATTCCGGCTTCCCTTTCACTTGATGGCTTTTAGCAAATAAGGCAAGAGTCATGAGGTTGGTGAGATGTGCTTTTCAGCAGTGGCTTCACACTTCTGGAATCAGCTTCTGTCAGAGGCTTGTCAGTACATTGATCTACAGGTCTTCAGGAAGACTCTAAAAACCTTCAGTTTTTCTGACTTTCCCATAAATGGTGGGCTTCAGGTGTTATTGGTGCAATGTGTTTTTTATTACTTTTATCATATTTCATGGCTTATTTGTATATTTTTGTGTTGTGTTTCCCTTGTACACACTGCCTTGAAAGTGTTTTGCCCTTAAAGGTGGCCTAAAATATTTTTAAATAAATGAATAATCAATAGCATTCTATCAGCCAACTCTGTTGCCTTTAAGGTATTGCCCCTTTTCACTGATTCCTCCATGCAGTCCCAATGTTTAACCAGCCAGTTCCACAAAAACATACCTCCAGCTTGGTTTTTGTCTGGAATTAGCCATCTTATGGCATTTTAAACTGTGTTTATATTGCAGGGTTTGCCTGGAAATCGAGGGCTCCCCGGCCCTAAGGGGGACCTGGGGGACCCGGGAGAAGATGGAAGAAATGTAAGAGCAGATTTCCACTCTCAAACTCTCTTGCTGTACCCAGTTACATAACTTTGCCTTTACCATGTTGCTTCTGCTTACAGGGTAGTCCTGGAGCACCAGGGTCAAAGGGCGACCGAGGGGATCCTGTGAGTAGCTGTGCCACCTTTCCCTGCATGCTTGCTGGAAGGTATCCTTGCCTTTGGGAGGTCTAGGGACAGGTACCACCCCCCTTTGTGTAGATGAACTCTGGGAACCCTGCCTTAGGCTCCATCCTGGAAGAACGCTGGGGTATAGATGTTACAAATCCATTACGAAAGAGGAAGGCTGATCCAGCTGGTCATTTCTGAGCTCCTGAAGCTCCTTGATGTCTCCTTCAGCACCGAGTTCTGAAAGAAAGCCAGAACTTTTACAGCTCCTAGTGGAAATATTTGGATGAAAGCAGCCTTCTCTTTCCTCCAACTATTAAATGTGCACTACTTCTCTTTGCTCTTATTTGAGAGCCACCTTAGGCAGTGCAAAATCATGACTTACTGATTTAATCCTTTGTCTCTTATTGCTCTTCCTTCTTGCAGGGACCACCAGGACCCCCAGGCCAGGCAGTAAGTTCCATGTCTTGTCTCCCCTCGCTCCAGTATTTTATTTTGACACCGCAAGCGTCTGAATTCTCCCCTTTTCTTCTTTGCAGGTTGGTGTGGGAGTCGGAGGAGGACAAAAAGGCGAGAAGGTAATCTTACTCTGAGCTCCCAGGCTCAGCCTGGTGGGGGCTGTGGGAAGACTGCAGGCTCTTGCCGAAGTGGGAAGGCACAACGGCACTCCTTATATCATGCTTGTGAGCTGAAGGAGATCATGCTTCGCAGTGTGTTTCTGCATTGACGTACGGTGGGTTTTAGGCAAGGAGCGTGTTCTGTACGGGGGTGCACATGTGTGATATTGACTTGGTAAGATCATTGAGTGATCAGATAATGGTGTTCCTCACCCGCCGCCATCCTAAGGAAAGTCCCCCTACTGCTATTTACACTGGGAGAAAATCCATTGGGAATTTCCCCCCAAGTTACACAGCTGCTTGAGAAAATGGGACTCTTTGAGGGTTATAGAAAGGGAGCGAAGGGCTATAACACAGGAAGGGCTCTGCTGGACCAGACCAAAGGCCACTCCACTCTGGCATCATGTTTGGTCAGAGTGGCCAACTGGATCCTTTTCGGAGGACCCCAGGCAGGAGAGGAGGGTAGCTGCCCCCCTTCCGGCAACCGGCATGGAGAGACATGCTTCTTCTAGGATCATTGGCAATACTGTGTTTAGCTTTATCAAACGTAGCCCTCGATAGCCTTGTCTTCCATGTATTTATCTACATTTGTTTAAAGGCCAGCCATGTTGGTGGCCACCATCTCTGCATATTATGGGAAAATAAGTATCGGTCTGCATGCCAGCCCAGTTAAATATGCCTTTGTATTTAAAGAGCAAGTCTTTAAAACTATGAACAGGATGAGCTGGGGGTGTGGACAGAGTGCGAAAGTTTGGATAAATATTGGGATCTCAGCGACAATGGAGTGGGAGTTTAAAAGCTTCACCCCAATGTTTGGGGCTATTTAGATAAGTGCTGAGCAAGAAGGGATGAGATAGAGGAGCTTAAAATTGTGAATGGTGTGGTGAAAGGTTACCTCCCACAATACTAAAGCCCATGTGGAGTTACCCAGTAATGATGGATGGGAGATTCAGGGTGGACAAAGTGAAGTACTTCTCCATATGGTGCATAGTTTAACTATAGCGTGAGGCTCTGATGTCTCCGTTTCTGACCTTCCATATTATTGTTTCCCTTCAGGGGGAGCCGGGGGATCCTGGAGAAGAAGGAATGAAAGGTGTGAAAGGAGAGGCTGGTTCCCCTGGGCTGCCAGGAGAGCGGGTACGTACCAGATCACAAATTATATCCTAGGAGGCCCAAGAAAAGAGCCAGAACCTCACTTAGTCAGGTCTGAAGCAAGATAGCGTTAGACACAAGAAAAGCATGGAGAAGAACACATTTTGGACGTGTGGAACGGAAGGCAGGTGTTGAGCTTTGAACAGCTTTAACTCCTGTTAAGTTTTTATTGATGTTTTCTCCGCATGCTGTGGCACTGGGTAGCCCGAGAACAGAAAGGCAGTCAGTAACAGCAACAGATCAGCAGCATTGTCCTTCTGACGGTGCCTTCCTGGCATGGATGGCCACCTTGGCTGCTTTCAGGGGAAGGTGCCTTAGCAGTGAATCGTGATTGGCTGTGCTATGCAGGAAGGGGTTTGTCATGGCAGGAGATGGGCCTGGAGAGAGGGATGGCCGGAAGCATGCTCTCTGAAGGGTAACCACTGGCCAGGGAAGGTGGAAGGAGGCTTCTTGAGGAGAAGTCTGTTCTTCTGTGTACAAAGCATAAAAAGATTGCAAGCCAATTCAGCTGGCATGAACTTGGGGCAGGGACGTCCGTGTAGAATCAGGGATCGGCCGCTCTCTTTGCACCCCCCATTGCAGAGACGTCTGCTTTCCTGTCTTGCAGGGAGTGGAGGGCCCCAGAGGTCTCCCCGGAATTCGCGTAAGTCTTTCCCCACTCCACTCCCCCTCCCCTGCCCAAATGGAGCAAAGCGACCTGCTTCCTCTGTGGTGCTGGGACAAGTGTCCGCCCGGTTTTGTATACTCACGTGAATGTCATCTGTTTCATCTCACAGGGTGACCCTGGAGATCGCGGCCCAGTGGGAGAGAAGGTAAGAGAGCTCTGAGTAAAGCACATGCCAGAAGAGGTGGGAGAAGAAAAGGAAATGCTTTAAAAGGAACTGTGGGAACCTCCTGAAGGTGTATATAAAGCTGTCTTTGCTTTATGGTAACCTCAAGTAATTGCAATATTTGTGATCAGAAATCAGATAGAACTTTGGCTTCCTGGGTTTTTTTTCCAAAAAAGAAAAGGAAAAAAAAATAGCCACCATTACTGTAGATAAGAAAAAAACTACTGAGGAGTCTGCATCCACGGACAATAAACAGCAATTTAAAAGTGAATAATAAACAGAAGAGACAGGCTGCCACCAGCTTCTTTGGAATCACACAGAGGAGCATGTGCAGTAGAAATGATGGTCAGTTTGGATATAATGATGATGATGTGACCATTGCATTTGGACCACCTGTAATCGAAATAGTGCCAGCCTCAAAACTGGGGCTGGGAACTTAGCATCAGTGTTTGGGCTTCTATGTATTGACTTGGGCTGTGTGGTGTCCTGCCACATTCTTGACAGTTACAATTTCACTGGTGCCAAACTTCATACCATTTGGCTTCTCAGCTTTCTGATTGGCTCCGAGTTTGGATTCTTTTTGTGCAGAACGTCGGGTTGCTTTGATTTTTAGCCTGAGCTCTGTAAATCTTGCCCACAGCACTCATTCTCCCTACTGATTGCCATCCTGTGGTCCAGGAGTTTTATTATTTATTTGTTACAAGCATTTATATCCCGTTCTTCCGGCGAGCGCTCAGGGCGGCTTACAAAATATAAAAATACAATATAAAACCTCAATTATTAAAACAATATAAAACACATCATGAACTTTAGAAAAAGGAGGAAAAAATAGAAAATGTGACTGTGAAGAGAGAAAAAGAAAAGTCCTAAAATGTCTAAAACCATTGATGATTAAAATAATGGTTGAATAAAAAGGTCTTTACTTGGTGCCGGAAGGAGTATAACGTCGGCACCAGGCAGACCTCTCTGGGGAGCGCAATCCATAGTGTGGGCACCACTGCAGAGAAGGCCCTGCTCCGGGTAGGCACCCTCCGTACTTCCTTCGGGGAGGGTTCCTGGAGCAAGGACTCCCCCGCCGATCTTAAGGGCATGAGGGCAGACAGGGAAGGATATTTTGTCTCCTTCACTTTCTAATTGTCCTTCAGGGTGACCGAGGCCCCCCAGGACTGGATGGTCGGAATGGGTTGGATGGAAAGCCTGGGCAAACAGGGCCCGCAGGCCAACGGGTAAGTGTGCTGCTCATGAAAGACACGGCCTATGCAGCAGCATGGAACCTCTTCAGCCTGAGTGTCAGGTTCGGTTTTGCAGAAGCCCCTGGGGGCCACGTTCCAGTTGTGAGTGGGGAAGAGGGGATGGGCCAAAACTATCGGCATATTTTAGTTTAGACCTCTTACCGTAAGTGATGATAGTTGCTGTTTTGGCTCCCAAACAATCAAAGATACAAATTAGGTATCACGTGTGTTTATATTGGACCAGATTAGCTAAAGTGGGTAGATGCATGTGTGACTTGCTTGTGAACGCTTGCAAATGCAATGCACAAATGTGACTCAGGGTGCAATCCCGTGCATGTTTCCAGGAGATTTTTCTGTGCGTGTGCGCATAGGATTGAACCCTCGGTCTTCATTGGGTCATCCTCGCAACCACTTTTGCCACCTATTAAAGGGAAGGTGTCAAACATTTGTTCGGGGTGAACAGTCCTAACTGTGCCATCTGTTTTTGTTAGATAGGTCAGGTCTTTTGCAGAACTGGAAAAGAAGAGAGATTTTCTGGAAGGAAGAGAGATTTCATGCTGTGGCAAATCAAAACTCTTTTGTGATTCTCCAAATGTGTGTGTGGAGAAATTCTGAGGGGCAGGATCTAACCAATATTAGCTGATAAATAACAACCATGATCTTTCCCTCCAAGGCTGGTCTAAAGGGTGTCTTAACATCCAAGACTAAAGAGAAATTAAATGGTGTAGCAGTTTACATTAGATCCCGAGTCTAAAACTACTGCTACTGGCATTGCTACTGGGATCCACCTTTCCTTGTCCCCCAACATTCCCGAGCTTTCAGAGCAAATGCACACATTTGCCACATGTGCACTCTTTCACCTCCTGTAATTTTGCCTGTTATAAATGCCCCTGGATAACGCCCGTGCTTAGGTTTACAGGCATGCGTGAGACTCGCCGCATAGTCCCGTGTCTTGGAATGACCAACTCCAAGCACTTAAGACTGTCTTTGTCCCAAGTCCCTGCATTACTCTTCTGCACAGCATTCAACTGCATAAATATACAGGTCATGTGGAAATAATTTAGACCTGTGGAACCCTTTTGGAGAACTGCAGGTGTATTGAAGCAGGTGGAAACCTGCAAAGGACAATGCCTGACTCCTGATCATACCCACATTTCTTTTCCTAGGGTGACCCAGGGAAACAAGGCGAGCCGGGCCGAGATGTAAGTATGGGAGCCCCCCCGGGACACACAAGCCTTCTCCTGCAGACCTGCTCCAATAGTGGGGCCCTCCACCGAAGCTGACACCTTACAGCATCCTTCACTGATTCTCCCTCTCCTGGCCCTGCTCAGAGACAGGACCTGTAGCTTCCTCGTGACAGAACTTGAAGCTTAAACTTATCAAGCTCTAAGGTCTTCTGCTGATGACTGGAAATCCTGAGTGTGGTGGTCCTTTTTGCTCTTTCTTTAGCAAACCTGGCACTTGCCAAAGGAGTTGGATGTAATGCCTGTCAACCCCATCGGCCATGCTGGCTGGGAGATTATGGGAGTTGTATCCTAATACATTTGGAGGGTGCCGCATTACAGGAGGCTGCTGGGAAATTAGCATGCAGTCAGGTCATCCACCAGTCTTGCCTGTGCGAACAGGTGCTCGTCTCTGCTTAGCATACTGTCTAATCTCAGCTACTAAGTATTTTAGAAGAAATGGGCCTGCCTTCTCCTTTCCATGCCAGCGAGACTCTGCTTCTTATCACCTTCTATTTTTCTTTTCCTTTGACAGGGCCTGCCAGGTCTGCGTGGAGAACCAGGCCCTCCTGGAGCAACTGGCCCCCCAGGTCCCCCAGGACTGACCGTGAGTAACAGGGCTAATGATGCAGGAAGGCCACCTGCATCTGCTGCTCACACAGGGCAGGACGGCCCAGTGGTTATATTAGATCCATGCTAGAGCAGCCTTCTTCAACCTGGTGCCACCTGGAGGCTTTGAACTCCTAGAGTGGCTGGCAAATCAGTAAAAATGGGAATTCTTGTCTTTGGGCTAACCATCACAATAGGAAAACAGGATGTAGAGGGAAAAGGAAAGGAAAACTCAGCCACCAGTTTTTAATGCTGGACCGCTCACATAATTGTCGATGTGACCATGAGCAGCTGGAATGGAAGCAGTTTGAAGAGAGGGGCCCCCCCCCCCCCAGTTCCAGTGCTTTCAGTCGACCTGGTGTCATGGTCGGGCTTCCTCCTTTACCTTCTGCAACAGCCCGATAGAACAGCTGCTGGGCGGCAGGTGGGCAAAGCTTGGTGCAGCTGGCCCCTCGGCAGCGCTCTGGGCTTGTTTGCCCTCGAGAGAACTTCTGCTTACTTTACTAGCAGTAATTGGCTGTGCCCATGCCAAGTATTCTGTGCGGGCCGGTCCAGCATGTGGGCGATATCTCACCTGTGTGCTGTGCAGGTGGGTCCCCCGTGGGGCTTGTTGTTGCGTCCCTCTGGCGAGGGTCCTTCTCTGCGGCTAACTCCCTGCCTTTTTTTTTCCAGGGCAAGCCTGGTGAGGATGGCAAGCCTGGGCTGAATGGGAAGAATGTGAGTGAAGGGGCTGCCTCCCGTCCCGTGCTGGGGGACCGGGGCTTGGGGCTGACATGACAAGGACCGCATCGGGGAGGGAAGTGGGGGCAACTGAAGCGGTGTCAAGTTTCTGTTTGATCGCATAACTACTGGGGGGATATTGGAGTATTTGCAGCTAAACCAGCCTTCCCTCGACCTGGCATCCTCCAGACGTGTTGGAATACAGCTCCCATCACTCCTGGACCAGCGTGGTCCCTGACCATGGTGGCTGGGGGACGATGGGAGTTGCTTGCTAATACATCTGGAGGGCATCAGATTTGGGAAAGGCTGTTCTAACCAGAGTCATGAATGTGGATGTGAATATGGCATTTTGTTTCCCAGGGTGAAGATGGGACACCAGGAGAAGATGGAAGGAAGGTAAATTCTCCTCCTCTTCCTCCTCCTCCTCCTTCATTACATTTCTATAGCACCTGTAGCTGAAGCTCTCTGGGTAGTTCCCAACATTTAAGTCACCCATCCATATTTCAGCCAGGGCTGACCCTGCTTAGCTTCCAAGATTAAGCAGGATCAGGCACCTCAGGCTGTGCGGAAGCTATGCATTTTATTCTAGTATGCTGGGCAGGCTTCCCTGAATTCTGGCAGCCTTACTGTGCAGCAAATGTGAACACCAATCTTCCCCTCTTGTCTCTTTGGCAGCTAAGCAGCAGCAGCTTTAGGAGAGTTAAAGTGGGGAAATGGTGGGCGGCGGAGCGGTAAAGGGTCGAATTCCTCCTTCCCTCAGCACCACAGTGCCAGTCCAAATCAGCCCCCCACCCCAGCAGCCTCTCCTAAGCAAAAAACCCAAGAAGCTTCGAGCAGGAGAAAACCAGAGGGGCCAACAACAAAAATGTGACCTTGTGGGATGTTCTGTTCCGATTCCCAGTCAGCCTGCCATGCCCACTTCCAGAGTGTGCCATTCCATCCCCTGCCCTTCATTTTCTATCTTTTTCCTCCCAACATTCACTCAGCATCCCTTGAGGAATGAGCTTGCTTCATCCCTATTGGTCTGTTTTGCCCCCCTCCCTGCTTTCCCCCCTAATTTTATATGTATATCTGTAGTCTCCTGAGCATGCCAGGAGATGGAAGACCTTCCTTTCTAAATAGGGATTCTCACTTGAAGACATGTATTGTTAAGATCTAGTAGGGGCATGACATGTGGACTAAAACTCCCATCATCCCTCACCATTGGCTCTGCTGGCCAGGGCCGATGGGATTTCCTGTCTGACAACATCCAGAGGGCCACCAATTTCCCCTGCTTGCTGAATGGATATATAGGCAGCTCGATCTTATTAGCCAGTAGTGGCTAATTACGAACAGGCAAAAGGACTAGCTCAGCAAGGTTTTCAAGGCACAGGAGGAGAGAGCGGATAATTTGCTACTGTCAAGATCCAGCAGTACTCAGAGCAGAACAAAACCTGGTCATCGTTGCAGACGGAAGGCCTTAGGTGAATATCAGACCCTTGCTGACGCTCTGTCCCTTCCTCATCTGGCAGATCCTTACGGAATTGGTAGGTGCTGCCGAACTGCTGTGTTACCCTTTGTAGCTTAAATGTGCGTATCTCTTGCAAGCACTGAATTCCCTGGGACTCAAATCACACTGAAACTGTGAATCACACTGTAAACACTGAATAAAATACTCTTTGTTGAACAGGAGAAATTCTGTTGTCAGGCGCAGCATGTTCAGGTTTGCCCTCAGGCAGCAAAATCCGGAGGGTGCATCATTGTCCGAAGTCCAACCCATACAAAAAAAGAGAGAGAGAAATGTGTTGATAATATACTTCCAGAGTGTGAATGCTTAAAGCTGTTGCTCCCCTACTGTCATCATGAATACATCTGGAATCTCATAAAGTACGAAGTGATAGATGTAGGGACCCAAGGAAGTTTTTTGCTCTCAACTTAGAAGAAAGAAAATGGGGAAAGTAATGGATTTAGTCGTAGATGTACTATGTTGTTGTTAGTCGCGCAGTCGTGTCCGACCCATCGCGACCCCATGGACAACATTCCTCCAGGCCCTCCTGTCCTCCACCATCCCCCGGAGTCCACTCAAGCTCACAGCACCTGCTTCAGTGACTCCATCCAGCCACCTCATCCTCTGCCGGCCCCTTCTTCTCTTGCCATCTATTGTTCCCAGCATTAGGCTCTTCTCCAGGGAGTCCTTCCTTCTCATTAGGTGGCCAAAGTATTTGAGTTTCATCTTCAGTATCTGGCCTTCTAAAGAGCAGTCAGGGTTGATCTCCTCTAGGACTGACTGGTTTGATCTCCTTGCAGTCCAAGGGACTCGCAGGAGTCTCCTCCAGCACCACAATTCAAAGGCCTCAATTCTTCGGTGCTCAGCCTTCCTTATGGTCCAGCTTTCGCAGCCATACATTGCAACTGGGAAAACCATAGCCTTGACTATACGCACTTTTGTTGGCATGGTGATGTCTCTGCTTTTTAGTATGCTGTCTAGATTTGCTATAGCTTTTCTCCCCAGGAGCAAGCGTCTTTTAATTTCTTGGCAGTAGTCCCCGTCTGCGGTGATCTTAGAGCCCAGGAAAATACTTTTAGAATATTAATTGTATCTTTTTCCATTTGTGCTTCCCCGCTATTCTCAGGGAGACAAAGGTGAAGCTGGAGCACCTGGCAGAGATGTAAGTACCTTTGCCCTGAGACAGGGATGGGAAAAGTGCAGCGAGCTTAAGAGCCGGATTTGTATGGAAGGAACTGTACATAGTCTTCTGGAAGTTTGTCCTCCTTTCTCCAGTGAGGTTGGGGAGGCTGCACCGTGGACACTGCAAGATCTGTTGCTGCTGCGGTGTGAAGGGTTTGTAAATATGCACGTGTGATATGCACATGTGTGTCTCCTGCCAGCCCAGCAGATACAAGTTGTGCACCCCAACAGCAGGGTGTTTTGGCTTATACTGCTTACAGGCTTGCACTTTTCTTCTCCTGTAGTTAAATCGCAAGCACTATACAAATGGTTCCTGTAATATCAGGGCCTGGCTAGCTAGGAATAATGTTATTGTTTCAGGAAACCTTCCTTGACTGACCAGCCATGGTTCTGATTGATTCTGCTATCACCTATTGGCTTATTCTTTTACCCTGTTTTAGCATTACATTGTTCACTGCTCCAGAACCTGTTTAGATGTGGAGAAGTTTTTTTAAAAATAATGCAGCTCTGCCTCATTTATTTATTTAACACACTTCTGTACTGTTCCTGGTTAGCCAATGACTCTCAGGACAGTTTGCAGTGTAGTTGGCTCAGACCCTGCAAAGTCCCTGCCAGCCAGAAGAAGACTCCTGTAGACTAGATGATCTCTGTATGAAGCAGCCCCCTATACAGTCGGCCTAATGGTTTGTTCTCTGTTGGCAGGGTCGAGAAGGCATTAAAGGAGAGCGAGGGGTCAGTGGGCCTCCAGGACCTCCGGGACCACCAGGAGTCCCTGGCATGCCTGGACAAGTTGGTCCTCCAGGCCAGGTTGGTAGCCTCTTCCCACATAAGATACTCAACAGCATGTTTGGTTGTGTTACTGGTGGAAACAGACGAAACCTCCCAGGAAGCTAAACTGACGGCAGAGTTAGTGTTCTAGGGCAGCCAACCCTAGCCTGGTGGCTTCCAGATGTCTTGACCTACATCTCCCAGCATGGTTGCCCATGTTGGCCAGGGCTGATGGATGTTGAAGCCCAAAACATCTGGAAGGCGCCATGTTGGGGATGACTGCCCTGTGATGACTTTGTGCTCATCTCGGCAAAGTCAAAATACTGACCCAAAGGTGGATCAAGGCTGCAGTTCTGTACCGCCTGCTTTTTTCAACTTGATGCCCTCAAGATATGTTGGACTGGTTCCTCGCTCATAGCTGAGCAGATGAGAGAAAGCTGCCCCATCTGATCTAGGGACTCTGGGATACAAGCAGCCGAGCTCCCAGGGAGCGAGTGACCAGAGAGGGAGAGCAGACAGGAGTTTGGCAGGGGAGGTCCCTATTCTTTTTTTTTTCCCCCCCCCCCCCCCCGTTTTCTTCCTTGTAACACTGTCCAATTTACTGGTAGGACTGTGTTGTGAATCTTGAGTGAAGACAGGAGACAGCACTAGTTGTTACAACAGGCCCCAAAGGTAGAATCAAAAAGGTAGCCAAGAGAATGGACCGAGAAGAGTCCCCAGTGGTGGTGACCAGCAATGTCTGTGCTGTGTTTGTTTTCCTGCCTCAAGTCAAGATGACCCACACCTGCAACAAGTGCACGCTAGCAGCCCCGTTAGAAGGACAGGCGAGAGCACTAGAGCAGAGAGTGTCCATCCTCAAGGGAATTAAAGAAGAGGAAGAGTTTTTAGACAGAGTGGTGCGACCACAACACTAAGAGTAATACAGAAGCTAGAAGTGCACTCTCTAGCTGAGGCAGAAGAAGAGATCCCTGAGGGAAGGGGAAATGAGGAGGATGGGGCAGAAGGACTAGAAGACACTCTGCACCAGTGGAACTCTCAGACTGCTTTCAGCTGCTTGAGGATGAGACTGGCGAGCAGCCTGCTGTGGGAGAGCTGCAGATCATCCCATGCAACTCTGAGCACGAGGCAAAAGGCCCACCAAGTAGTGGCAGTGATGCCAAGCCGTGCAAGAACAAGAAGAGAACAGTGTCAGTTGTGGGAGAGTCCCTGCTGTGTGGGATGGGGGCACATGCATGGCAGGTGTCAGGATGACCTGTGGACTCGCCAGGTATGCTGTTTCTCTGGAGGAGAACCGAATGATTGCCAAGTCTCATACAGCCCACTGGCCTGTATCCCTCCCTTCTTATACGTGGGAACAAATGACACTGCCAAGAGGAGTTTTGAAGAAAGCATGTCAGACTTTGCAGCTTGAGGGAGGAAAGTCAAGAACTTTGGGGCCAAGATAGTTTTCTCTTCAATCCTTCCAGCCCTTGGAAGAGGAATAGACAGGGAAAGAAAACTTCTCCAAGTGAATGCCTAGCTATGAAGGTGGTGCTGACATGAGATATTTGTTTTCTGAGCCCATGGGCTATACATCCTGGATGATGGATTGCTGGCAGTCCCAGATTAAAGCAGCTGCAGTCCCTGGGCTAGGAGACCTTGGAAGGCCCAAACTTAATAGCATCTGATCATGAGAAACAAAACCTCATTCTCTTCTTTATCTGCTCAGTGCATGTAGAACATTGCTGTTCTAGCAATGTTTAGCATTGATAAAAAAGATTGTTTATACATGTATAGCCTTTAATATGTTTATGAAAGTATAGAATTAATAAAGACATGCATAGGGAAATCATAGCTATAAGTACACTATATGCAAAGTCAGAACAGTTCCTTTGAAGCTTTTTTGGATGCAACCTTATCAATTATATCATTAGAATCAGTAAGTTGCAGTTTATCATTTTCTGTGCAGACAATGCTTTGATCAGATAACTGATCTTGCGGCATTGTTGACCATAGATCATTCTTTGACATTGTTGATCATAGATCAGTCTTTATTCTTTTAGTCTAGAAAATTATCTTTTGCCAGTAGTGTTAATAACTTTAAAACACAGGAACAATCTCAATATTGTTTCCACATTTGGAAAAGATTTCCAAATTTTCTCCTATTATTATTTGATACAGATCTTGGTGGCTGAAATTTTCTTCTTTGGGATGAGTTGGTTTGACATATAGACAGAAGTGCAAGAGTTCATCAGCTGGATTAAGGTCAACATTCTTTGGATACTCTTGCATCAACATCTTGACACCATTATGAATCTGTTCCTTGGTTGTTTGAAGGGTTACCAAAAATGAAAAATCGGCAGCTACATTCCTATACACAGTTGCTTTTCTGTCTAGGTTGGCTTAGAGAGCATCCATTACAGAGATAAATGAATTTATCCTAAACCTGACTCTTGGAGAAAGTTTGTCCAGGGCTTAGGGAGCTGTCCCATCATTGTTTATTTTTTTGGGGGGGTGAAGGGGTGGAGGTTGGGTACTCTCTGCCTTCTTTTGACTGTTTTGTACTTTACATCTGGTAGAGTAAATCTTTCTTGCTGTTCCATTTCATCAAAATTGGTCTAAGCATTTGATATGAACTGCAGTAGTGAGCTGTAAATATTTGCACATGTGCTCAATGAAATTTGTGAACTTTGGAGTGCCTTGCTAACTTTATGAAATTGGTCTAACAATGGCAGTTAGCTAATCAACAAGGGAAACAATAGGGATTGAATCAGCTGATAAAATAACCTGCCTACGTGATGTCACTCAGCACTGCTTCTTGAACTCTATTAGCTAACAACTGGATTAGCTCTTGTCAGAAGGTTTGGGTAAGTATGATGGCTGACCAGAGCCTTTACCTCCATACTGATCTATGTGAGCACCCAGGAAGGGGCCAGATTTGGCAAGTAGTTCATGCAGTCCAGGAAAGTACCATGGTTTGGTGAACCAAACATGTAATCATCTCCCCCAAATGCCAAGCCACATTCTGCCAAAAGGGAACTCACTGCAATCACTGGTGGAAGTACTCTCCAGTAATCCTGCTCTGCTCTGATTTGCTCTTCACGTTTTGATGTGAGCATTTGACCTCACTTTCTTGTTAGGCATGTTAGCATGGAGTTCATACGGTTTTCAGGGTTTCCATGGGTTTGAACATGGTAAGTGTGGTACCAGTCATCAAATCCAGTAGAAGCTAAAGCTGTAGTTGAGGTTGTAGTTGTTCTTTGGTTAGAGAAAAGTTTGCGCACTTTTCCTTTTGTGGGACTTTTTCCTTTTGTTTGCACACTTTCCCTTTTGTGTAGCCTTTTCCTCTATTGTGGGATAGTACAGTAGCCGTTATTAAGAGTAGGGATCTCCATTTGCTTTGGTGGAATGGAGTAAATTCTTTGAGCAAAACTGGGCTTGGTTTTTGTATGTTCAGATTGGTAAAAGGTCCATCCCAGTGCTGACGTTCTGATGGTCCTTTCTCAATCCAGAAAGGTATTTCCTCGTTCTTCAGTGTGATCCATAAACCTATGTCATTATTGTTTCTGAAATCACTAGTAGCTAAAGCTGTTGGTATATTTGTGTCTGCGATGCTACGGTTTTCACTGAGATCATTTGCTTTGTCTTCCAAGTATTTAAGACAATAATGAGCCTGAACTGCTTCTTTTGGTGTAACCAACTCATGGCATGTTCCTTCAGCACCTTGTGTTAATTCTTTGGCTGTGGGTCCTGTCACTTTCTTCAGAGGTTTCTGTACTTGTCATGGTAGTTACTGGCAACAGTCTTGAAATTCTTGGGAGGCTGAGTTCCATATATAAACTGGTTCAGTCTGGTCAAACTGCTCAGTGTAGTCAACTTGATTGTCTTCTGTTTCTAAAGAGAAAAGCTCTGTATCTGAAGGATTATGTAGGGCTGTTTCTGCCTGCTGCACAAAGCCATGTGATTGGATTTAAACACTTGAATATTTCCTTCTATTCTTTTTGACACTTTCATTTAGAAGCACCACTTTCATCTAACTTACTCATTATTATTTTCACAAAATGTCAAAATTAAATATTATTGTGATTCGCAGTGATGTAAAAGAACCCTCACTTGTTCTCAGAACGCATGCTGTAATGATAGGCAGTGATCTGAACATTTGTACTGTTGTTGGCAGATGGTTCAAATGGGACTAGGACTATAAATTTGTGGTTGGTGTGCCAATAATCACACCAGAGTGGGAAATTAAAAATCTTTATTCATGCAAATAGAGACATAAGGGACAAAAGCCCAAATCATCGCCCGTAATTCAGGCGTATACCAAGGAGATGAACGGGCTCTGCCAGGTGGGAGAGGACGCTTGGGAGTGATCATGTCTATAGCCCTGGTCATCTCCTCATTCCACAGTTCAACCAGGGCATCAACAGGATCACCAGCCTGGATTAGGAAAAGCAACCAGTGATATAGGCACTGGATTAGGAAAAGCAACCAGTGATATAGGCACTGGATTAGGAAAAGCAACCATACATACTTGCCTGGGAGTAAGCGGTGTTGATCTCAGGGAGATGGAAGGGGTGGCAACCAGGCGAAGGGTCTTTTCTGCTGCTGCTCCCCATCTTTGGAACTCCCTCCCTAGGTGCCAGGCAAAAACATATCTTCTTAGATTTTTTTTAACACTTAGCCCCTGAATGCTGTGGCCCTTTTTATACTGTTATTATATATGTTTTAATTCTTTAGTGTTTTAATAGGTTTTTAATGTGTTCTATTATGTTTTCATACATTTAATGTATTTAATGTATTGTAAGCTACCTAGGAAGGCCTTGGCAGTTACAAGCAGCCTATAAATGTATCTATGTATCTATCTCTATGGAACTTGGTCCTCAGTAGGCATGCATTGGATTATACTATAAAAGAAACTGAAACCAGAGCTGGGAACATATCTTAGTGGGGATTGTACTGACTTCTTAAGGATTTCAAAGCTCTAAATGAAGTTTCTGGGCTTTGAGGGTAAAGTCTTACTCTGAAAGTAAAATAGAACCTGGTAGAACCTACATTGCTAGGGATGAACTTAGGTTATCTGTCATTGCTTAGTGGCTCTGGATTGGTCACTTCTGTCTTGCTGTTTTCAGAGTTTGCCTGGCCTTCCTGGAGTTTCTGGGCAAAAGGTAAGTGTAAAGCTTTCTGCTGCAGTTTGACACCAGATCCATTGCTGTAATAAAGGTACTTGTGCAGTGCAGTTCTTCCCACTGTCACCATGACAGCTGACCAGCCCCTATAAGATCCTTGGGAGTTAGATGTTTCCAGACCAGAAAATATCTGGAAATGTCTGGACTTTTGTTTTGGAAAGAGAATGGGAGAGTATCTTCCTCCTAAGGGCAATTTTGCCTGAGGGTGTAACGGGCAGGAAATAGGTGAAGTCACTATAGAGGAAGCATGGCCTGGCCTGGATACTTACCACATGTTCTTCCATCTATTGCAGGGGTGGGCAGCTTTGGGAGCTCCAGGGGCCATCTCCAGATCCTCCTCATCACACCCTTTTGGTGCTCTATAGCATTTCTGGACCCCCTTTTTTTGCATTAAAAAAGGGTCTCCCCAAATTTGGGTGGGTGGGTGGGTAACAGGGGCTGTGCTGGGGAGCTGTCGGAGGAGGGAGGGTCAATTTTTCCCTACAGTGCTGCAGGCTGACTTCCCAGGTCTTTTCTGTTCCAGGGAGACAGAGGCGAGTCTGGGGCCAAAGGAGACCAGGTGGGTATCTCTGGTACACAATGCATCTGCCAGCGCAGAATCCAGCCTTCCCCAGAGCTCTAGAATGCAGTCATTCACAATCAGAGCTCAGTCCTTTGGATGCTTTAGGCCACAATCCTGCGCATGTTTACATAGAAAAAGGACTACCGGCATGCCCCAGCCAGCCAAGTTGGCTGCATCACACACGGAGTTGTTGGCCCTGCTTTCAGTCTAAACATGCAGAAGTTTGCAGCCTCCTTATATTATGAATGGTCAAAGTTTATAATGAGTTCACCAACAGGAGCAATCTGTTTCAGCATTGTTTTTAATATAAAACTTGGATAATGTGAAGCCCACCATGGGCTGGAGTAGACTTTGGTGGAATGGGGCTTATTGGAATCTGCTGGTGGGTCGGCGAATTCTGCCCCATCCCCTGCCTGTACATGCAAAAAAGTACATGTGAAAAGACCTTTGGGGTAACATGCAATCACCTCAACCAGGTTATTGACAGAGGCAATACAGCAGAGATCTTTGCCCATGCACAGTGCAGCCTAGTGGCCATTTTGGGCCCTGTCTCATCACTTTGGTGAAAGGCACTCTGGAATCTAGCAGCTTCCGGGATCTAAAGAAACACTGGACAGCTGCATACAGGAATCCTAGTAGACCGAGACTTCTCCAGAGAAAGGTGCTGACATACTTCTTCCACCTTTGCCACCGCGGAAGATGGTTGACTTGGTTCTGAATGGGATTTTCTGGCACGACAGGGCGTGCGTGGGTGTGGTGCCCTGGAAAGCATCTAGTTGTCCTTTATCTCCCCCGAGGTGTGCAGTGCCAGGTATGGCCTAGCCGGGGTGTGTTCCCTGTACTACTTGCAGTGCCACAGTTACACACAATGGTTCTCATTCTCTTTTTCCCCTAGGGGAGAACTGGGGAGCCTGGGCTGCGAGGTGAGCCTGGAACGGCACCGGTGAGTTACTAGCCACACGCTTCTGCCCTGACGGCTTGGTAGGGGGAGGGCCACACCTGCAAAGATTACTTTCGGGTCAAATTGGTTACCTCTTTGGGTAGGGGGGGGCATGTTGGAAGGAATCATCTGATCATGCCGCATAGCATGGGCCATGGGGGAGGTTTTTGCACTGTGCCGGAGGAACACTTTGGCAGTGGCCGATCAGAGGAGGACCAATCCATGGATATTTCTGCCTTTGTGCTGGACCAGATCTCTTTCTGGTTTCCCTGTTTTGTGACATTGCTGTACTTTCCTGTTGCCACAATCAAAGGCATGGGCGTGTTCTTTCAAGTACCCTAGGTTTAAAAAAGACATCTGAAATGGAAGCTAGGGAAATCACATAGCAACAAGTTGGTATCAAAACAGAACCTTCTGGACATGAATGGTGCCACCACACAACCACTGGCCTGTGCAGCTTAATGGAGTGGGAGTTCCCTTCCTCATGACACCTTATAGGCATCAAAGGGATCTATCAGGAATAGACTCAGGACCACATCTTACCTAAGGATCATCTGCATCACTTATAAAGCCCTAAACGGCCTACGACAGTGGTGGCGAACCTATGGCATGCGTGCCCCAACTGCCAAGCATCGGATAACAGTGTACATAGGGGCCATGCTCACGCCCAGAAAGGAGATGTGGCGCCAGGTGATGACCCGCGACTCATCAGCCGTGACTTGTCCAAGCTTTCGCATTGCCGGTCAGTGCTTGGACTGGCTGTGAGGTGTTTTTTCTAAACTAACACCTCAGTTTTCAGGTGGTATTGTAGTGTTGGCACTTTGCAATAAATAAGTGGGTTTGGGATTGCAGTTTGGGCACTTGGTCTCTAAAAGGTTCGCCATCACTGGCCTAGGACCTGGATATTTGAAGGAGTGCCTCCTTCCATATATACCTGCCCACCCACTACGGTCTGAATCGGAGGTCTTTCTTTGGGAGCCTTCTTCGAAGAAAATCAGAAGAGTGGCTACCCAGAGAAGGACCTGCTCTGTGGTGGTGACCTGGCTATGGAATAGCCTCTCCCGAGAGGTGTGCTTGGCACCGACGTTTTTTTCATTTCTGCGCCAGGCCAAAACCTTTTTATTTTCCCATTTGTTTAACTGTTAATTGTGTTTTAAGATTGGATTTTATTCATTGTAATATTTGATGCTATATCTTATTTATTTTATTGTATCACCGCCCTGAGACATTGTAAAGATCAGGATATAAAAGCTTTAAATACATAAATAAAATTGTATGCTGAAAGAACCTAATACACAAATAACAGCACAGAATCCAGAATACTTATGGATGCATCATTACAAGGAACAATTCATTTTACCCCAGAATAGTAACCCAAAAATATTCCAATAGAACTGTTATAATATTTTAAGTACAGAACAAAATAAGCAATAGTACCTAAAACATGGTATCCATTATTTTATTCGCCAATATTGTGTAAATGAGATTCTTCCCATGTGCTCAGAATGACAGCTGCATCACTTCACTCGCCATGTAAGGGTGTGGTGTTGTTCCGACAACTTGATGGGTTTTACTTCATTGGGAGCTCACAGTGGGGCTGATCAGCAACCGTGGGGAAGCAGCAGGCAAGGAGGCTAAGAGGGTGGACAGAATGCAGTAGATATTTTTACGCTACTACTATACTTCTTAAATGTTAATTTCATGCTATTGTATACTGATATGTTTATTTCTGATGCTCTTAATTTTTATAAAAAGCTTGTGCTCATGTTTTTCCTCTTCTTTCTGTCTAGAACGTTGAACGTGCCCTAGAATCATATGGCATTAAGGTATGGAATAGTCACTTTTGCCACCTTGCCTCTGTGTTGCACTTCCCACTGCATCTGTCCTTGTTTCTGGCTCTGACAATGGAATAACCAGGCAAATGGAGGAATGTGGTTGGCTTAGTTCAAAGATTCGGTATTAAGTTTCCGAGCATCCAGTGGGCCAGGACCCTTCAGGTGGGGTTTCCATCTCCTGCTGGATGTCCCTTTGCCGTAGAATGAGAAATGCCCTCCTTGGGGAAGTAGGCAGGTTCTAGATGGGCACTTCCGATATATCTGTTTAAGAGGTGTTTGGGGTTTAATGGAAGCCATAGCAAATCTTTTGACGGCTTAACTGATGCTGCTTTTAAGCTGTTATAATTTTAGTTTTCTATCAAACATTTAGCACATAGGACAGGTTGCAATAAAATCCAGATAAATAAAATCAGAATTAAAGCATAGCATAAGCACAAGTAAATAAAAAGCCCAAAAAGAAAAGAAACTGTGCCTGTCTTTTTAATGCGAGATGTATTGATGTGTATATTGGACTCAAACTTCTTTATCATGGGCTTTTGAATCAGATTGTTAGCTGCCTTGAATATAAATAATGCACAACCAGTAAATATAGCAGGAAAATTGGTCTGGACTTGTGCTGCGGAAGATCAAGAATGAGGAGAATGTGGAGAATGTAGAAAGTATTGCTGATTCCTGTAGAATATATCTTTGGCATCCTAAGCTCATGGCTCACAGAAGTTCCTCATAATACTTTTATTGACAGACACGTCTGAAATGAAAAACAACCGAAGGCGGGGAGGCCGTGAAGCCCCGTTCATTGGCCTCCTCGACACATTTGTCTTTCACTCTTTTATCTTTACTACTCTGCCTTTTTTTCTCTTTGGTTCCAAAAAGGTAGGGGGGAACTAAACATATGATAAACAATCGTAAACAGTAACTAAATAAAGCTTCTCAGTTCACCTGATAATGTGATCATTGGACAACCCAGTGCCCTCCATGTGGTTCTGACTTTAACTTCGATCATTCTTCACTGCTGCCCCTGCTGATTTATTTATTCAATTTATATCCTGCCTTTTTCCTGCAAAGGGCTCAAGGCAGCTTACATCCTTCTCCTCCATCTTATCCCCACAACAACAACCCTGTGAGGTAGGTTGGGCTGAGAGTCTGTGACTGGCCCAAAGTCACCCAGTTGGCTCCATGGCTGAGCGGGGACTCAAACCCAGATCCTCTGAGTCCCAGTCCCATGCTCTTAACCACCACACCACACTGGCTCTCTGATGGACTGATGGGGATCATAGACCAAAATATCAGGAAGACACTAGGTTGGGAAAGTCTTCCTTGAGGTGACCCTGCTGTTTCGTTGGTTTATTATGTACCAGCATGAATAATGACCTGGAAAGGATTGGAATATTTTCTTGTGTTCCAAATTTCGGATAGAGACATTGAACTACTTTTTGTGGCTTCAGTGGACAATCTTGCTCACTTTCCTTTCCGCCTTCCTTACAGATTTCCACACTGCGGGAGATCACTGGTGCTTACGATGGGAGTTCTGATCAATTCCTGCCCATCCCTGATCGCCGGAGAGGCCTGAAGGGTGACCGAGGGGATCCAGGAGAAAGGGGACCACCAGGCAAAGAGGTGAGGTTGAGTTCTCTACATTCAGGAATCAAATGTTGCCCCAGGTTCTTCCTTGCGGCCTACGCTGGAGAAAGTACTTTACATATCAAGTATAATGGCATTTTTTCAAAATCAACATTCGTAATCTTTTCTGTATAGTCCTCCAAACCCAGTGGCAGTAGGTCTGCACTTAAATAGGAACTGAAAGGGATGTAGAAAAGTCTATTCCAAATACATTTCCCATTAGTTAAATCACATTAAGCTCTATTATTTAGGGAAACACTAACCAGGAATATGCAGAGCTGCCCAGAAAACTGATTTTGTAACCAAAGTGCTTGAATTCTGTGACAAAATGTTGGTTTCAATTAAGGCATTTGGGATGAGAATAATGGGATTTCTGAAACTAAAAGCAGGTCTTTGGGGAATAAAATATGGAACAGAAGGGTGTAGTAAAGCTATTAGAACCCACAATTCAACCTTAATGTTAGAATATTTCTAATTGTCAGATGGGGGCGATTAACAATAGGAGATACTGTTGCTATTGTGCCTTGGCTGGAAAGCATCTTAAGGAGAAAGCCATCATCTGTTGCAGTTCTCACCAACTAAATGATGAGAAGCATTTGACAGACACTTTGAATATGCATGTGCCTGGGCATCCTTTGCAGAGAAAGTTGGTCTGAGGCTACCTAAATAAGTTTTGTGTTTCTTGCAGGGTCTCATTGGCTTCCCTGGAGAAAGAGGGCCAAGGGGAGAGAAGGGAGACCCTGGCCCACAAGGCCCACCAGGTCCACCAGGCCGTGCCATTGGAGAGCAGGGAAGAGAAGGGCCACCTGGCCAGCCGGGGGAGCCTGGGAAACCTGGAATTCCAGGGGTGCCAGGCCGGGCTGGAGAACTTGGAGAGGCCGGCCGACCAGGAGAGAAGGTGAGTATAGTCAAAGGTAAGAATAGCAAGAGTGGTGTTTAAGTAGGAAGGAAACAAATATGACCAGAAGCTCTAAAGTCCCAAATAGCCTTTTTCTACCTTTCAAATGATGGCATTTTCTGTCTGCATAAAGTCCTGGTGGTGATCTTGGCATGGTTGGAAGAGGCAGATCAGAAATTCCGTTGCGTGGCATTACCCACTTAATCTTACCCAGTATCTCTATTATAAGCTGTCCCGAGACATCAGTGGTGGAAGGGGTAAAAAAGTTTTAAACAAACACACACCCAGAGGAAACTGTCTGATCAGTTACTTTTAAAACAGCCTTAAATGTTCATATTTATCTAAAACACAATAAAGGTATACAATGGAGCCAAAATAAAATGACTTGTTCCTGTTGCTGCTGCTGCTCTTCATATTTATATTTCCCAATAGCCAAGGTTCTCTGTGTGGTTTATGGCACCTGAAGAACGCATCCCACCATGCCAATAGAACCATGTCCAGCTTTCAGAATCTCTAGGAAGCTTGCTGGGCTTTGTCCTTTTTTAATAAGTATTATTATTATTATTATTATTATTATTATTATTTTCTACAAGCTAAAAAAAACACTAAAAACATCAATCATCAAAGACATCAGACCTACTGGGTCAGCCCCCCCATTTTTTTTATAGCAATCCATAGACATATTCAAATCTACGCATAATCCTGTTTCTCTAAAGGTAAAGGTTTCCCCTTGATGTTAAGTCCTGTCATGCCTGACTCTAGGGGGCAGTGTTCATCTCCGTTTCCTAGCCAAGGGAGCCACGTTTGTCCGCAGACAGTCTCCGTGGGCATGTGGCCGGCATGACTAAACACCAAGGTGCACTGTTACCTGCCCACTGAAGTGGTACCTTTTTATCTACTTGCATTTGCATGCTTTCGAACTGCAAGGTTGGCAGGAGCTGGGACGGAGCAACAGGAACTCACCCCGTTGCGCGACCTTTTGATCAACCAGCCCAGCAGCACAGCGGTTTAACCCACTGCGCCACCTGCATCCACTTTCTCTAGCCAATAATACAAAGAATTCCAAGTTTGATAGAAGTATGTATCCTCTTTCTCCTTCAGAGACAAAGTCAGCCTGTCCATTTCAGTGCAGTCCAGGATCTTTTTTAAAATCAGTTCATCAGTAGGTGGTTCTTCACTCCTCCAATGTTGGGCAAATACAATCCTTGCCGCAGAAATTACATGTAGAATCAAATATGTTGCCTGTTTGTCAACGTCATCAGACACAATGCCTAATAAAAAGACTTCAGCTTTAAATATTAAAGATTTTTGTAAGATTTCCTCAAGCCATTTATGTATTTTATGGACTTTGTCCTTTTTGAGGGGAGCAGCTTTAAAACTCAGTAGGCACATGCAAAGGTCAGAGATGGCACCACTCTGCTGGTTCTTTGCCTTTTTAAAGAACAACTTCCCCACTTTCTTTTCTTCTTCTAGGGTGATCGGGGTGAGAAAGGTGCACAAGGGGCTCAGGTGAGTGGTGCTCTGTGATCCTAAGGAGCATGTTTATTTGGATGTTGTTGTTACTGCTGGTTGCCTTGATGAATTCCACATTGAACTGAGAGGGAGTATCTGTATCTACAGGTGCAGGTGTGCTCATAAATGCATATAAGTAATGGGTAGCTCAAGGCTGTTGCTTCACATGCTTTTAATTTGAGCACGGGGTTGAATTCTTTACACAAACCTCAAGGACAATTGGGTTTGCTCCTGTGTGTACAAATCCTTCTAACTCGGTGTTTAACAGTTCCACATTTTCCTTTGGTCCATGCTCCTGAGGCGGTGGAAGTCAATGGTGACATTTCCTGATTAATCTGTTTTCCAGTGGGGAAGAGTGGGAAACATCTCAGAAGATTCTGGCAGAGCTCCTCTTGACAACTCATTTCGTGACTAAGGCCCCTTTACCTTTAACATCTCCACAGTTGTGCGTGTTCCAACAGGAGCTGAGAGACCCGCATAAGGAGGCTGCAGAACTGAAAGGACAAAGGGATGCTCTCCAAAACCTTTTATTTGCTTGCCTGAATTCCTTGCTATGCATCTAAAGATGTAGATGGGTAAAAAGGATTCAAGGCAGCCCAGCCCTGGCAGTAGTAGTTAGGCAGTGGAGCACAAGTAACTTCTTAGAAACGGAGACATATTGCCTCTGCTACGCTACTACAGAAGCAGGTAAAAAAGTGAGAGGAAGAAGTGAGGTCCAGGGGCCAGAAGGGCTGTGTCCTTTACTCCACAGCCTGGCTTAAGAGTACAGAAGCTGATAAGGAAATTGGGTTCACCTGGCCTGGAGAAGAAAAGATCATTGTTTTCAGATGTCTGTTACACAAGAGATGGAGACTGTTCTGTGTTGCTCCAGAGGGCAGGTCTAGAGTCAGTGGGTAGAAACCACAGGGAAGTAGATTTTGGCCAGACATGGAAAGGCTGTTCTAAGGTGGATTGGTCTTCCTCCAGAGGTGATAGGCTCTCCTTTGCTTGGTATTTAAGCAGAGCCTGGACAGCTACATGGCAGGAGTGCTGTAGTCGCATCCTGTATCACCAATCCCTGCTTTCCGGAGGAAGGAGGATTAAATTACTTCCAAGGAATCTGTTTCTGTGAAGGAAAGCATAAGAAACAAGACACTCCAGAATTTTTGTGTTCTAAGGATCTAGTGCAGAGGGCAGGAGCTGATGAAAATGCACTTTGGGAACTGGGACCCATGAGGTATAACAGTATAACAGCAGGGTATCACAGCAACCGAAAGGGCAAGACCATGGAGGCGGCATCAAATTAACTACAGATGAATGAGAAGGCTGTGAGAGAGTTTAAAGCAGGAACTTGAACGAAGACAAAAAGAGTACAAGAATGCCTTCAAGTGGGCTTCCGTGGGAGGTGGTTGAAGCCCCATTGGTGCGGGTGTTCAAGGACAGGCTGGACGTGCACATGGTGGGCATGTCGTGAGCAGAGCCAGCTGGAGCCAGAGGTCAGACTAGATGGCCTGGGAGACCCCTTCTGACTCACTCTGTTTCTGTGTTTCTATGAACTGTCAGTGGAAGAGTGGTTCTAAGCATTTGAGAAGGAAAATGGAAACATTAACTTTGAATCACAGCCACAATTGGTGTCCTAGAGACTTTGAGAAATCTTGTAAAGATGTTACCCCACCTAGACTGGTTGAGGAATGTCCCTGGGAAAAGGCACACTAGAGCAGAACGTTCAGGGATATGTATTGCTAAGTGGGAGGTGGAGAGGTGTCCCCCTGGGCATCCTAGAACAAAGCGAGTCCTACAACTTCCAGCCTTCCCCAGCCAGCTGCGCATATGGGAAAAAAATGATGCTCATATTCATTGGGCTCCAGAGTGATTAGTAGTCTGTCTTTCCTAGTCCATACGTGACCGCTGTATGCATTTCGAAAGCAGCCTCAGGACAAGAGTGCAAGGGAGAGAGAATTCAAATCAAACAGCTCAGCACATGCTTGGGACTATATTCGGGGAGAATTTGCACGGGGCACAGTGAAGAAACTGCAGGCAAGGGAAGAGCTAAGCAATACTGCTTTACTGCTGTGAATTTCCTTGTCCCGAAGCAGCTTTTCATTTTAAATGACATTGACTGCAAATGCTTTGCACGCCACGGATAGTTAGACCTGAACTATCTGTGGGCCTGTCCTGATTCATCCCTGCCTTTTAAGAATCAGTGAAGTCCTGTTATTTTGACCCTGCTGATGGTGGGATGATATTAGATCGCCTCTCTGGTGGCTCGTTCATGTCTTTAATCCATGTGTCTTGTCCCCAGGGCAGAGATGGCTTACCGGGCCCGCCAGGGCCACCTGGACCCAAGGTGAGTGCTTTATTCATTCCTGGATGTCCTTTTTCACTAGCTGTTCCTAGAATTCATAACTAATCAGGGCACAGCACCTTTGATCCCTGGAGCTGAGTTCTATCCTGAGTGCCTTGAATTCTGTGAGACAGGCTGAGGGCTGGAGGGCCCAAGAAGAGGGCAGAAGGCGCATCCTTGCTCTTTGGTTTCTTGTGGTGTCCCCCCTGTGGTTATACATGCCCTGGTGTAGCACCAATGCTGTCTGCTTCCATAGGCTGACAATTCAGTATGAACGTGAAGCTCAGATAGATCCCATCCACTCCTTCCTTCATTTTGATGGACCAGGGAGTGGCCTGGTTTTGAACTGAATGAGCAACCTGAAGCCCTCTGGACATTTTGGCTTACAGCCCAAAGTTGAGGAAGGCTGGGAGCCATAGGCTGCAACACCTGGGAGGCCATGAGTTGCCCAACCCTGCCCTAAGGGACACACGTCCCCAGGAAACAGTCTTAGCGCAAGTGCCAGGCATTCTCTATCCGTGTGACCCGTCTCTTCCCCTGCTCTGCCGCCATTCCTGTTCCAGCTTAGTCTAGTTCCTCTGCACTCTTGTCTCCACCGTAGCCTCAGCTTCTGAGATCTGGGCTCTGACCCTGAAAAACTGACAGCTCCATCATGCAAGAGGGTCTCCCACTGAATAGCCTTGCAATAGAAAGCCCCTCTGCATCAGAATACATGAGAGCCACCGGTCAGCGTGAGGGAAGAATTTATTCTGATTAGGTCTGGCACGTGTATGGCTCTGCCGTAAGATTTTTATTGGGAAGTATGGCTAAGACGTGATGTGTCCATGTGCTGATCAAAGAGATTACTGGACTGATGTGTTTATGTCTCTCCAGGTAGACGTGATAGAAGGGAGTCTCTCAGGTTTTCCGGGGGAACGTGGGCCTGCAGGACCTAAAGGAAGCAAGGTAAGTCCATAGCTCCCTCACCTTACCTTGTGTTAATGCCAAGCTAGGCATACATTAATTGGATGAATCTTTCCCAGCTAATGGAGACTTTCCTCCCAGTGCAAATAGCAACTTTACAGAGGCAATTTTTATAGAGATTTATGGTTGGGTTAAACTATCTCTTTCTGTTCCCTGTAGTCCTGCTGCTGCACTATTTACAATTTTTTAAACAATCTGCATTTGCTATTTCCATTTTAAAAATCCCCCTTCATTTTATTTGCATTTACACAGGGTTGTGTCTTGTTCAGAATGGATATTACTGGGCAAAGACTGCAGCTTCAGCAAGACATAGTCTTCTATGGAGACAGTCTTCTCTGAGTAGAAATGGGGCGATAGTTTAGAGAGTCTGAGACAGGAATCCTTGATGCTTTAACTGAGCATCCTAGCTACATTCTGTTGTGGACTAGCATGATGACAAAACACCACCTTGGTATCGCTCCTGTTTTCCATTTGAATCGTGCTGTGGCACATTCCTGGATCGAATTATATCAGCCTTGTCTTTATTCTTTAGTCATGAATGACTTCAGAACTGGCATTTCTCTGCCTGCCAAATCAGAGAGTCTTTGAGACTATATCAGAAGAACAGGAAATGTTATATATGAGCAAGTTTTGGTGGGAATCCACTCCGAGCTTATTGCAGTATGCGGTCTCCAGAGGCCTGCTACTGCTATTCCTGCTCAGTTCCATGAGACTATCCAGTGGCTCTAGGGACAATAATGGGGCACTAGTCAGCCAGACTCCTACTCTAGACATCTGGAATAGGATGTTAGCCATGTAGACCGTAGGGGTAGAGCGGGTTGTATGAATGTTCATGGACTAAAGAAACACGGTTTACAGGAAAGCAACCTAGGTTTCTTTGTGGTCTTTCTGCATCGCGTATACATGTGACTAGGAAGCCGATCTGCCAGCAGGGGGTGGGTGCTGAAGCACAGGCAGTGAGGCCAGCTTGGCCAGATTAAATATCTGCCCAGGAGTCTTGATGTCCGTCATAAAGTAAAGGGCATAGGTAGACCCTGGCAAGCATGTAACAGGTAGGTATGGCTCAGGAACGAATCGCCCGGAAAGAAAACGTGCTCAGGTGGTGCGGTCCTGTTACGAAAGTGGAGCTCTGTGTGTGTGAGCTTGGTTCCAGCCTACATGGATTCACGTTTTCTTCCACCAATGAAATGCTGGCTTCAGCAGAGTAGCAAAATGCGGCCTTAGGCACATCTGTTCAGCAGTCAGTCCCATGGAGCTCAGTGAGTGTTATTCCCAGGCGTGTGTTGTATAGACTTGCAGGCTTACACTCATGTCTAGTGATAACAGCTCGAAAGGAAGAAGTCAAGGAAGACTCATCCAGCGCCAGCGAAACAAGCTTTCTTTCAGGCTGGCTTGTGGCAATCTAGACTTCATTGCGGAGGTTTCAGCCACCACTCGGTTATGCTGGGTGATGGGGGGCGTTTAGGTGAAGGACTAAATGAAGGCTTGGCCCGCTGTGGGTCAATTGAGGTGGACAGCTAACCATTCATTCCACTTTCTTCTTGTGCAGGGAGAGCCAGGAGAAGATGGTGCAAAAGGCTCTAGAGGCGATAAGGTCTGCGTGTAGTAAGTCTCTCACCCCTGCATCTCTCCAGCTTTCTCTGTGTCTGTTCTGTGCCTTCACTTACACCAGCGGAATCCCTTCTTTCCTGCAAGTGTTTGACTTCGTCTTGCTTTTTGATTCTTTTTCTCTATCCCTTTCATTGGATTAATGAATGACGCAGCAGCCCCAGGTCAAAACGTGCTTTCTGCTTGAACACTGGCAGATAACAGCCATGGCTAAGAGAGGTGGGAGGCATAGCCTTTCCACCTGTGCCGCTCTTTCCCACTGGCAACACCTACCTTGGATCATTCTGTAGATACCTTCTGGCCCCATTACATCTGGGCCTGCCCTGCTTTCCTTTGGAGCTTAGTAGTTTGGCCTCCTTCATATCCACATTTCCCAGTATCAAAGGAGCCTCTTCTGCTGCCTCAATTTAGGCCAGACATCCTGACTCACCACTGCAGGCTCCATTTCTCAGAGTGGCTTCGAGTTCTCTTTGGCTTCAGGGATTTCAGCTTTCTTTGAAGCTGGTATAAATCAAGGTAGTGAAGCCAAAGTTCCAATGAAAAAAGGACATTATCAGGGCAAAAAAAGACCTTTCTTCCTTCCCCTGCCTGCCACTCCCCACCCCCTGCATGTTTCAAGTGATATTTAAAATAATGCTATGACATTATCAAATGGCTTTGCTCAGTCCAAAATGCTTCACATTCACCGCAATGCTGGGGGCAAGGGATTAAGACAGGGCTTTTCCAGAATGCCAGCAGCCTACCCGCTCTTGGCTGAGCCTCAGGGGCTGCTGGGAAAGCAAAGTAGCAATCCAGCAGCATCATAGTGGAGAGCCAGTGTGGTGTGGTGGTTAAGAGCATGGGACTGGGGCTCAGACGATCTGGGTTCTAGTCCCCGCTCGGCCATGGAGCCAACTGGGTGACTTTGGGCCAGTCACAGACTCTCAGCCCAGCCTACCTCACAGGGTTGTTGTTGTGGGGATAAGATGGAGGAGGAGATGTAAGCTGCCTTGAGCCCTTTGTAAGAAAAAGGCAGGATATAAATGAATAAATACATAAATAAATAAATAGTGGACCATCGCAGAACTGGATGTGGACTGGTTCATGCAATGGGGCTGACACAGTGGGGCTGCTTGCTTGCCTTCGTGACATCGGCTGACTTTTTGACTCACAGGGTGAACCTGGGCAGAGGGGAGAGAAGGGCGAAGCTGGCGAGAAAGGCAGGGATGGTGCTCTCGTAAGTATTGCTGATGGGCCATTGCTGGAAATGGTGTCCACTGCTGGAAGGGGAGCGGAGGGAAACAGCTGAGCGATTGGCGCTGCTACTGCTGTTTAGCAAAAACATCCTGCTTTGGTTGAGGAGGGGCAGGGAGGGAGGCTTGCCCCACTTCCACGTATCTTTGATGCCGCAGTCTAGTGCGACTTCGGAGGCGACACTGAAGTCTTGCGGGCATTCTGCTTATTTTCACACCCTCCTTTTGCTGCAGGGCCTTCCAGGAGAAAGAGGCCTTCCTGGCCCAGAAGGGAAAGCAGTAAGTAAAAGAGAGGAAGCCTCAGCTGTGGGAGAGAAAGTGCATGTGACCTGATGGGGTGTGGGGTGGGGAGATAAGGGGAAAAGGAGAGCCAAAGGGGAAGGATCAGGATTTGAATGATGGGAGAAGAAATGGCGGGAGTTTAATGTAATCCACAAAGCCCATCCCCTACTCCCTCCTCACAATTCTTGCTCCACTTCACCTTTTAAAAACAGCCACCAAGGGAATCCATCAGTATAACTCAAGCAGTGGAAAGGTTTTGTATGGAAGGTTCCATACAAGGTGAAATGAGTGGCGTTCGGGGAGTGGATCCGGGCTTCTGAAGAAATCGGGTGTCTTGCAATTCAAGCCTTCATTGAAGGCCTTCCACCTGCCACACACAAATCGGTGTTGCCCTGTAGCCCTCCTGCTTGTAACGGCAGCGAAACACTGTTCGGGTGGGCACTGGTGATGCTTCTCATTGTAACCCACCAAGTGCAGGTGGAATCCCTGCTGGAGGGAATCCCTGGCACAAGCTGAGCCCGAGGAAGGGTGGCAGAGATGATCCTGATTATGGGGCTGGCACTGCTTCACTGGGGTGAAAGTCAGGAGGAAGGGGTCACGGAGGGGTTCTGTTCCCAAGCTGGCTATGATCCCTTTCACCACTGCTGTGTGTTGCTTATTCTTCCCCACAGTAAAGCTGTGCTGTGCTTTGTGAGCTGTGTGAGTTCTCTGTGTTGTTTTAACAAATTGTTTCTAGGACCCTCCGTCTTGGACCTGTTGTCTTGAGGTCACAGTGGATTCCTGCACACTTGGGCGTGGTGTCCCTTCCACCTTCCATCCATGCTGTCACTTGTAGGCTATGCCCAGGCCAGGGAGGCTTCGGCCCAAAGATCTGACTGCTCTGTGATGGATTTTTGTCCAGGATGTCCACACAGTCAAGCACCCAAATGAGGGAACTGATTATTGCAAACCACTGAGCATTCTCCTTGTCCCCACATTCCCTTTGCTTATGGAGAAGGCATCTCAGTAATATGGCGCTGCTGTATTCAGTGAGCCTTGAGCCTCTGTCCCCTCTCTGCTTGATTTGCCTTGATCAGAACTGCAGCGTGTGGAATTCCCTTCCTGGCAGACCCCGACCAGTACTTCTGACAGTCAGGGGCAAATACGAAAGAGGATTCCAGTGTCCTGTTTTGTCACAGGGGAGATTTCAGAACCAGTTGTGTCTTTCAGGCAACCACAAGCAGTCTCCCCTCCCTTTTGTCCTGTTTTATGTGTCTGGTTCATGTGTTTCTGTTTTTGTGTGTCCTTTCCTCCCATGCAGGGCCTGCAAGGGTTTAGAGGGCCCCCCGGCCCAGCTGTAAGTAATGTTTCTTGGTAGGCCGTAGTAGACCTGACTCCTCGGCTCTGTTTGGCTTCCTCTGCTTGCTCTCGCTTTCTTTGATGCAGTAGGAGCAGTTCGACCTTGGCACTGTATATTGAGGGAAGCAAGGACCAAGCAAGGCTCGCTTGAGGGATTGCTCTGGGTCTCGCTAACTCTCTGGATCTTTGAATTGGATCTTTGCAGGGCTTGCCAGGCTTCCCGGGCGTTCTGGGCAGACCGGTAGGTGACCCCTTCCCTTCTCCCCATTCCTGTATCGCACCTCCCCTACTTGCATGCAGCACTCTGCCTCTGACTCATAACAGTAAATGGGGAGGGTCTTCTTCGCGTGGCATTTGCAGCAAGCATTATTAAGCTTTGCGGAAGGGTTCTTGGCATGGGGGTCTGGGAATCAGAAGCAAGCAAACCATTCCTTGTAAAGCATTTTCATTCCCTTGCATTGTGTGTGTGTATGTATGTATACACAAGCATGCATGCAAGCACACAGACACCCAAAGAGGAATCCATAATGCAAAGATTCGATGCATTAGTCCAATGTACTAGGAGCTAGAGGTGTCCAGCACTAATTTTGCTTCAGTCATGCGTTGAACTCAGTGACTGGGTTTGCATGACAAGCCATAATCACCCACAGTTTGTTGTCATGTTATGAGAACCCAGTCACTGAGTTCAGCTAGTGACTGAGCTAAACTTGGGCTCCCTGCAAGGGGGCTTGTTAATGGAAAACAAGACACTCGGATGAGCCACGGCTTATTCCAGGAACTGTTGGAGCCAGGAAGGGTTGTCATGCCAAACTTGGGCCGCTATCTCCATCATGGGCTGTAGGAAGTGGCTAGTAAATCACTTAGCAAGAGGGGCAACAAGCCTCTTCCCCATCTTGCTGGGCTAGTCTGGGCCACGGCCAGCCGTCCCACAGGTGCCCTTTGGGGTTTGCTGCAGCTTCCCCCACTTTTTTTCCTGGAGACCATTTGTAGCACAGTGGAGGGGCTGTCACTTGCTTGTCGGCCCTTTCAAGACAATATTTTAGCATAAGAAATGTGTGCAGTATTTCATACTGTTTATTATTAACTTTAGTTCGACTTGCACACATGCCCAGCTCCAAAAGGCCAGCCTTGCCCGAGCAACGTCCTCAGGGCCGTCTGCTGTCAAAGTGCAGCAGACGGAGGGCATCCGAAAGGGCCTTTCCCCGGAGCTTTGCTCACTTGCCCCGTTCCAGGGAAGAGCATTTCCACAGCTTTGGGTTGTTTTTAGAAATGTGAAAGTAGTGCAGGCGACTGCTCTTGTGAGTGCACAGGCACATTCAGATATTACCCATAGACTTAAATGGTCAGAACTATTTAACTGAATCAGTTTGTCCATATTGTTCACTACATCAGTGGTTTATTCTACCACAATGCAAGTTTTCCTTGCCTGCAGTGCTGTCAGAATAGTACGTAATATCATATGGCAGCCTCCCCGAACCTGATGCTGTCCAGAAGTCTTGGACTTCAGCTCTGATGAACCCCAGCCTGAAAGTTTTAATCTGAAAGATCTGAAAAGCACCATGTTGGGAAAGCTGTCACTGAGTGAGGAATGTGCAGAAGTGAAATTGATTTATTTATTCAAGTGAAATATTTTAATAAATCTATTTTATTTATTTATATGTCGCCCCGTTACTAAAAAGTCTCCGGACGGCTTACAAAAAACAAAAAAACAAAGCAAACCATAACAACACGCAACACACTGCATCTGATAAATAATGGTGAAAGCAAGGATAAAACCAATACACTGTTAAAAATTGGGAAAATAAAATGGTATTAATTTATTTATTAATGTCTGATCCAAAAAAAATTAACTGTGGATGCTAAGGGAAAAATCAGCCCCAGAGCCAGCATTAATCACGTGGTCTTCATTCATTCCTGCAGGGTAACCAAGGAGATCCTGGACCACCAGGCCCTCCTGTAAGTAAAATTACTTTCCATGACGTTATAAATGCTCTGGCTAGGTTCAGAATAGGAACTCACAAACCTGAGGACAGAATAGGATGCATTGAGTGGGAGATGACTGGCCATAGTCGCCTGCTTTATTCGACATCATTATCCTGCCACGGTCTCAAGCCTGCAGTCTGGTGTGGGGAGACGGGGGTCCTGCAGATATTGCTGAACTGCTTCTCCCGTGGGCTCTCTCCCCTGGCCCTGCTGGCTAGAACCTGCCTGAGCTGAAGTCAAGCAATAGCTTGAGGGCCTCTGCCATGGACCTAACCAAAGAAGACACTCATCATGGTGGGTAGCAGCCCTTACCACCAAGGTTACATGGAATGTATGGTCTTGATGTTTTTTTAATGGAAGAAAGGAGGAGGAAGCACATACATTAATACAAGTAGTTCAGAGCGGATATTTTTGCTAGTGAGTCAAACTGTAAATGTATTGATTCAATTCTGTTTTTTTCTGAAGTTGTTCTGGTTCGGTTTTTGTACAGACCAATTAAAGTTCAGTTCAATTTTTGGTTCAGGATAAGTTATCTCCCTGGTTAGGTGCAGCCTTCCTTATATATCTGATGAAAAGTCTAAGAATGTGGTAGAAAGCTAGTTAGCATGTTTTATACAAATGCTGAATTAGTTCAGTCGTTGTTCTTTGGCTACCAAAAGTGCCTCTCTCCTCTCCCTTACAGGGTCCTGTCGGCCCTCCAGGCACTCAAGGTCTACCTGGAATAAAGGTATGTGCCCCGATCTGATACCTGGGCTTGCGAAGCTTTCCTTCTACTCAAACCAATGGCAGCTAGAGGTTTACACTGTTAGAGGAGTAACACAACCCAGCATTCTCCACTCCTGTGAGGAACACTGCTTCACAAAACATCTCCAGATCCCCATGGAATACCTTGTTTTCTCACATTTTCACCTAGCAAGTCTATGCTTGAGACAGACGGCCTGTCCACATTCAGCTTTGCAAAAATTGAAACACAATTCCAGGTCTTGCAGGTCCTCGGACAAGACCCCGTCAGTGGGTTACCTTCTTGTTACTAATGTCACCAGCTGTTCTCGCTTCCCCTTCTCTTTCTTATCATTGCTGCCACTTGCTTGCTTGACTGCCAGAGAAGCAGGTTGCTCCTGGGCAAGTTGCAATGATGAAGAGAAGGAGCCAATCCAGCAGGCCCCTGTGAGTAGGACCCGGCCCAGGTTTGGGCCAATGGGCAGGTTCTCATTTATTGATACCCTTGATGAGAATTGTTGTCTCTGACAGAAACAAGTGAGTGATTATGAGGTGTTTTCCCCCTTCTGTTTACAGGGAGATGTCGGAGAGCCTGGCTCCAGCATCCGGGTAAGTCTCTTTACCCCTCTTCCCCAGCACACACATTCTGTGGGATTAGAGTATTCTGGCCATTTGAATTCCTCCGTTTATTGCCAGGGAAGAATTCGTGGGGATCTTTGCTGAACTGTTTCTTTCTGACAATTGGCACCTCCAAATTCTGGAAAAGTCCCAGTGGCGGGGAATATGCAAAATGAATCTGGATGGATGCCTTTTGGTAACCTTGGTCAGCATTTCGCTTTTTTTCACTGCAGGGTTTGCCAGGTCCCCAAGGGAATGTTGGACTACCAGGACCAGCAGGACCACCTGGGCTTGTGGTAGGTGGCCACTGTGCTCTTCTAGCTGAGCTGTTGGAGCATTCAGTTGATATGCGTCTCACAGTATGAGCTGCCCAAACTCTGCGATTGCCACCCGAGGGCCTTCTGCAGGTGTCCTCCAAGTGAAGCCCGGAGGGGCCAACAAAGGCAGTTTTGGTGGTGGGACTTTCTCCCCAGTGATGCCTGCTTGGTGGCACCCCTCTTCGTTCTCATGTATTTGACAATATATAAGGCTTTTAATGGGTCCTTGGATTTCTTCTTGGTGGATGTTAAAATTGTTTCTGGGTATTGATATCTGTCTGTCAATGTTTTTATATTCTGGTAGAGTATTTTTAATTTTTAAAGCTGCCCAGGGAGCTTTGGCTACTAGGTGATACAGAAATGTAATAAAATGAATGCAATGAATGCGTTCATGATTTCATTCTCAGGATTGATTGCTTTTTCTTGGTGCATTTCATTTTAGGGTCCACAAGGCCCTCCAGGATTACCAGGACAAGTGGTAAGCTTGCTTTGCAGTCTCCCATCTGACACCCCACACACCTCACACCAGACTTTGACAGATACCCTCATTCTGGTTGCTTTTTTCTTTGTCTCAGGGTGAACCCGGGAAACCAGGCGTGCCAGGAAGAGAGGGGGTGCCAGGAAAAGACGGTGAACCTGGATTGCCTGGGAAAATGGTACAGTTTGCAGTGTGAGATTGCAAATTTCTGATTGAAATTGTGACTCTGTCCCATGGGAATGGCACCAAGACCGATGCTTGTGTCTTGCCCACACAGGGCTGGTGACAGGACGATGGTGGTTCTGCAACTTCTGTATGTCTCTTGGATTTGAGTTCCTCTGTGTCTTATGAGGACAGGAGGACAGTGTCCCTCAAGTCTTGTGCAGCTGAGCATTCTCAGTTCTCAAGTTAGTGAGAAACAAATCTCTCCTGCAATGATCCAGGATTCAAACTGACTCCAGGACACACAACTGTGGTCTGAAAATGAATGACGCCAAGCATAGCTTGCAATAGAATCGGTCCCCTTTTTATGTGGCGTCCTCGTGTAATTGTCTCCGAAGCAAGTGCTGCTGAACAGGAAATACAGGCCCAGGGTCCCAGTTTGGTCCTCCTAAAATGAAATGCAGTCCAGTCCAACAAGTTCCCCAGATGGCCACACCTCATTCTCCTTGCCCTACTCCCTTTCCCCTTCCCCAGCCGCAATTGTTTGGTGGTTTTCTGGTTTTTGTGCCATTTTTTCTCATTCTAAAAAGTTTACCTTCCTCCTCAAGACTTGCACATCACCATTAAGAGCTTTAAACTACACTCTGTGGGCATTTTTGTATTTTGTTAGGCCTCAGCCATTTTGTCTTTGGACCAGCCCCACTCTGGAAAGTGGCTGCTGAGAGCTTCTCTGAAATCGCATTTGCTTCTCAGGGTGAAGGGAGGTCCCCACCCGCGCTGTAGCTGCGATGCTAAGGGTGGTTTCCTGAGGGCAAGCACCCCAGGATGCAGTGGGTCTTACCTCTGCATCAACATGCAAGGGGCTGTGCTGTCAGTGTTGGGCAAGGGAGTCCAGCAAACATTCATTTCCTGGCTATACCCTAACTGCATTTATGAATTACTTTCTAGGGTGTCCCAGGACCCGTAGGACCTGCTGGCCCCAAAGGAGAGCCTGGTGACACTGGGTCCCCCGGACAGGTGAGACATGATTTCATCCTCTTTTTCTTTGGGGATGTGCCCGCCTTCCTTCTTTCTTTCCTTCCTTCCTTCCTTCCTTCCTTCCTTCCTTCCTTCCTTCCTTCCTGTTCTATTTACTGTTTATTGAGTTTTCCAAATATTAATTAATTTCCACTAGAAGTGTCTTAAAAGTGTTTTAAAAAGTGACAATACAATCTTTTTTCTACAACATTGTATTTTGTGATTGGTTCATTTAGTATTACGTGCACAAGAAGTGCTAAATCAGACCAGAGGTCAACTAGCCCCACATCTTGTTCCTACAGTGACCCCACCAGCTTGTAGGAAAGCCCACAAGCAGGACCTGGGTGCTGCAACACACTCCCACATGCTCCCCTGGAACGGGAGTTGAGAATCGTACGGCTTCGGATACTGGAGGAACATACCGACCTCATGATTAGTAGACATCATTAGATTTAGCCTTGTTATTTATTTCATAAAACAGCCATTTCATAAAACAGCCATTTCATAAAACAGATTCTCTTGGTGTCATACAAATTGTGAAGCCGGACAAAACGTTGCACTCATGCAATAAACATCCCTTTCCCGGTTAATCTTTCATATTCCTGTGTCATTTATCTGTGTCAAGCCATACAGGATTCTTAGCAATCTTTGTGGGATCTATACACATGGTAGGTATGTCATGAACGGAACCGGCTGGATCTGGGGGTCAGACTAGATGGCCTGGGAGAACCCTTCTGACTCGCTCAGTTTCTGTGTGCCCTAAAAGCATGTGTATGAAGCACAGGAGAGAATGGGTGATGGAAGAAGTTGGCAATGTGATTTCAGAAATATTTCAATGTTCAGAAGATTGTAAAAACCAAGTCCAGAAGCTTCTTTATTGTTCTTTTTGTGTGTAGTTTTTGTTTTCCATTCAGTTTTCAGCTGAAGGTGTGAGAACCAAGAATGTACTTGGTTGTAATGGATTCTATGGGTTTTCCATGCTGCCAAGACCATCCTTTCTACTATCATGGCAGCTTTCATTAAGCTTTCACATTGAAATTTAGTTAGGGCCCATGTAGTTGGCAGGCATCCTAATATAAAATGCCTACATTGTGATGCAAATAGTGTTTTTAGTGTGAAGCTGGTGAGTTTTAGGTATAATTTTTTTCTCTTGCCAATTGTGTCCTTCCTTTGTTTGAGAGAAGCTATTAATTACTAAGCTGTGGGAATTCCTACCTTGAATATGCTGTTCCTCTGTAGTATAAAATCCATCCTTGCTGTTTAGACCATTATTCAAGAGTCAGCAAATACGAGTGTAGACTGCGAGCTTCTCATCACCGGGAAGCCCTTCATTGGTGGCACAGTGGTGACTATACAGAATTAGTCTGCTATTGATAACCCAGCCAGGACCAGAGAGATCAATGCTGAAGCTCTTCTTATGGAGCCCCAGAAAATCTTGGCTTAGCTCCATGATCCTTTCCTGGCTAGCTTCTTGCACATATTTTAGAAGAAAATGTCATAGCAAACACTCTTTTCATTTACGTCTCACATTGCTATTAAGCACCCATCTCTTTTTCTCCCTGATCGGTTGTCTATAGACCGTTGTTGGGCCTCCCGGAGCAAAAGGAGAGAAGGTAAGCTAAAGGCCTGCCTGGATTAGTGTGGAGAATGGATATGATGTAGTCTGGTGAGGCCTGGAAATGGTGCACAGTGTGCTTGGCCTCTTTGATGGCTCAGGAAGGATTGTAGAAGAAACTCCCAACTTCTAGACTTATACCCAAACTCTGCTGTTGCAACTATTAGTTCTTGAAAGAATCTGCAATGAGTGTAGATCACTATTTGGATACACTGATCTCTCAGGTTTGTTTTCTCATGCTCTCAACTATGGTTGCTCAGTTTTACAGAGGGTGGATTTGCTTGTAATAACTTTTTTCCAGCAAGAACCTAGATAGAAAAAGAAGGATAATCTGTCTGAAGCCTGAAATCTGGGGAGGGAACCAAATCCAGCCAAGTAAAATGGCTGGATATTGCACTTACTTTGTCAAAGGAGGACAGCAGAGTGATTCCCATCTTCAAGGGAGGGTGTCTGATGGAATTTGAAGGGAGCCTCTGCAGTACTGAACATCTGCATGGTCTGTTACAGGGTTCACCAGGCGATTTTGATGTAGAACATCTGGGGAAATTGGTGAGCTCTTCTTCCTTCCCACTTTCCATTGCTGTTTTCAAAGCCCTGCTTCCCGAGCCGAGTGTCAGTGCCCATCTCTTTGCTTCGTAGGGTGCCAAGGGTGATAGAGGCATACCAGGACCTCGAGGAGAGAAGGTGAGGAACAATCCTGAAGGAAAGAACCCCTGTTCTGTTTTTGGCAATCGCAGGAAACTTCCGAAGGCTTTGAGTCATTTTCAGTGCAAATTCTTTGGATAACCTTTCTGTTTCTGTGTTAGGGTGAACGTGGGGAACAAGGTGAACCAGGAGATCCTGGAGAAGATGTAAGCATTATGAATTGTACTGTAAAGCAGTGACAACATACTGTAGAAGCATGCATCAAGTCCCAAGATTTGGCTTGGACCTCAGTCTTGTTCTTTGGGAAATGGTCCAGTTCTGCAAAGACCAATGTGGGGGCTATTTAATCCAACTTAGAGTCCAAGCCCAAGTTGAGATTTGGAAATCCAAGCCTTTGTGCCTCTCATTGACTCTCATGGGCAATTTAAAAAAAATGACTATATCATTTTTAATGTCAAAGATGATGAAATTTGCAGATATTATAACCATTAGGAAGGGATTATTTGTGCCAGATTTCAAGTGCAGTGTTTTTTGTGCTATTTTCTTTTTTTTAATAAAACGGGAACTGCCAGTAACTCCTGCTATTTCTTAGCATAACTGGGTGTAATTGGCAGGGATAGTTGCCCCTTCTGTGGGGATCAAGCCTGAAAATTTCTGTTAAATAGGTTGAGGGGTTTTGTGGTAGAGCAATCTTTACATTAGAGTGAGACCTAACAGGAACACAAAGATGCAAAATAAAGATTCAACTAATTTTTGCATGAAAGTCCTTTTTCTTAATGTTCAACAAAATCTCCCATGTGTAATTTAATCCTATCATATCCATGGTATCTGTAGGAGATACAATGGCCAATTGCTCATCCTCCCCGTTTTTTACACTTTGAATTTTTGAAATCTACCATATGCTCATTACCTTTTCTATCAATATCAGCAGTGCATCTAATCTCTATTCCTTACTGTATGTTCTATTTTCTGTTTGGATTTGAATAGGGAGCCAAAGGATCACCTGGGATCAAAGGGGAAAAGGTATAAACCGTGCCTCTCATGCTTTGTTTGCTTAATCTTTTAGAGATGTGCCTTCTGTTAATATAAATAGTCGGGTATTTTCTGTTAATATACATAGCTGAGCATCTACCTTCATCAGACTGTTCAGTATGATTTTTTTGAGAATGCTGTCATGCCACGAATCTGCCAGTGCGGGCTTCCCAACCTGGTACTGGATTGCACCTCCAGCTTTCCACAGCTATTGGACTAAAAATCCCATCATCCTCATCCAGCATTGTCACTGACTGTGCTGGCTGGAGGTTATAAATGTTGCAGCCTGGAGGGTACCAGGTTGTGCATGGCCGTGTTATCTGTAGTAATTCAGCAGCAATCAGAAGCTTATCTGTAAATGTGGGGCCAGGGCATTCGCATTTCAAACTCAGAGTGTGTCGTGGCACATCTTAACTTGCTTGCCAGTCAGCGAACCTGACTGAATTGGTGAAGATCTTGTCACCTCTTCCATGGGTGCTAGCAAGTACCACTGGGGCTCTCAGTCAGTAGAGGCTTGTTTAAATAAGTAACCAGATCCTCTCTGTGGTTTGCACAGAAATTGTCCATTTGCATAACTCCTGCTTTCATCTGCACTGTCTAGGGCTCCCTCGGGATTGGTCTCCAAGGACCTCCTGGGCAGATTGGACCTCCAGGCTTGAAGGTAACTCTTTTTTGTTTCTTCTGATTTCAGCACTAGACTGCTGGACAGCGCCTGCAGGAGCAGCTTGTAATTCTTGCTGGAGTTTATAAAGGAGGATGGAGATTGCCCGGGGGTGGGGGGGGCGGGGGGCGGGTAATATTGTTACTTAATTTCTATACCAAGCAGAGTAGCCAAAGCTCTCTGGGTGATCAAACTGCTAGTTATATCGGAATATGTGATTAAAGACACTAAATGAGGAAGTCTGTATTGGCTTACTGATTGTCTTTTAGTACTGTATGCAAAGCTGTGATTATCCTGCTCCTCAGATTTGGCTGGATGAAGATTTTTCAGAGACAGAATCCCTTCGTTCAGCAGTGTTGTCTAGCTGTATTAGAAAGGCTCAGAACAGAGCAGACTCAGACTTGCTACTTGCAAACCTCTGATGAATTCTCAATGGTTTTCAAATGTTTGAGGAAAAGGACAAGAGAGAGGGTGGCCAGTTGACTTCCTTGCTTCTGGATCTGCTATCATGCCTTGTGGCTCTTTTGCAGGGGGATCCTGGCTTGCCAGGCCCACCAGGGCCCTCAGGTTTGCCAGGTGTGGCTGGGACACTGGGCCAGCCAGGCCTGAGAGGAGAAACTGGGCTCGCTGGCCAACCAGGACCTCCAGGAGAGAGGGTAAGTGGATCGCCGCTACTGGGCATCAGAGTCCTCTGCTCTGGCTTCCTTTGCTGACAAGATAAATGCATGGTACTCTTTGGAAAACTCGAAAACTGCTGTGACACATCCTCCTGACAGATGCTTTGCCCTGGTAGCCCATACCTGGGCCCTGATCCTGGAGCTTTCCATAACAATGAGCCATGCCCTAGTTTCTCTGGACTTGTTTTCTGTCTTCCCACAACTCAGTCTGTATCTAAATGAAGAGGAGCTTCATGTACTTAGAGACTTGACTCATGGGGAAGGGGTGGGTCCCTTCTACCTCAAATTAATAAGGGCTTAGGCCAGGATTGGGAACCTTTGACCTGTGAGGTAAATGCAGACCTTCAGGCCTCTTAATCTGGGTGTCTAGCACCAGGACATGTCCCTCAGTGACCCCAGTCTAGGTTATTGATATATTTTACTCCATCCTATCCTGTTCCCCAGCTACAAAACTGATGGAGGACACCTTGTACAGATTAGAGGAGGAGAGTGTCAGGATGCAAATATGGGGTTTTTCCATAGGCTACCAAACAAAGGTAAGAGTCGCTTCTGAAACTCTTGCCTTCCCAACTGCAGGAAAACAGCCCCTGACTTGTTTCAACCAAGGAAGTGCAGACCTTGATCAGAAAAAGGTTTTCCCTCCTTGGCTGAGGGCTCTGGGCTGAGAAGTATTTTGCTTTTCAGGGTCTGATTGGTTTCCCTGGGCGAGATGGCACTGCAGGACCTCCAGGGCCAGCGGGACCTCCGGGGCCACCAGTAAGTACTTGGGTATTTGGAGTGAAAGTGTAAGGTGAGGCGACCGCATATGTAACCAGTTAGTTCCGGACGACCTCGTGCATCACAGTGTTACTTCTGTGCATTCTGAAGTTGGTGTTGCGATATTAATCTCACCTTTGCTCTCTGTTTTATTCATCACCTCTTCATTGAAGGGCGCACAAGGCACTCCAGGAGTGAAAGGTGACAAGGTAAGTCCTGGTTTTGCCTGCCAGACTTCAGCAGATGCAGCAGATGATGGGGAGACACCCATGGCCTCCAATTAATGGGGCTATTCCACTTGCTTGTTTTTTTAAAACTTGCTCATTCACAGACTTTTCACTGAACTTGGCAGATTGTGGCAGCTGGTTCAGAACTCTAAAAAACTCAGTCTGGCCCCAGACATTTCTGAGATACATTTGAAATCATGCAAGAGGTATATAAAGCAGGAGAAGCAGAACCAACTAATAGCTGCAGTACCGGAAGAGTCTCATTTTTGTATTATTGAAGGATTTATTAAAAGGCCATCGCCTTTGTACCTTATTAGTTATATTAGACCTTTTAAACTTGGCAAATATCATTCTGACCAAGTTGTAGAACCTGCAACTATGAAACGTTTTGCTGAGTTGCGATCTACAGCAAGAACTTAAGAGACAGCAACAGGTTCACTGAGGAAATGCAACTGTTCTCTCTTTCTGCTTTTCCAGGGAGGTACAGGTATTGGTCAGCCAGGTGCTAGGGGCGAGCGAGGAGATCCAGGGCCACGAGTAAGTTTTAAATATCTTTACTAATTGCTGATGTGTCGGGGGTGGGGGGTTAAATTATTCGAGCTGCTGTGGTTGTTGCTCTCTGGTTGTTGTCTCTTATATTGTTTTCATGTTTATACGTTTTTGTGTATATTGTGTATATTAATATTTTATGAATTGTACTTACGCTTTCAATATTTATAAACTGCCCAGAGAGCCCATGGGCTATGGGGTGGTACATACATGTAACAATCAATCGATCAATCAATCAATATCTTAATCTGCCTCTGTGGTCCAGGTACGGAGCAGAATTCCTAGGAATTTGTGGGGCAGTTTCACCTCACTTCCACATATAGGTGGGGCATCAGGGTGTAGCCACTGGCTGAGTGGGATTTTGCATGCTCTGAAAACAAGCCTGCAGCACTGTTTTAGTCTTAGCCATTGCAGGGCTGACATCAAGAGAAGGCATGCTTGGACGCCTCCTGAGGGCCCACCCTCCAGCAGGGACCCTCTAACAACCCCCCGCCCCCGCCAAGCCGTTCCAGCTCTTCCCCATTGCATCCTGCTTGCTTGCCTGCTTCTGTGTCTGCCAGGCAGCAGCGGTGGAGGGAGGGAGGGAGGGGCAGCAGATGCCACTGCCTGTGGCCCAGGGGCTCTCTGCCTGTCATGCAACCAAGTGGGAGCGAAAACAAGAAAGAAGATGGGGAGCCATGGTGGCTGCTGAGAAGTGCAGTGAGAAGGCACCCTCTCTGAGGGAGGGGCCCATGGAGGGGGCTTTGCCCAGGGTCCCCCACAGACCTGGAGCCAGTATGTTCTGTCTCCCCTGTCTGTCCTTTCATAAGTAACAAAGCAGCTTCTGAAGAGCCAGGTAGCTTGGCTTTGTCCCAGGCTCTTCCAGTGCTGCGAGAGATTCCTGCCTTTAGCTTGGCCTGGGCCTCCAGCCGCAGCCTTCCCTGGTTCTTTCCTTCAGCCTGTCTGAAATTTCTCTTCCTCTTTTCAGGGTGAAGATGGTCGGCCAGGGCTGGAGGGAGACCGTGGGCCTCCGGTAAATATCTCAGCCCCCTTCCTACTCCCTCAGACCTGAGTGTAAGTATTGGCTGCCATTCTGAAGTGAACCCTTTTCTGTTTTGCATTTAGGGGCCTCCAGGAAACCGAGGAGAGAGAGGTGATAAAGTAAGTTGGAGATTGTGGGATGGGGGATTACGGGGGCGGGGGGGGGAAGAGGGAAGGAAAGCCTTTCTCCTTGCCCTTCCGTCATACTGGCCAGGGAAATAAGGTCCTGCAAATTTTGCTGCCTGCTATATAGCACATCTTAGGCTACCAGCAAGGAGCAATGGATTTAGGAGAGACTAAAGTGCATCATCAGGGTTTTGGTGAAGCCGGGACTGCAGCACATTCTTATCAGCAGGGATGCTGACGCCATCTGCCAGAACGCCTGTTCCCTCTGTGCCCAACTGGAACCCTTGCGGAGGCGAAGGGACAGGGAGTTGATTTCCTAGCAACACTGTGTTGTTCCCTGAGGAATACAAATTATTTTCAGGTGACGTGCTCTTGAATGGGCAGTTAAAGCCCATTAGTATTACGAAAGACCTGTGCCTAGTAGATAGAAACTTCTGGAATTCATTGATTTTGATCAATCCAGCTGCCTACAAGCTGGATATAATGTTTCGTTTTATTTATTTATTACTTTTGTATGCTGCCCCAGGGCACTCTGGGAAGTTTACAAGTAAAACACATAAGAACAATAAAAAAGCAAGCACAAAACGTTAAAAACCAAATGAGTATCACTACTGCACTATTTACCACTGCACATGGTTAAGTGCATCCCCTTTCCTCACATTGCTAATCCAGTCCTGCTTATTTGTTTTAACATACACCCAGGCCAGGCTATGGTGAAGTTCCATGGATTATAAGGCATTCTGGATAATCAAGCTTTCTGGAAAAGACCAAAACCCTGTAACAGGAGAGGCCAACTTATGGGGCGCTTCATGTTTTTATGTACAACTCACGTCAGCCTTAACTAGCACAGACGATGGTGAGGGATGATGGGAGCCATAGGCCAGTTCATAGGGTCAAACCATCTGTAGAGGTATGGGTTGCCCACTCCTGCCTTGATTGAGTATGCCATAAAGTGTTGTGATTGGTAAATATTGGGAATAATATCATCCACAGTATTGTGAATATGTTTTTAATAAGTCTAGTTGGAGGTATTTAGAACAGAAAATAACTGAAACAACAACTGTGTTTTCTACTGGGTTATGTCAAACCCTGTCCACTTTTCTCCTAGGGAGATGTTGGGATTATGGGGCCAAAGGGAGACAAGGTGAGTACCCTGTCGAGGATGGAGCTGTGAGGACTGATCCGTGGGCTTTGAGTGCTGCCTCATATCTGAGGAGTTCCAAGACAAACTTATCACAATGATGCAGTGAAAATACATTCCTACTGGTAGACTGACTTCTGCGAACAAAATGTTTCCATATGATCCATATTAGCCTGGCTTTGGGAAAGAGGACATGATGGCATTCTTTGGAGGCCCCCTCATGCTGCATCCAGATGTCTCCAGATGTTCTGATTATAGAGGGTTTTATTGAGTCTGTACTGGGGATGGCTGTAGCTCAGTGGTAAAGTACATGCTTTGCAAGCAGAAAGTGCAAGTTTCAATCATAATTGTCTTCCAGTTATGAGGCAAGCTCCAGTGCTTATTTATTATTTTACTTATTTATTTATTAAAACATGCTTATGCCGCCCCATTCGCCGAAGCCTCGGGGCGGCTCACAACATTAAATTAAAATACAAACGTTAAGTTATAACATTAAGTTAAAATGTTTGTAAGATGCAAACATTAAAATATAAAAAATAACAATATAAAATAAGTCGCCCTGGCCAGATAAAATCCTATAATATTAACAGTTAAAATGATGCTTAAATAAAAAGGTCTTCGCCTGGCGCCGAAAAACAAATAACGACGGCGCCAGGCGGACCTCTCTGGGGAGCACATTCCATAGATTAGGTGCCACCGCAGAGAAAGCCCTCCTCCGATTACCCACCCTCCTGATTTCTTTCACGGAGGGTTCCCGGAGAAGGGCCTCTCCCGCAGATCTCAAGGGGCGGGCGGGCATATATGGATGTAAGCGCTCCTTCAGGTAACCAGGACCCAAGCCATTTAGGGCTTTATAGGTCATCACCAACACCTTGAATTGGGCCCAGACTTCAATGGGAAGCCAGTGAAGCTGACGGAGAACTGGAGTCATGTGAACATAATGCCCAGTCCCCGGCAGCAGCCTGGCAGCTCTATTTTGAACCGGTTGAAGTATCCGGACCGTCTTCAAGGGTAGCCCCACGTAGAGCGCGTTACAGAAGTCAAGTTGGGAAGTCACCAACGCGTGTGTCACTGTCGCCAGACAGTCGTACTCCAGGTAGGGGCGCAGCTGATGGATCAGCTGAAGCTGAAAGAAAGTGCTCCTCGCCACCACTGTCACCTGAGCTTCCAGTGAAAGCTCTGGGTCAAGGAGCACTCCCAAGCTATGGACCTTGTCCCTAAGAGGGAGTGCAACCCCATTCAGGACTAGGTTCAATTCACCCTCTCCAAAGCCCGATCCGCCAACCAACAGGAACTCCGTCTTGTCTGGATTGAGCTTCAGTTTATTGGCCCTCATCCAGCCCATTACCTCGGCCAGGCACCGGTTCAGCACAGCCACTGCCTCACCTGGATTGGTGGAAAATGAGAGGTAGAGCTGGGTATCATCAGCGTACTGATGATTCCGCAGCCCACACCTCCTGATGACCTCTCCCAGCGGTTTCATGTAGATGTTGAACAGCAAAGGGGACAAAATGGACCCCTGCGGTACTCCATGGCATAACTGCCATGGTGCAGAGCCATAGTCCCCCAGCACCACCTTCTGGAACCAGCCATTGAGATAGGAGCGGAACCACTGCAAAGCAGTGCCTCTGACCCCCAGTCCCTCAAGCCTATCCAGAAGGATACCATGGTCGATGGTATCGAAAGCCGCTGAGAGGTCCAGGAGAACCAACAGGGACCACTCCCCCTGTCCTTCTCCCTGCACAGGTCATTGTACAGGGCGACCAAGACAGACTCAGTACTGTACCCGGGTCTGAAGCCGGACTGAAATGGGTCCAGATAATGCTTTCCTCTTTCGTGTGTTGATTTTTGCACCATTATCATGAAGTATGGAATGTGCTCAGCAGAAAATGGTTGTTTTCTCTCAAGGCCACAGGAATGTAGGCTGCAGCCAAATGCAACACTTTGATCTCTGATTGGCTGTCATATTACAGGGTGACACTGCCATTGTGGAGGGACCGCCTGGTGCTCGGGGGAACAAAGGGGAGCCAGTAAGTATTATGGTTTCATGAAACAACCTCTACTCTTGAAAGTGCCTCTGTAGCCTTGCTATTTGCAGCTGTGCCCCTTGCAAACAGCTCTCCTTGCACATACTTTCTGATGTTCAGTCTAGTCTCACTGTCTTAACATTAGAATTTCCTTTCTGGAGACACTGAGAGTAAAAAAGATTCATCTATCTATCTATCTATCTATCTATCTATCTATCTATCTATCTATCTATTAGATTTCTAACCCATTCCATTAGCCACACAGGTCCCTGGACAAGTTACAGCAATAAAACCATGTATTATAATATGAAAACACAAATCAGAAATACAATAAAACATTAAAATAATAAAACAATAAATTAATAAAAACATGCCCACTTAATAGAACTAGTAATTTCATAAAATGCCAATAATAAGTTATCAATTAAAATACCATCAAAATAAAAAGGTCTTTTCCTGGCACCAAAAGAGTATAAAGAGGGTGCCAGGCAAACCTCTCTGGGAGTGCATTCCAGTATTCAGACAGTTCCTTCTGTCCCTACTCTCCAGGGAGACCGTGGCCTGAAAGGGATGGAAGGGGAGAAAGGTGACAAAGGAGACCAGGGCATCCTTGGAGAGAAGGTAAGAGCAAGTGCCTTGCTAGGCCTGATGGGAGGGGACGGGGGTCGGGATCGGGTTGCATGCCGGCATCGGAAGGCAGTGAGCAGAACCGGCAGAGGCTCACAGCTGTGTTTGGCTCCGCAAAGACAGGCCTAGGTGCCAGCTCAGAATAAGTGCTTGTAAAACATGTTCCCGGATGTGTGCAGCTCAGACATCAAGAATCCCAAGGGAGAGCAGTAAAATAGATTGAAACAGATGAGGCCTAGTCTGCATTCTGCCTATGTAGAACGGATGGGGGCAGGAATCATTTCTGCAATAAGTATCAGAAGGGGTCATTGCTTCCAATGAAACTAGCAGCTAGTATTCTTATCTTCGAAGAGGACTACGGAGTGCAGTGGAAAATAATGTGAATGTGGCAAGAGCACAGTTGCTATTACTGTAGCTATTTTAAGCTATTTCATCCAGCATTCACCTCCTAAATTCCTAGAGCAATTACTGGGATGCGACCATTCTAGCTGTCTGGGCGAAAACAGCCGATACCTTAGAACTAGGTATATTCCTGCAGTGGGAGCTGGCTGCTTTTAGCTGGCAGTGGAGGACACACTGCTCTCATTTCGGATACTGCCTTTGGCCCTCCAGCAGCAGGAGTTGTTCTTTTCTTTTTCTGGATCACTTTCATTTTCCGGTGACTACTGCTTCCAACCTACAGGGAGTGAAAGGTGAGCAAGGAGAGAAAGGATCAGCAGGCTTCCCAGGTGCACGAGGTCCAGGTGGGCAGAAGGTAAGAGGTTAATTTACAATTTATGGCAATATGCTCAACGACTGGTTCATGTACCCATTCCTGCTGGTTCATCGGGTTTGCCTATGGGAGCCTATTTTGGTATGCATGTGTAATGATATACACACTACTGGAGATTTTCTTTGCTGCCATTTCAAACCAGATCCACTCCTTTCACCTCCAAGATCTTATCTTCTTTTCAGGTATCAGCACTTTGAAACTTTTAATTAGCAAGAATGATGCCATCTTGGAGTTCCTCGCACCTGCGAGACACCTAAAAATGGCAGGCAGAAGATTACTCCATCCATCCTCTTTTTAATGTTTTCATACTTTTGAGAGATACTGAGAATATCTGAGAAACCTTTACCTTTGAAGCCAAAATGGTCCACTCTTCCCTTTTAGAATTTGGTATTTCTTGTATGGGTAAAGTTTTGAGCTAACCTCATGTGTGGCTTGGTTTTTGATATTCCTGTCTTTGTCTTTGCCCAGGGAGAAGTTGGTGAGTCAGGAGAGCCAGGAGAGCCAGTAAGGACTTGTCATTCTCTGCTTTTTCCATCCTTACTTGTGGAGGATAAAGCTGGAGAGTCACATTGTCTTGTCTTCATCTTTAACCCTCCAGGGTCTACCTGGGAAGGATGGTATTCCGGGAATGAGAGGAGAGAAAGGAGACCTGGGACCTCTTGGAATGCGAGGACCAAAGGTGTGGCATGGCAGGATTTTATTTTTTTTCTCTGCCCCTCCTCGGATTGTGCGAGATCATCTGCAGACTGGGATGTGTCCAAGCCCTGTCATAAAGCTGAGAATGCTGAACCCACTGGCTGGAATATTTTAAGATGTTTTGGAGTAGGGAAGACAGGGAAATCTGCAATGGATTCAAATGACTTTGGATTTCCTTGAATCTGACCTGCAGATTGTATAAAAGACTCATTTTTTTCAAGTTGCACAGATTCTGCAAATGTGTAGAAACTGGATGTTGTTGGTTTTTTAAAAACTTTTCAAGATGTTACACAAATTTAATGATAAAGAAATTTTTAAAAATGCATCTGTGAATATACATTTTTCTCCAATAGGCTAAAGTTTAAATATGCATTTTGGAGGGATTTGGGGGTATAAATGTGTGCAAATGCAAGATGAATGGAGAAAAAATCCAATTTTGCCAGTGAGTGAATGATAGAACACAAGGCCTTTGATGGTCTGCAAAATGCAGATAGACCAATTTTAACAAAATGCACATTTCCTTACTTCTGTTCTATCAAAGATCTATTGACTGGGGGTGGAGGGGGGAGCTGAAATCAGTGGGTTGAAGTTGTTTGTTGTTTGATGAAGCTTTCCCCTGCCTTAAGGTTCTGTGTATTGTCTAGAATATGTTTAACTTACCCTAACCCTAACCCTAACCCTAACCTTGAGGAATTGTCTGCTCTTCAGCCTAGCTGATTTCACAGGATTATTTCACTAATATATACTTCATTATATACTAAGCATCACAAAATACAGCCTCCCTTCCCTTAAACTATCTTTCTCTCTCTCTCTTTGTTTCTTTCTTCTTATGATGCATTTGTATGTTTTGCATGTTTATATGTATGTGTTCATATGTTTCTTTCTAATCCTGTGGTTGTGTTTTCTTTCTTATGTTCTTGCAACAATTTCTTCCATGAATCTGAAATAACTATATAAAAGAATTACAAAGCACCTTGCCCATCAAAAGTACAAATGAAGATTAATTTATGTTACTTTTTTAAACTTCCTCTTGCAGGGAGACCGAGGAATGAAAGGTGCCTGTGGCCAGGATGGAGATAAGGGGGAGAAGGTGAGTTCCCCTGTTTCTCTTGGAGACCCTTTGCTTTATGAGAGTTGGTGGTTCTCCCACTTGCCTGAAGGGATTTCATGGAAAAGAGGACAGGGGATGCACTAGAACTGTTAAGGAAATGAAGCAAGCTATTTCCTTGGAAAGGATGGCAGGAAATTGCTGCATAGGAGGAAGTGTTTAGCAGAGATATGGGAGAGAATCCAGATGACAGCCACAGCCTTGTGTTGCCCGGTGGATGTTCAAGATGCCCCCTGCCATGCATCCTCTGAAGAATTATTTGAAGAAGGAAGAGCTGGAGGACCAGGAAGCACCACTGGCAATGCCTGTGGAGGACGAGGACTGTGCCCCAGAGGTGGCGGCAGAAACCTCCAAGTGCTTGGGACAGATGTTGCCTGCAAGCCAGGGCTCAGGAGTGCTAGACTGAGCCAGAAGCCTCCCTCTGAGGAAGGATCTACTCTCATGTAGGAAGCTTGCTTACCAGGAGGACTTTTTCAGTTTCGGTCACTAACATTTTAAACTGCCCAGAGAGCTTTGGCTGCGGGGTGTTATAAAAATGAAATAAATAACAGCAACAACAACAACAACAACAACTCACAGCTGAGGTTTCAGTGTGGCTCCGGTAGCCTCTGCATAAAAACAGACATGCAAGACTGAGAGAACAGTTGAAAACAAACTGATCGTGCTTTATTGAATCCAGCTTCCCGTCAAGGGAACTTTGACCCTCCTCTTGCCTGCTCTTTTTTGCTGTGTTGCCCGGGGACCTTGTTGCCTGGCACGTGAACTGGCCTTTGACCTTCGACCTGCCCGCCCTTGGTCTGCTGTGTTGCCTTGGAGCCTGGTTGCCTGTGACCTGCGTTGTCGAGACCTTGCGCTCGCTTGTTCCCTGCCTGTGCTGGCCATCTGGGAGCCTTTGAACTGACAATCGCTCAGCTCAGACTCCGGAAATGTGGCTCCCTGCTGGCAGCAGCACGGTGAGGGCTGAAGGGGTTCTGAACTTCCTGGGTGGCAGACGCCCCTCCCTTTCACTGCCCCAGTGCACATGTTCCCAGCTAACTCTCTTCTCTGCTTCTTCCTCTCCTGCTCTCCCCACTCAGTGCTCACTCTCTGCCCAATAACTCTCTGCCATCCCTTGCCAGGCAGGTTTCCCCTTGAACTTTTAAGAGAGTTCAGGCACATGGCAGAGCAAGGCTGCGCTTGCACCCAGCCTGGAGGTTTCCCCAGTGTGCCTCTGGGCCTGGGGGGCCATCTGGGAAAGTGCAGAAGCTGCGCTTGAGTGCAACTTCTTCTGAGGCATGATGGAGCCGTTCTAAAAGTGGCAAGTAGGTTAAACATAGAAAGGGAAGATGACTCTGCCTAGGGGAAGTGGAAAGGGGAGTTGAAATAGTGGGGGGTGGTGGTGGTGCAGAGAAATTGACATCCCTGGGAAGGCCCAGGGGGCATTTTGGTCCTCTGAGCTGCAGAGCCTCCAGAGTTCTGCTCGGTCTGGCCTTAGCAGCATGGCTCTCTGCTGAGATTCGGTTAGCACTGAATAATTTTTGCATCCAATATATGGATACACCGGAGCGGGGGGGACAGGGGCAACCCAGGCAGCAACATGAGGGAAGATCACTTGCATCCTTGTTTGCCAGATATATATGCTTGGGAATTTGCTAATGATTGCCGCTTGGCAACATGTGTACGCCCAGAAAAATAGTGTGCATGTTTGAAGCACCTGCGGCTGGTGCTCACATGTTTAAACCAGCATGTTCAAGTGCTCACCTGAGGACTGCTCTCCTGAGAAGAAGGAATGCCGGGAAGCTGTGGCTGCTTTGCACAGCATTTCTGGCTCATCATGGTTTCTTTAATCCATCATCAACTGCAGCATCTGCTGGTTGTGTGTGGCTGTCCAGTCAGGCCCTCTGGGAGCAGAGGGAGCTGTGTTATCAAGCCGGTCATCATGGGTTGTTCGGGGGCTAAACAGCTCTCAGTTAATCCCTACTGCAGATTGTGGGTGATTTGCCCTTCCACCCTCATTCTGCCAGTCATGTCCTGTGAACCAGTTATTGAATGTCTGCTGTCAGGATGTTCCACGAGGAAAGGGGATGGCTGGCTGCTCTGAGAGGGGAAGAGCAGAAACCCAGGCTTATCAGGACAGGGGATTTCCTGGTGTGCTGCTAAGAAGGGAACTGAGCCAGACACAAGATTTCCCTATTCAAGGGAAGGAGCCGAATATGTTCCAAAGCACCAGATGTTCCCTGAATGTTATTCTGTGCAGTCAGACATAGTGGTTCCAACCCTGAAGAACTTGGAAAGTCTATGATTTGACAAACCTCTTGGAGGGGAGCAGCCCCAGCTACCAAGCTGGAGCTTAGGTTTTCCATGTTTTTTTCCTCTAATGAATCTCTTCCTGTATGTTCCAGGGAGAGCCAGGTGTGCCGGGCCGAATGGGACTTGCTGGAAGGAAGGGTGACCCTGTAAGTGTTTCTGGCATATACCAGTGAGGAAATGCAGTCAGGCCTATGTTTGCGCAGGTCAACTGACTTTCTTCTTCACATTCCCAGGGAGACGTGGGCATGCCTGGAAGCCCAGGAATCCCTGGGAAAGAAGGCCTCATAGGACCCAAGGTATGGACTAAAGAACTCTTACACCGCAGCAAAGGGAGAGTTAGGGCTATGGTTGCATGAGAGGGAAAAGTTTGGCGACAACTGTGACACAGTTGCGGCATTTCCGTGCGTAGGCTGAACAAAAGGCTGTATTCAGTTTCCTATGCTGAGGGTGTCCCCAGTCTGTGAGTGCCCTGGCACCCACAGGCACCGACACTGACATACGGGAAGGGCTCCCCAACAGAGTCTACACGCACCCCCAAATATTCAATTTTAATGCACATACGTAGATTTCTATGAAGTGCATAAACTTTCTAGCAGTTCTATATAGGCTTCACCAAAGGTAGACCAAGTAAGTATCCATTTGATACTTTTGATATCCATATGCCACTTGTTCAGATATTGAAAATGTTGTAAGATACATTGCATTATGGGTGGTGCAAGTGTATCCTTCCAATGTTTTAATATCATTTTTATTTGTCAAAAGGGCACAGAGAATCCATTTCCACTGACCACTTGTTAATATTCAAGAAGCTGGTAAATAATTTAAAAGAACATGCCCATTAATATTAGACTGTGCCAGTACCAAATTGGCGTATTAGTAAGAATTCTGTCCCACCTTTTCACCTTATTATCTGTCTGTGTAATAATGACCACCCAAGAAGTTATTAGTGGTCACTGCCAAAGGATGCTTAAAAGAACCATCACTGTATTCCATCACTGGCAATTTGCCAAATTAGAGAGCCCTTAAAGAGACATTTTGGTTTCAATGGACAAGAAAAAAAATTAGCTGAATGAGGTGCAGCCTAACATCCATGGACACAATAATTAAATGCCAAAGCAGCAGTCCACTGAGGAAGCGCTTTGCACTAGTGTCTGCAGCAGTTTCTGAACTTACCAAAGATCCCCATGGAGCCAAATGATCACCGGATGAGTAACTGGAATTCATCAGTGTTGCTTCCAGGTATACCAGAGGTATACTGAGACACCTTCAGTAGACTGTATAGTATATAGTATAGTATATAAATCAGTGTGAAGGGACCTTGTTGACAAGCGTAGCAGATGCGTCTTCTTTTCCTGCTGCTTTTCTGCTCTAAGGCAGTTTTCTTTGGATTAAGAGAGGTGTTGCTCTATTGTTTAGAGATGACGATCCAATGCAATGGACTACTTGACTGTGATTCTGCTGAATGGCAGGTAGAATGGGAAATCATGTTTCTGGTTTACATTTCTGGCTTTTGGAAGACATAAGGTGTGCCCTCTCTGTTCAACATGGGATGATGAGAGTTTGAGCAAGCAAACAGGCAGGCAATTTCTTGATCCAGACCTTGGATATATAAGCCAATCTAGAAAGCCCACTTATATATGTAACACATTTCCTTTGTTCCCAGGGCGACAGGGGATTTGATGGCCAGCAAGGCTCCAAAGGAGACCAGGGAGAAAAGGGAGACAGGGTGAGTTATGCTGTTCACTGTCTGCTTCAGCAGGAGTCAGGCTGCACCTGTGCTGGAGAAAACATGATAGCTTCCCCATGTGGCCCTTTTCCGAGTGCTGGGATACACTGTGATGTAGTCCTGTCTGTCAATGCACTTCCTCTTTCCACGTTGGACAATTTTGGGAACGATGGCTGAGGAAGCTCCTAACTGCTACGTAAAGTTAATAGCCTTTGGTTGTCCTGTTGGGGCCCAAGCACAGCCTTGCCCAGCTAATTAGAGCTGTGTTCGGTCCAACACAAAAACACAGAGACTGCCTTGAAGAAAAAACCTACAATACCCGGGACAGCAAAGCTTCCCCCATGTCCAAGCAAGCTTCACTCCCCACTACACATCTGCCTCCTCCTTCGTAGTCTCTCTGCATCACACACATGGACTCTGTGCCTCTTCTTCCGTTTGCCACACTCCTCACCATCGTATGGCCTCCACTTCCATAAGGAAACAGTGTCTGAAGATAATGGACTATTCAAATCCAGACCATGGTATGAAGCTGAATCATAGTGAATTTGACCTATCCAGGAAGCAGAAGTGGGCATGGTTTAAAAAGTTGTATTTGAATACATTTTAATAAATGATCTAAAATCATTTTTCAGACAGGTTGCAGTCTGTTTCATTTCTAATCAATGAAACAGAAACTCATTTAGGAAGAGATGTAGTTACTTTCAGAAAATTATTATGAATATTATCAAATTTTCCACCTCAACCTAGCACCGTATTTTGATATTATAAGGTATCTGTATCAATATTTTGGCCCTGGACACTTTGATAACTGGTGCTACTTTATTTCCATTTTCATTCCTCCAGATATTTAAATCTTTCTGATGATATTTCTCTTTTAGGTATCTAGATGCAAACAACTGAGGCTTCCTTAGTTTCTGGAGAAAACTATACTAAAATATTTACATTATAAACTTTAATGTACTGTTAAGTATCCAGCTATGGTTAGGGCATTACAGATGTTATAAAGACCTCTTCATTCATGTAATGAATATACTGCTTCTCCTGCAAATATTGCCCAGGTGTTTTAGTAGACATATCAGTGTACCACTTTAATGGCAGAAAGTCAGGAGGAACTTAAGAGCCTCTTGATGCAGGTGAAGGAGGAGAGCACAAAAGTTGACTTGAAACTCAGCATCAAGAAAACTAAGATCATGGTGTCCGGTCCTCTCATTTCCAGGCAAATAGATGGGGAAGAAATGGAGGTAGTGACAGATTTTATAGTCCTCAGCTCCAAGATCACTGCAGATGGGGACTGCAGCCAAGAAATTAAAAGACGCTTGCTCCTAGACCGCCTACTAATAAGCAGAGACATGTGCTATCAGCAAAAGTTCATATAGTCAAGGCTATGTTTTTCCCGGTTGCAATGTATGGCTGTGAAAGTTGTGTAAATGTGCCTTTGGATCCAAAAGGGTTGGAGCCCCTGGCCTACTAGAAATCCAGGATGAGTAACTGGATTTCATCATTGTGAAATGAAAGTGAAGCAGGGTCAGAAGGCAGTCTCACCCGTGTCAGAGGACACCCTGAACTGATGTGCCTTTGATATCTCTCATGAAAGAGAAATTGCCACTACAAGAACATTTCCCAAAGTTTAGTCTGCAATAGTAAATCAAAAAACATTTGAAAGGCCTACAAAAGCTATAATAATCAGTCTACAAATTATATTTGCTTAAGATGTGTCAGTATATATAGATATTATCTAACGTGGCTTTGCCAGTTTGAAATGGTCCTCCTGCTCTGAAAAGGCAAGTACAATTTGTAGAGCCTGGTCCTCCAGTTGTAGCAGGAGATATTTTGCATAAAGTTTAGAAAGATGACTGATGGTTAATGGGCTATAATTGCCTGTGTTAAATCCTTTTCCCCCAGCTTTAAATAACAGGGAATGACCCGAACAGCTTCTTGTCCAGTGGGAAGAACGTTGCTCTAAACAAGCACACTAAACTCCTGCTCAGCAAGTTGATGAAACAGTTGGGCTAGAAGAAATTCCTGTTCTTGCCCTCCAGGCCAGCATAGCAGAATATTGAGCCTGTTCAAAAGCAAGGCAGATGGTTCAGCTCGCAGCTGAAAGCACTGCGTCAGGATTGCTCCTAATGCTTCTCTCTCTTCCTTAGGGTGCTCCAGGCATCATTGGTTCTCCAGGGCCCAGGGGCAGTGATGGCCCCCCTGGCCCCCCTGGGCCCCCTGGCAACATTGGTCCCAAAGGCCCAGAAGGGATTCAGGGGCAGAAGGTAAGGACCCATCTTCTGGCTGATCAGACATCTTGTGCATGGTTGCCTGGGAGACGATTTTGTCCCCGGTTGCATCTTGCAAAGCTGCTTACAGGTCGCAAAAGAGAGACAGTGCGCAGTGGACTAGACCAGATTTTCTTTTCCCCGTTTCTTCCTATTCTGGACGGAGGCACAGGGCAGCCAGCTCTCAAGACCTGTTGTGGGTTGTCCCCCCAGCCCAGCTACTTGCAGTGGGAGAGCCTTGGGCGTAGGCTGGGGTGTGCCGCTCGTGCCTTCCAGATATTCTGAACTGTAACTCTCATAAAGCCTCCCACTGGCCATGCGTGAAGGGCTGATGAGCGTTATGTCCCAGGCAGCTGGGGAGAACCAGGTTGTCTCCCTCTGCTCTGGGCCAAAGTCTGTCCCAGGCACTTCTTCATCGTGGCTTTAGTGACATTACCCTTGAACCCTGTCTGTGTTTCCTCAGTAAGGAAACAGATCCCCAACTTCCACTGTTGGCATAGCTCTTTGGCTGTCCTTTGTATTTCTTTGAAAAGAGCTAGATAAGCACTCCCAAGCTTGACTGGTACAACAGGGGTGGTTTGATTTGGAAAGAAATAAATGAAATGAAAGGTTATGATGTCACGGGACAGAGGAGCATGTTGTGCTTCGTTGCTGATATCACAGGCATTATCCAGTGAGCATTTGATGTGTCTCTAGGAGCACCAAAGCACCTGAGGGACTAATAGATATATTATGAGATACCTGAGAGATATCTATAATATATCTAATATAATAGATATATTATGGCGTAAGCTTTTGTGGACCAGAGTCCTCTTCCTCCAGTTTTCCATCTTGGCAAGACTGTTCTGCTGCATTCGATTTCCTGTTGCAGGGTGAAAGAGGACCCCCGGGGGAGTCAGTTGTAGGTGCCCGAGGAGCCCCAGGTGTGCCAGGAGAAAGAGGAGAACAGGTTTGTAAGAAGGTCCTAAATATCTTCTGTGTAGCTTAGCTGCAGGGGTGCTTTGCTTGCCTTGGCGTTAAGTAGGGATGTGTAAACAGCGCCAGTTCTGATTTAGCATTTGGTCTGGTTTACCAGATTATTCTCCTAAACGTGCCATCCTGTTTGTCACTGTGGAGTTTGATCTATTGAACCAAGTTGCCCAAGGACTTTGCCGCTGAAGTTAGAAGATTCCATTTGAAAGGAAGCTTGTTGCCACTTCCCGTTTTCTTTTTAAAGAAATGGTTTCGCTACTTTGTTGCATGTCTCAATTTCTACATGAAAGGCCACTCCTAAATGCTTGGATAATAGGTAAATATTTGAAGATCAAGTCTGTCTCCAAGTCAAACGCTGGCTCTGTGTGATGGCAGCAGCATTGCAATTAGTGGTATCCCAGTGTCAGCATTTCTAAGGAATCCTGGGGGGCAGAGGTTGTGGGGAGAGTGGTGCCACAGACTGCGCAAGACAGAGCTGGACAGATGCAAACGAAGGCACAAAGCAAACGAGGAGCCTTGTGGCAGCTTAAAGGTGAAACAATGTCTTACAGCATGACTGACAGCCTCCCTCTTCAGATGCAGGTTCTGTAGGGGTGTGGAGAGGCAATGGGGGCAAAAGAGAAGGAGGCTGGAGCTGGGGAATCTTCTACACAGAAGTAGTGCAAAAGAGAAGACATTCGGAGCAAGGTGGGGGGATGATGGGATGTGTGGCTGTCAGCCACATGACATTCAGCATGAGACTCTCAGCCAGAAGTGCTTATCAGCAAGCAGTGCCTTCTCTGGGTTTATGACATAGGTGTCCCTAAACGCAGGTGTATTTCTCAGCGCACAGTCCTCCTGGTTGAGTGAACAACTTTCTGACCTTTTGACAGGGAAACCCAGGACTTGATGGCCCCAGAGGAGAGAAAGGAGTGCCTGGCATGACGGTGAGGAGGAGGGGAGACGTTTCAGGCTTCTGGTGTGAAATTCTGAATCAAATCCATGGTTTGGGTGGGGCTTAGCATGTGTTCGTGTGTGTGCGCGCGTGCGCGCAGGCGCACCAAAGATGACCAATGCCATCATTCTTCTTCCTCTGGGCAAGGAATCATTAGGGTTGGTCCAGCACTCTTGTCCTGCATGCTGCAGGATATTCTCTCCTTTCCCGTCTGATTGTACCCTTGCACTGGGATGTCCGGATGCGGGAGGTTTTGCTGCTTTCTCCCTGAGTATGCCTTGCATGGAAGAGTCGCAGCAGGGACATGGAGCTGAGCAAACTTTGCATTGTCCCTTGTACAGGAAGAAGAGCTCAGGCAGTTTGTCAGGCAGGAGATGAGCCAGCACTGCGGTAAGGCCCCCCGCACTCCCTAACCTCTGATCCCCGGTACCTCTGTCCTATGTTTTGCCCTGGGGTAACCTTCCCCAGTCGCATGCCCTTCAGATGTCTTGGGCAGCACTCCCATCATCCCCAGCCAGCACGGCCACGCAGGGAATTCTATTGGCAGATGGGAGATCTGCTCGTAGGTCCTCCGTCTAACTTCCAGCTGGGTCTTCAGCATGTGAGGGCAGAGACTCCAAGTGTGGGTACCTTGAGGAATTAATCACCTCCTTGCTTGTTTTTCAGCTTGTGGGGGACAGTTGCCACTTCCTGAGCGGCGTGAGTATTGTGGATGTTGTTAGCTGCCTTCCTTTCTCTAGCAGCATCTGTAGTAGTGGCCAGTGGTAATGAGTAACACCCAGCACATCGCTGGCACTTGCGTAGTGTTTGTGCTCCCAAATATGCAGCATTGCTGAGAGTTGCCAGGACATTCAGAGCTGATCTTTGGATGAAGTAGATAACCAGTACACTGAAAGCTGATCGATTCCTGTTCAGTAACTAATGAATTCATGGGAACCAAGGCATATTACTTTCTAGTTTGTTTGGTTTTAATATTAGTTATTTAGAATATAGCCCTGTCCTGTCAGATTTACATTCAGAGATATTTTTTAAATTCTCATTTTTTAATAAACCATCTCATTCAGCCTCACAAACAACCTTATGAAGTAGGCAGGACAAGTCATTTTGTAAACAGGGAACAGAAAGCGGATGCGAATGTCTCAAGGACAAAATAGATCTTTGGCAGAGAGCCACCGAATAGGGTCTCCACTAAATATCTAGAAAGCCATAGAGAGAGAGAGAGTCATCATTCGGAGGAGAGGGAGAAGTAGTTGCCTGGCTGGTGCCAAGATAGGCACGACTGCCCACCTACCAGGGGTTTCCGTCCCAGCAGAGGCCCACTCCCAAGGTGTCCCTGGAGCTGTGCCTCCTCTTCACCATGACAGCCTCTGGTTGCTCAGCTGCCTCCTGCTCTGGCTGAAGCAACTGTGGTGAGGAGGAGGAGGAGGAGGAGGAGATGCCCATGCCAACTTGCTCACTGGCTCTCTGCCTGTCAAGCAGGCAAGCGGTGGCAATGGAGAGGGAGGAAGAGGAGCCGGAGCCGCTGGGGAGGGTGGTGTTGAGGCAGGGGACCGACGGAGGACATCTTGCCTGAAGGACCTTCAAATGCTTGGAGCCAGCACTGGCACTGGGCAGGGGAGGCACTTGACCCGTGCTCTGCCAGCCACGCTCCCCCACTCCACCTCCAGCTGTGGCAAACACTGCACGGCAGAGGAGAGTGGCTAGAGACAGGCACCCAGGGAGCAGTGGCACTCTCCTGCACCCACGGCCTCTCTCCCCCAGGGCCTCCATCTCCCCATCAGCTCTTGGCAGTCACTCGTGTTCCCAGACAGAGTCTGCCACAGGATGTGCCGTTTCAGCCCCTGCAAGGCCACGGCTAAGCTGGGGCGCAGTCCCTCCTTTCCTAGTTGAAATGCAAGACGCCTGTCCATTGGATCAAAGATTGTCACACTTCAGAAATCCGTGGATATGTCATTCACTGCTATTGGTTTCTTCCCAGAGGAGAAGCGAGCGAGTGCGTGAGTGGTGGGGCAGGATGTGGGGAGGTGGGTGCAAGGAGGACGAGGAGACTTTTCAGAGGCACTCAGCATTGCACAGCGGATCAGGAAGGCAGGGGCATCCCACGTACCCAGAAAATACATGTTGCTTGGAAGTAAAACAGGTTTCTAAAAGTTAACTCCAGATAGCAGGAGGCCTTAATCGCCCAGCTGTGTGGGGGTGGGGGGTGGGCAGCACTGTGGTCAGAACTGGACTGCCAAAGGTATAGGAAGGATTCACAGAGCTTCTTGGTGTTGATGCTCACCTTTATGTTTGAGCAAGAAGTCAACCTTCATCAAAATGCTGCGTAGCTGGGAGCTTCAGGTGCTGTACTTACTTGTTTCCCTGGCATCGACTTTCTGTGGCGTATGAGTAGAAGCTTTCCATGCTTTGTTGAGTATTGCTGAAGTACTGATCCACCCAAACAAGCCAACATTGAAGAGCACTCTTTGTGGCCCACAAATAGTATAACATTTGTCCATGCTTTGGAGGAGCTTTCCAGGAGTTCCTCTGCCACTGGGGTGGGAACATCCGGCTGAAACAAAAATTGCATTGGCCTGGGAGGATGTAGAGAAATGGCGCTTCATCCTTCCTCATTCCAACTGATCCGTTACAGAAACATCATTTGGAAATGCCTTTTGCCTGTCATATTTCATGCCTGATGTTTGTGGAACTGGGCAGCAAGAATGTGGCTCTTGAGCCTTGGCTGGTGGCCTGCCTGTGTGTCTTGCCTGCTGGTGAGAAGCAAGCAGCGCGCTAGTTATTATGTGCCTGTTGATGTCTGCATTGTGACCTTGCCCCTCCCAGGTGTCCTCTCCAACTATCCATCCACCCAACCGTTCCAGTCTGTTAATGCTCAAATAGTCCCTGTGCTTAAATTGTCTCATGCTGAAGAAGAGGAAGGTGAGTCTTGTCTCTTGGCATTTCTTGTGCATGGCATCTTCTCTCTTAGCAGTGCATAGAATTTCTACCCATCTCTGCCAATCTCCTGTGTATTTTCACTTCTTGTTACACGAGCCGTAAGGAATATGCAAGCTGTCGAAGAAGCAGTATTCGGCAGTAAACTTGCTTTCTTGAATGCAGGACAGTTTTTTGCCAATGTCTAATGTATGGTGAGTTTAATGAAAAAGGCAGATATTTTGGCCCCCCGGGCAACGTGCAGCTATTTCTCTCACCCCACCTCATACTACCCTGTGGTTCCTGAACGGCATGAAATGGGGCAAGCCTCTAACTGCTCCAGTGTCCTTTTTGGCTGTGTATACACCTGAGTTAATGAATGGATTGCTTCAGCACCCTGTTTCAACGCACTTGGGGAAGTCCTGTGACTTAAAACAGCATGTGGCTGCAGCCTGGACTGGTCAGTGCTTTCTCCTTTGCCAAGCCTTGCCCGGCCACTCGTTCTCCTGCCTGCCTGGGGGTCGCTTGGCGCTTCTGCATCACTGAGCATGCCAGGTGATTGCCCACCCTGCTCCCCTTAAGAATCAGCTCTGTACTAAAAAATAATGAGGGGTCTTGTGGGTGCCATCGGGACTAACAAATGTGCTACGGGATATAATTTGGAGACCAAAGTCATCTTCAGCAAATGCATGCCTCTTCTTACTTATGTATCTACCAGCTTGTGAGGAATTAGCTGCAGATCTCTGAACAAGCAGGCTCAGGAGAACAAAAATCTAAGTTGCAATAATTTGTTAATGACCAACAAGTTATGAGTTCAAGACGAACCGTCCATAAGACCCTTTGCTCCTTGTGTTACAACAAGTAACATACTCCTGGAAATAAGGAAATTACATTCGTGGCATTTCCAGACGAGGCCCAAATGCAGGCCACCTCTCACATGAGCAGCACGAGAAATGATGCGTAGTGAGTGCACGACTGCTGCTTGTCAGGCATGCTGGGTGCCCTTTCCGGGGACGCTGAGATCCGACCCCTGTGCTGTGGTGCTTGTCCTAAGGCACAGACTGGCAAATGGTTATGGAGCAACAGGAACTTCTAGCTTTGCGTATCAGATGAGGCCAGTGTGCCAGCGTCAGCATCCTCTAACTAAAAGTGGCCCTGTAATCTGCCACATTCTCAGAAAGAAAGAGTGATCCTGCTCAGGCATGGAAATTTGTTGTTGCAGCTGCTGTTCCTTCTTTGCCACCTTCTCTTCTTGGAGTCCTTCTGAACCAGCCATTCCTGTTTTGTAGGGGGCCAAGCCCAAAACGTAGTGAACATAGCTGATCCTGAATATCAGTACATCTACACAGAGGAGGACTATGAAGAGGGCCTGGGAGCAGATGGGACAGAAAGCCCTATGCTGAGGGATGGTGAGCACCACCCGTCCACAGAGCATCTCTGAAGGCACCTGCGGCCCCCAACACGCATGCCCCAGCCGCCCCTTGGGTGTGGGTCTCACAGCCCGAATCACTGGGCTCTTCCTTGAAACCACTGGAAATTATTAACAAAAATGTGTTAGCCTGGAGACTGCTTAGAAATTTGGGCAAAGTGATCAGTTGTCTTTTCATTCGCTGCCATCACTACTGCTACATTCTTCACTGTGACCACAAGTTGGCAGACTTGCCACAGAAGTAAAAAAAAGAAAATGCCTTAGAATTGTAGAATCAGTGGCACGGCTTTTCTTCCCTTGGGGGAAAAATGGGTATCTGACAGATCTGGACGCCTATTTTAGCCATCTAATAAAAACCACACGGCTTGGATCCAGAGTTAGCCATGCTTAGGACAGACCCACTGAAATTAATATGACTGATATTAGTGAAGGTTTACAAGCTCCATTTATTTCAGCAGGTTTACTCTAAGTGTGACTAAGTCCGGATCCAGAGTCCAGTGTCTGGTGCAGCAATGAGGCAGAGACCAAAGGCAGGCAAAGTTAACTTCTGTGAAATGATAGTGGGTTGAAAGAAACCTGTTTATTCTATGTTGGAATCAATAAACTTCATTAACACTGATTATTGCTGTCCCCGGTAGCTGCAGTAAATCTTGGCCACTGTAGCTGCAAGTCTGGTAGATTTTAAAATTAGCATTAAAACTTAAATGTTAAGCTAGTCAACCAGAGTTTTCAAACAGATGAGGTGAATGTGTGATAGATGCATGACATGGACTAGGAGCTTGTGGAACTCCTTTCTCACTAAAAGTGGCCAGTCAATAGTAAGTTGTCAGCAGGAAGGGGCTTATGCTTCACTCCTATCTTTTCTTGAAAGTTTCCAGGATATTTTTTTTACTATGCAAACTGTATCCATAGAACAAAGCCCATTTTTGCAGCTTTAAAACTTGCTTCAGAAAAGGCACATGGTTGAGATAATGGCCACTGTTCACCTTTCCCTTTTGCCCATAATGCATGAGGAGCTCCCCTCTGTTCTTCACCCACCCACTCACCCTGCTGCCCCAGAAATAAATTCTAGGACTTACCGGAAGTCACATCCATACGCAAGCCATTCTGTTCCTTGTTTTCACTGGGGAGCAGTTGGGGAAAATGATGCTGGAAGCTCCTCCTAGGTCCATGACTTCTTAAACCAGTACTCTGCTCCCTGTTTGTAGAAGTAATGGTCCCAAGGGCAGCTCCCAAGCATGGATGGCAAAAGAGAGCTCCTTCTGAGGAAGGTAAGAGGCAGATCTGCCATATGGCCTTTCTCTCAAAGGGGCCGTCATTGCCTTTCCTTCCATCCTCTTGGAGTTCAGATCCCTTTGTTCCTCCTGTTTCTGAGACGATGAAGAATCAAGACAATTATCTAGTGCTTACTTCCAAGACAATCAACCTAGTGCTGTTCAGACTACAACTCACATCACCCCGACCTTTGGCCAGGGGGTTGGGGTTGATGGGTGTTGCAGTGGTTGAGGAAGTCTGATCCAGGCCAAGATGAAGAATATGAGACTTGTGAGAGGTATGCAGCCTCTCGTACTTTTCTAAGGACCCATGCTGTAACTTCTCCAATCTTTGAGTAGTATTCTTAGTAGAGCTGTCATTTGCCAATCCTTAGAATCTTTTTAGAAGAGGCATAAACCTGGTGGCCAACAGGTCTGGCTCTTGAAGGCATTTTGCTTGAAACTGTCAAGAGAGAAAAATGGCATGCATCTCTAGCCGCATTTCTCCAATGTTGCTCCTGGTGCATCGTCTTCTGTACTCTGCATGAGTGAGCAACACCCTGGGATGTCACAGAATTTACCCCCAAAAGCTACAGAGTAAGAACATGACAGCACAGTACAGAACTTGCACCTGCAACTGGCATATTTTTCTGAAGAGTGCCGGCAAGTATCAAGCACGCAAATACAACAGGGACAAGTCATTGTGTCAGCAGGAGCCATGTGGCCAACTTCTCAGAAGCTAGCCGAGTCCTTACCTTAAAATCAGTATGAATTGGATCATGATAGTCCACCGATAGTTTGGTCTGGCAGAACTGTTGTCGCTACAACTGTACACCTAGAACTAATTCCCACAGTCCCCAAACAAGCAATTCCTCCTATGAGGAACTCCACCAAGCCGACTTCTGGAGAAGAGAAGGTCATCATGGAAAACAAGACATGAGAAGCTGTTTCACACCAATAAGCAAATTCTGATGGCTACAGCTTAGGGATTGGTGGCAGGTATCAGGATTTCCAGGCTTAACTCAGAAGCTGTCAGGCACCCTCTGATGCTGACCATGCTTAATACCAGTCTTGAGGCTCAGATACTTGAATGAGAATATACGTGAGTGTAAGGCTCAGACTGGTCACCTTTAATCCTCTGTGACTCCTTTCCATCTTACTCCTGCATTATCTTACAGTGATGCCGGGGCACTAGAGAAGCTGTGCAGTGTTTTCTGTTGAGGTTCTCTCGTATGCTAAGTGTAACATATGAGAGAAGATGCGTAAGTCCTTTAGAAAAAATTCCAAGTATAGTTCTGTTCTATTTCCCCCTCCTTTCAGCTGAGCCATGCACTTTGCCTCTGGAAGAAGGAAACTGCAGCAAATACACACTGAATTGGTACTACAACCAGAGAGTATCTGAGTGTCGGCCCTTCATCTACAGTGGTTGCAGGGGAAACCTCAACCGCTTCAGCTCTAAGGAGGACTGTGAGCTCCAGTGCAAGCCACAGGCAGACACAGGTGAGAACTGGCAAAGGCCTGCCAGGCACTTCTTTCTGCTCGTAGATTCAGCATTGCAGAACCACAAGTAATGGCTGCTGCATGCAGCATGGCCACTTCTGGAGTCTCCCTCCACCTCCCGGAAGCCCTCCAAGATGTCGGGGTATGTAGGCAGTAGGCAGGAAATGGGAGACAAAACTTCCATTCCCTATGCAGTAGCTCTTGTGGTGTCATGATGCTGGATCCAGCTCCTAATTGTTAAATAATATTTTATGTTTTGGGCAGGTGGCAGCACACTGAATAAGAACAGAAATATATAAACTCTGAAGTGGGTTTCCTACTCTGGGAGAACTGGAGAACTGACCAAAAGAAGTGGCCCAGCTTTTGAGGCTCCCAACATATACTTAACCCGCACAAGGTCTTGGACGTCCACACACAGTACCTTTGGTCCAGGGCTCTCCTTGCTGCCATTTCTGCTGCCTGCAGCACCGTTTTGTGTGCGTGTGCCTGCGTGTGTGCGTGTGCCTGCGTGTGTGGGCTGCTTCGGCTGGAGCAGAAAAATGGTGCTATTCTTTACAGAAAAAGTGTTTTTGTTGCTCTTGATTTATTTTTTAAATTAAGGTGAAATTTTTATCAAATGAAAACATATGCATAACCTCTTTTATATATAATATAAAAAGACATATTTTTAATTAGAGCTCTCTTAACTTATTTGATGCTGGCTAACTGACGACACATGGAATGTATTATAGCCAGACCAAACGGATCCCCTCTGCAGCTCACTTTAGTTTGGGCTTTCAGGCCTGTGCGTTTTTCCTCTAATGGTGGATCAGCGAGATAGCAGCCTGCCTTCTCACTAGAGTATTCCTGGGAAGCTAGAATACCCTTTTGTTAATGAGCAGCACCATGACCATGAGGACGCAGGAGCCCCACGGATCATTACCAAACCTAGAGCTCTCAAGAGTCCTCTGACTTCTCAGTGAAGGCTGCCCCCATTGCTCTCTTTTCGTTGCTTGTTTTGTTGCTTGTGAAGTGAGGCTTTAGGAATGCAGCCTTTGCCAGGTCTAACGATCTCTCAAGAATGAGAACTTGTCATTTGGAAAGATCCATTAAGTTAATACTTCTCACTGTTTGCAAAGAACATAACAAAGAGGAAGACTCTTTCATATAAGCAAAGAACATAACAAAGAGGAAGACTCTTTCATATAAGCAACTCCTCTCTCTCCCTCACCCTCTCCCTCTCCCAACTTTCAGTATCCACACAGTAGCTGTCTCCCCTTAATTTTTCAACCCCAGGCCCAGGGCAGAGTGGCTTTTTGCCTGATCTTCATGCAAGGTTCTGTATAACTTAGTAGCAAAGCAAGCACAGTCCAGTCTTGCAGAAATCTCTAGAGATAATCTGGATTTCTATGAACAATTAAGCGAAATATGGGATGTGGGTGTCCAGATAGCAATGGGATGAGAGGTTCTCTTTGGCTGTTGTGACTAATAGCTATTGATAAACCTTTCCTCTGAATCTGTTTCACCCTTTCTTAAACATTGTTTCATTATTCATTATATCCCACCCTTTTCCTTCCAAGGACCTCAAAGCAGCTTACGTAACTCTGCTCCTTCAAACTTTTCCTCACAACAACAACCCTGTGAGGTGGGTTGGGCTGAGAGTGTGACTGGCCCAATGTCACCTGTTTGGTTCCATGACTGAGTGGGCACTGGAACCCGGATCTCCTGAGTCTTAGCCATTACAGCACATTGGCGGTTGTGCTTCTATGCTAGTGGCCATCGCTACCTCCACAGACAATGCATTCCGTATGTTGTGTTGTGGGAAATGTGCTTCCTTCTTCCGTTCCAATTTTGTATTGTTTGTTACTGATACTAAAAAAAAAAATGATAATAGTCTGTCATGCACCTCTTTAAGCACCATTTTTTGAAACTGAAAACAGCTAAATGCTTTAGCCTTTCCTAATAAGACTCTTCAATCTTCTCAATAATTTTGTTCTTTTCCACACCATTTCTAGTGCTAAGAAATCCCTTTTGAAAGAGAGCAAACAGAGTTCCAATGGACTTTCAAATCTGACTACACTATAAAAAGCATGATGAACTAGGCAGTTTTATTTTCTATTTTCCTAAAAATTCCTAACATCAGACTGGCTTTTTTTCACCATTGCTGCACATTGAGTCAGCTTTTTGAGTGAACTTTTCCTGGACAGCTGCAGCCATTCTATGAAAAATAAGGATTTTGCTTGCTTGTTTTCCACCCCAACATGCACTATTTTATATTTTATTTTACTTTTTTATTCTTTTGACCATTCACTCAATTTGAAGAGGTTATTCTAGAGTTCTTTACTGTCTGTTTGAGATCTTACCATACTGACTACTTTGATGTCATCAGCAAACTTGACTACCTCATGGCTCACCCCAGACTCCAGAATGCTTATGAATTACTGAAATCCAGACAGTGCCAGCGCAGATCCTTGCGGGACAGCCCTCGCTCCTCAGCTTCCATCCATGGCGGACACTGTCGAGTCATTCCTTCTTTCCATTTGCTGTGCTTCTGGCCAGTTATTGATCCAGAAGGAAGCCTGCCATCTTACCTTGTGAATGCTCGGTTCAGTTAGGAGTTTGGGGTGAGTAACATTGTTAAAGAATTCTAAAAGGTTGGTGAGGCATCCTTCTAAAAGACTATTGAAAGAGGAACCAGATCTCATTGAGGATAAGATAATATTTACCCTCCTCTGTAAATATTATTCCTCAAAAAATTCATTTGAAGAAGTTTCACCTTAATCCTGAACAGCAAGCAAGCGTCTCCAAATAGCATATTGGAGGACACTACACAAAAATCAGAGCATGTTTATTGTGTATGGATGGATTCTGTATGAAACACTAACTTTTCCATGGCCTTTTAAACCTGCTGAACCATATTATGGAAATAATCAGTGAAATGCTGAGAATGGTGCTATGCTGTTGTTATGTCGCTACCCCCAGGGCATTTTCAGAAGCTTTGCAATGATGTGTGTTTCAATTCCATTTTTCTGTTATCACACTTTCTCCAAAACTGAAGCTACATACAGACATATGGCCTGCATGTTGCTGTGGACCAATAAAAACATAAATGAGAGAAAGTGTAAATATTATCTGGTCCAATTATAATTGTTTTTTGATAAGCAGTAATTCACAACCCACCAGACTACACTGGAGTAAATAGGTTACAGTTTGCTGCCTTTGCCTTTAAACATCTTAATCTTTGTTTTAAAACACGCCTAACGGTGGTCTTGATTCCTATTCAATTTCAACAATACCTATGACTAATCTATAGAAATAGTCAAATTCAGTGGTGCCTTATAGTAAGTACAATAACTACAATATTGTACAATAACTACAATAAGTACAATAGGTACAATACCTATTTTTACAATAAGTAAAAATGGGGCTTTCCTAAACTCTTCTATGGGGTCTGCAGAGCATCATGTGTAATACCATGAAACTGTAAAGCTTCTTGCTTAGTTATGGCAAGACACATGAATCCTGAAGGATTCTGACCATCAGAATAGCCCTTCCTCACCACATGAAGAGATGCTGTGCACCTTTTGTATTTCTGTGATGTGATTGCAAATATGATTAAATGTAAAAATGTGTTTGCTTCTCTAATTTTGGATGAGCATCTCTCACACAGCAAGCTGAAACCAAGAAGTGTGGCCCGGGTAACAGTTGAGTCCTGGTATCTGCAGGCGATTTGGAACACTGTGATCTAAACTAAGATCTTCATTCTTAAATGTTCTGTCTGGGGGCTCAGTTGCCTGAATTACTCGACTTGATCTCTCTGGACCTGGTGGCTGGATAGTGCTGGATCTCGCCAGGAAGGCTTGGACTGAATAATCCTGGGTTCTTCCCAGCTCTGTGATTCTTTGAACCAACAGAAAATCACTGCCATTGATATGAAAAATCATTCCATTTCCAAAGAGAGGGAAAATAATGACATTTCAGCAAATGTTTGGGTGGTACATGATGCTAATTCAGGCATCTTTATTTTCTTGTAACTAGTGATAAGCCAGCTGCTTGATATTTAGTTTTTATTGCCTCTCCCTTTGGAGAAGACATGAAACTAGCAATAAGACCATTTTATCTTGAGATAGTAGGGCTTGAATCTGTGCCTTGCTGCATGGAAAGCATGGTCTCTACTATTGTGCTCCTGCAGCCATGTTTACTCTCCTGGAAGAACAAAGAATGCCGTAGGTCCTTAAGGGCTAACACATGTAGTGCAGCACAGAGGAATGAATAGGTCACTCAAGCTGTCAAAACGATGTGGTTCCATCCTGTATTGCCTTGACTGATAAAACTCCAAAAAGTTCAGCGTGGCCCTTGACCTTTGTCTACTTCCCACTGTGCTTGTAAAGAAAGTAAAGCATCTGGCTAAATAGCATCATCCCCCTTGATGTGTATCTGATGCTTGCTGCCATCACTGTATCATTGCCAAGATATGGAATGTAGCTATAGGTGCAAAAATACACTCGTCTGTTCTCTTTGTAAGATGGCTTTGATTATGATGTATGGTGCAAAAAATCCAAACGTTGTAAACAAATAAAAGTCTGTGGTACCTCATTCAGTCAAGTGTGTTTATTAGCTGTTTTGGTAGAACCTGCTACAATCTTCTCACCTGTCCATAAACCCACATGATATCAGCTGCCATTCCAAAGGTAGGTCTGCTGAAAAATGCTGGATGGGGAGAAAGAACCACTCCTGCGTTCCCATCCACTTGGCCAGAGCTGACATTTGCTTTCCCTCTGCCTCTTGCTAGCAGCCTCAGTTGAGAATCTGCCAACATGTATGACTTTCAGAAATAGTCAAGATGCTTGTAGCTTCACAGTACAATTGTGATCAGTGATGATGTGAATACATCAAATGGGGCAATTGTGCATTTTCTCTTCCCTGCAAGGGAGCAGGTAAGCTGCAGTGGGAGGATTTGAATCCTTGGCACAAGCCCAGCATGCCAGCCATTGCGAGCTTCACCAGCCTTGACCATGATGGCTTCGGATGCACTGTAACACTCACTTCCCAAAACTTAAATGTTACACTGAGCTGTTCTCATTCCAGGCAGCCTGTTTCAGTTAATAAATGCACTTGTGATTCTTACTTTGTATTTGCTTTGTACTCTACCACTCTGTGAAAAAATGGCACTTGAAGCAGCTGACAAAAGCAACCAATTTAAAAGAAAAAGTGCTAAACAAGGCCCAATAAAATAATTCCTCCCCATTAAAAGCATAACAATAAAGTAATTTCTTTCTCCCAGTTATGGCTCTGAAGAGCAGAGCACAGCAAGCTGTCTTTGGCATTTGTGCTGCCCCTGGTGAAGGCTGAAGGAGCCACGAATTTTGGGAAGAGACACTGAAACCTACAGCAAGGAGTGGCAGGACCTGTTCTCTCTTTACAAATTGTCATGAAGAGGCATCAACTGAACCTCCTTGAGTCTTGTGTGGAAGTATTTTGAACCAAATATTAACCCAGACTGACCAACTTAAGCAAAGAACAGCTTTGTTGGTCTCATATCTGTTCTCATCATGGCTATGGGTTAGGGTTATGTAGGCAATTTACTTCATCCCCCCTTTTGAATTGAGAAAATAGGGTGTATATCAAAATAGGTAATGATATTTTAGCTTCCTCTTAGTAATCATAATGTTACAAATGTTCAGAAGATGAATCTATGACAAAGTGACACCACACAAAGATTGCAATGAGAAAAGAAGTATTTCCATTTACCGTTTTTCATTTCTACAGGGAAGACTAACTTAAGGGAAGGCAAGATGTGTCTGCAGACATGCAGTGAGCCCTTGTGAAAAGGGCATAGGATGCTTTGAACATCTAAACATCAACAGAGTTTCTATCCACTCACTTGTACCCCATACACCTTGGAATTCTGTTTCTAAGCTGGATATCAAACTTAACTTTTCAGTGGGAGAAACAAGACTTTGAATTATGGAGAAAAGGGGTGTAGGGGGTGCTTGATGAACTCCCTAAACTTTACTCCATGCTTCTACCAGTTTTATCCAAGCCATAGTTCCACATAAGCTTTAAAAAAAAAACAGCTAAGGAGACAACACTGGAGGAAAGGGTTCGGGGTCCCTTCCAAACATCTTGTAATTCATGCACTAAACATCAGTGGAACTGAGTAGCCCAAGAGCACTAAGGGTGCCAGTCTGGTCTTCTGGGGTTCTAAATGGCCATACCCCCTTTCCCTAAATAACTGGGTTTGTTTTGCTTTTGTGCAGTTTGACACAATTCTAAAAGGCTGAAATGTCACTCCTCAGGCTTAAATAAGAACTTTACATTAAACTGTGGTATTTTGGACCTTTTGTTGTTTGACGCATCTGCTACTGGAACATGCCTCCCCCTAAGAGCTTTTCTGAAATGGAATTTGGATGTTGGTTGCAACAAAAGTCCAGTGCTAATTACTGCAGAGCAGCTAAAGGGTTATCCAGAAGCACGGAAAGGTAGCATGGAGGAAATGAGAAGTTAAAACCATCCACTCAAGTGTTCACAGATCGCTTCAATGGAAAGAAAGGTTTCTGCACCAGCACTAACAGCTTTAGCCCAGTCTTCTGGTTAAGACTCTTTCTGGTTTGGATTCCTTCTAACTATGAATTGCTGGCAGAAATAGGGAATAGAATGGCTAAGTCATTTAAGATTTTGGACCGTATTATGGCCACATGCATTTTTTCAGTTGTAAATCAAGTTACTTTTTCCCTGCCTTCATTTCTCTGTTATCATACCTATATTCTGGATGTCTTAAAACAGCAATGATTGTACGTCACTACTATTTTGAAAAACAAAACACAGGCTGAGCATTTAACATTTTGAACTCAAACTATAGCAACATACTGACAAAAGGAATTATATGGAGTTATTTCTGCTACTCAGTTTAAATTGTAAATTGACCTGAAAGCCATTAGGCTAATTTGGCACAGTACAGAAACATTTTAAATAAAAAATACGTTTTATGACTTGCTGCACTTCTGGATCCTGGATGTCAACTCCACTAGCTTCACGGTAGAAAATAGCAGAAAGAAATGCAAGCGCTCCAGTAGAAAGTCTCAGTGTTTGCCATATGTATAATCCAATGTGGCTTTTCTTGAATCCAGAGCCAGTCCCTGGCCTGCCCCGATTAGGTTCAGTGGAAAGAATGTTGAACGGAGTTCTTAAAGCAAACCGTGGACAAATAGAGAAGCTGGTTCTCTGCCTCTGGTGATTTGTTTAGATCACTATTTAAGCTGTTATCCTCCAGAAATAATTCTCTTTAATTGGCTGGAAGAGAGCAAACCTGAAGCGTCACCTTTCATCACTGGACCCTGACTCCAGCGTCTCTAGTATTTTGAGATAAGAGCGGGTGGCAGCTTGGTGCAAAGTACACAGACCATTTGTGGTGCCGGCTTGGGACAGGTTGGTAAAAGGGGGCCCTCTTTACACCACCTGGAGCTCACCACGGACACGAACATGTTCTTCGAGGACTACATGAGCTACAGTAGGTGCATCTTGCTTGTTTGTTCACATTGTGTAGATGATTTCCGCAGATTTTTTTTGCTTGTTTGCTCAGTTTAAGCAAGAAAGAAATCAGCATTCCACAGCGTTCAAGAGTCAGGAAGCAGCCATTTGCCGGTTGCCACTGGGTATGGTAACAAAGCAGCCCTCATTAAGTGAATATAGCAGGCTTACGGAGGATGCAAATAGTGAAACATGTTCAAACTACCATTAATATACTTGTCCTCATGCTGGTCAGCTATTTTCAAAGTCAGGTTTCAAGCATATATTATCAGAAGCTATACTGAGTAAATGTATTTAGTAAGCATATTTTGAAGCGCAGCTTTTAATTTCTCTTAAACTCACTACAAGCAGAACAGACTCTGGTATTATGGCAAGACATGGGCTTACCTATTCTGTAGCGCATTTGGGATGAGCCAATTCAGCAAGTTTGTTTCTCCTGCTAGTTCAGTTCTAAATGGAAAGAAACACTGATGGCATCTAGACCTGCTTTTGATGTGCCCTGTGCTCCTCTCTGATCTCCCATGTATCAGAAGAATTAGTTTTCAGCAGTAAGTGCTTGCAAAGGACACTTTGAGCAGAGCAATGTCATGCAAGACTTACAAGATACACCAATCTGGAAGCTACTTGTTTCTCCTGAAGAGTGGATGGCTGGGCTTTATGGGGTCATTGCCACAGATGAAACAGCACCAACGCCTTTTGAAATGAGATGGCGTTTATGGGCCTTTTTGTTTTGTTTTTTACAAATATGCAAGCAATAGACTAGTGCAATAGGCAACAAAAATGTAGCTCTGCATATTTGAAGGCACCAAGAAAGGAGCAAGCCACTAAGAAAAACAATCAAGGGCCATGAATTATCTTTTGCTAAATCCTTGATTATTCATAATTCTGCCTTGCAAACCATAGCGTAAGGCTTTTCCTAGCTGTTCCAGATGACATTAAGAATAACATAGACTCTTTATTTTGTGCCTAGCACCCCTTTACAGTTCATATATGCTTCCTCCTCTCCTGATAATTGGACAGTTCTTTGCATTTGGGGGTTGGCCTTAGCATTTTGGACTTGTTCTTAATCTTGCCACCTATTTACACAGCCAGCCCCACATCCCCGTGTTTATATGTCCATGATGTCTAAAAGGCAGATCTTGAAAAAGCAACTCCGCTAGAACATTACAAAATAGACATTTGTATGCAAAACCATGCATCTTTTTTTAAAGTTCTGTGGTATTCAGAACTGAGACAGAAATTCAGCAGGTGCTGTTTTTCCCCAGAAGAGATACAGTGACAGGCCACCCTTCGCCTTTCGTACATCTGCCTGTAGTGCTGCGTTTACAGGGCACTAAAACCTTGCGAGAGAGAGAGAGAGAGAGAGAGAGAGAGAGAGAGAGAGAGAGAG